TGGTTACACAAATGGATCATTATGGTGCTGCAAGATTGCTGTAAAGGTTGATAAGATCAAATGGATTTCTTCCAAACTGAAGCTAAGAAGAGAGGCCTCCCAACATACCGAGTGATTGATGCAGGAAGAACACAAATTGAAAGAGGAACAGCAACAGTTCTTGGTAAGTTTTCCTTCATCATTTTGGAAATTAATTCAAATTTCATCAATTTATGTTACCATCTAACTATTAATGTTTTTAATATATTTGTCTAATTATTATTGCCATCTAACTATTAACAACAGCTATTGGACCATGTCCTAATAGATTATTGGACTTTACCAAGGAATTGAAATTATTGTAATTAAGATCTATTGGGTGTGGAATTTGTGGAGAATAGATTTTGAGGAATGATAAATTTTGTCTTGACACTAGTCAATTAATTATCTATTTATTATTTAGTGTTTTTTACATTTTAATTGGAGAATTAATGATGGAAACAGCATCTCCAGCACTATAGAGGGCAACAGCAAAGTAAAAGATATCATCTTCGCCATTCAATCGTTTAACAATTTCTTGGAAAGCAATTCCTAAAGGTTGACTATTCTTTACAAATGAGAGAGTGCCATTGGTTCTCAAATCAACTTGGACTTTGAAGGTATCTCCCGTTCCACCTCCACCGAAATTATCATCATAGTGGAGTGAGTGGAAATTGTGACAAGTATGACCATTGTACAGGTAATAACACCAACCATTTTCATAATTGAGATTTCCGTTCAAATTCACATCAGCTTTGCAAATACCAATGTTGATAATGCCCTGGGCGGTCTTGTTAACTTTGAGATTGAATTCTTTACGTTGTCCAAATCTGATTGGCTCGACACACAAATTTACAGACCATCCATCAATGTTAATCTTGGTAAGGGTTTTGCCTTCGTTGGAAACTTGTAAATCTTTACCAGTCATGAGGAGATCAAATCCACTGACAATTCCACTCACGTGGTGTCGAGGCTTTGTTGTGAAAAAGTCGTCATCGCTAGATACTCCAATTACTTCAGAGCTATCAAAGATCGAGGTTGGACTCAGTACAGAAATCTGTTCTACATGCATCACTGGAGCAGAAAGTAAATTGCTGGTACTAATATTGGCAATTCCAGCAAGTTGTTGAGTGGTTGTCTTTTGGAGAGCCAATTGTTGATTGGCCTTATCTACCTTGTGTACTATTGTATTGAGTTGACAGCTCATTGCCTTGGCAATCTTCTTTAAAAGCTTGACTTGCAGTTCCAGATCTGCCACGTACTTTTCAGGGATGGAAATCAAATAGTGCAAACATTCAGGAGACAAGTATTGGAGACGAATATGATTTAACAGAGTTGGGAAGTATTTCTTTCTCACTTGGAAATCGTATTCTACCCACAGAAGAGCAGCATTTAAAATATCGTCCTCAGTTCTCACATTCAAGTCATCTCTCGAAATAATGTTCAGCACTGTTTCAACATCTCCAATTAAATTCAATTGACCATTCTTGCATATGATAAAGAATTTCTGGGCTATGAATTGGCTGGCCTTTGTTTTGAGAGATTGATATTTGGAATTTTCCAAGAAAATACACGAAAGCACATTAAATTCGTTCAAATTCTTCTCCAGATATGCCTCGCAAATCGATGCCAAATCCACAAACATGTACTTATCAGCAATCTCCAACAGTGGAGCAGAATCGCACTCCAAACAATCCACTTCCAAAGTATACATTGTCTTGATCATTATACAGAAAATTCGCACATCCTCATATCCTATATCGTTCTCCTGATCTTGATTATTATGAAAATCAGGACACTCCATCACTGAATGATCCATTATTTCAATAAAATCACATTTCGTTTTCATCTTTCCAAACATCATTTCTTTAAAAAATGGACTATACAGTGATAGAATTGCCTTATTAACATAGAGTGTTGTTGAGGTCAGTTGAGGAATATCATTCGTCTTGATTGTCAAATTGTCCTGCAACGAATCCACTTCTGTTGCATTGGTATGTAAACAATTTGGTAGTGTTGATGAACTGTCTTCCTTGTCTGATGAATTTTCACAACACGACAATACATTCCCCAAATTCAACTTGTTCGAATGTTTCATCACAATCCTAAAATCAGCCAACTCCTCATTATTAAACAAACTCGGTACATTACTCTCAAAACTCTTCCCAAATGTAATTTTCGCCTTTTGCAATCTCACATTATTCTCAGAGAGAACAAATCCTCTCAGTGAACTATTCAATATCGTGTTGGTCATGCTCAAATTCCTCGTGTGATGTCTCTGTGGAGGTGTTTGTCCCCCCATCATGATTGGTGAACTAGGTGGAGGTGGTGGATTAAAATTGATAGATTGTAAAATTGAGGGTGATTGCTGATTGGTTAGGGATGAACTGTTACTTCCTTCACTTGTGGTGGTGCTAGTGGTGCTGTTAGAAATGGCGATGGGTGAAGATTTTGTTTGATTGTTATCGGTTGTTGATGTTGCGATTATTGATGATGAAGTGTTTAATGAAGTGGGAGAATTATTCGAAAGTAAAGTTTCTTTGGAATCTTGTTCGGTTGCTTGGAGAATATTTAGTGGATTTGATGAGGGAGAAACATTTTGGACTGCAAGAACCATTCCTGAAAGTGTTTCCGATGATGAATTTGTTATTGTTGTATTAATTTCTTGATTATCCGAAGATGTTGTATTATTCGAAATGTCATTCGAAACATTTAAAACTAATTGCGTCGGTGAAGAGGAAAATTGTTTAGTGTTGNCGGATCCACCAACACTTGTTTCGAATATTGTTCTTGGTGAAGAAGAAGATGATGCATTCGATGATGATGACGAATTATTCGAATACCTCTTTGACATTTTTTTTCCGACGGATTTAGTATTAACTCTATTGTAAACCCGTTCCAGTACATTTTGATTTTACAAAATACTGATAACATCTAGAAACAAGTCGATTGGAAAAATTGAAACTGTTATTCATTAGCAGCAACGAAATTGGAGCGGAAGGAATTAAATCGAAAGATCTCCACATGTTGTTGAGGTCTAACTATGTACATGTTGTGAAATTGTAATTTCCTTCATCATGATCCTCAGCATGGAAACTGAGAATGGAAATGGATTCCATCGATTCAATAACGACATAATCAATACGCACGCATCGTTCCTTCACAAACCAAATAATGAGAGCCACTAAAACAACTTAAAACAATTCTTTCATTCCTAAACTCTTAAACTGGATCAAAAGAAACCCAAACAATTAATTGTTAACTTTTCACAAGATCATGACCAAGATTAATACCATTTTAATTTCAACCTCAATCATTTCCGTTGGGTTGATAATTGGCCTACTCATCATTTTATCCAATTAAAAAAAAAAGCAATCATGAAGAATTTATTTGCCACCAATTTCAAGTCAAATAATGCTGCCGAAACCAAAACCAAAGATGCAACTGCCAATTTCTGGTCCTTTGTAGAACATTGACTGGAATGTAATACAGTTTTTATTGCTTATAACTACTATATATCTGTTGATTCTTCCAAATGATAAATGTCAGAAATCTTTCCATTATCAACCGTGTGAATATCAATGGTCATAATACTGAATGCCTTAGTTCCATCTCAATTCGCTCCCAAAAAAATCACCAACCGATATTACCAGTGCAAATTGATCTTACCATTACTCTAATTGTCAACTTGCAAAAATTCTTGAACGTCCCATTTGAGATTTGGTTCTTGTTGACAATCCATGCAATTTGTATCTCTTTTTTATAACATTGAATTCATGATTTTTGTTTTAAGTTTTTAACGGTAACAAAAGGCGCTTATTCACCAACATGCAAGCTAGACAAATGAATTCTATCGAAAGGAATATCAAATATTGCGTCCTCTCTATCTAGACAAGATATTCTCTTCATCAACTTTCTTGCGTTCATCTTATTGAAGATCACACAATATTTAAACACGATTGATCATATAATGAAAACAAAAAGAAAAAAATGTCCAAGCCAATACTCACTTATTTCAGCTCGAGAGGGAAATCAGAGTTGATTAGAATTATTCTTGCTGATTGTGGTAAGTGTGGATGATGATCATTATTACAATTTTAATATTATTTAATATTATTTAATATTTATTTAATATTAATTAAAATTGTAAATAATTTGATGAGTAGGAGTTGATTATGATGAAGTCAATGTTGGAGTTTGGCATCCAACTGAAAAATCCGATGCTTTTAAACAACTTGTAGAAAGTAAAACTCTTGCTTTTGACTCACTTCCAAGTTATCAAGATGATCAAATCTTACTTGTCCAATCATCTTCAATTGTTAGATATTTGGGTAAGAAATTTGGATTGGCTGGTAAAGATCTCGTTGAGGAAAGTCTCATTGATCAATATTATGAAGGAATTTTGGATTTGAATGTTTTATTGAGATCGGCCTTTACTGCCTCATATCCAGTTTCTTCTGAAATCACCAATGAAAGTATCGAGCAAAAGATTCAAATCATTTTGAAGGAGAAATTACCAAAATTATTGCAATTCTTTGAAAGAGCATTGGAAGGTGGAAAGGAATATCTTGTTGGTGGTAAAATTTCATATGCAGATATTGCATTATTCTATGCTTTGGATACTTATACAGAAGTTTTGGGAAGCTACTTTGAAAATCAATTGAATAGTGGTGAGGAATTGAAGAATTTGAAACAATTACATGCAAGAGTTAAGGCAAGAGAAGGTATTCAAAAGCATTTGAACAATCCTAATAGATTCCCTAAACAATCACTTCCAGGTTATGAAAAGATAGCTCAACAATTACAACAATAAATCAATCACCACCATATATGGCACTTTATTGTAATCCAATTCAATATCCATGACATGTGTGTCCACAGCAAATAAGCACAAACTGTAGTTATATGTATGGATGATTTTGATTCTGTTTAACCGTAAGTTCTCAAGTTCATCAAGAAAAAAATACCTCAATAAGAACCTTCTGGTTTTTCAAATCCATCATCAGTTAATTTCTATTACATTATAACTATTGAAAATGTGTCATGGTTGTTATGCTCCACCATTGTTTTTGTTACCGGTTTTGTTGGTAGTAGAGGCTTTTAGAGGGATCGGGAAAGGAATACAAAGTGTTGATCAAGCAATTCGGGCCAACAATTTAAAGATGATAGAATTATTCAAGCAAAAGAAACATGATTTGGATTTATCTGCTTCTAATCAGCTGTTGGATAAGTCGAGTGTTTCCATTCAGGAAATTAAAAAACATGTTGATGAGTTGAATGATAATGATAGGGAACAATTAGCCAAATTGTTGATTCAGAGATGTATTGCCCGATTGGAACAACCTGATTATGGATTGGCTAAGGATGATATGCTTGAGGCATTGTCATTGATGAATGCAACTGGTGAATCGGGTAATGATGGTTCTTCTTCTTTTGGTTCATTCTGTAGGAATTTCTATTTGGCTGAATACTTGTTGGGAATGTGTTATCACGGAAATGGTGATTTTAAGGAGGCTGCTATTCATTTCCAAAAATCTATTGAACACAGATCTTATGTAGAATCTCAATTGATCGATCATCAAGACAATGAGAAGGAACTTATTGCAATGGAAGAACAATTCTTTTCCATGCAATTAGAAGCAAAGAAGCCAGTGGAAAAGGTTGCTGCTTCTTGGACTAAAAATTGGAGCTATTATGCCAATAGTGTTACTAATTTTACAAATAAGGCCAAGAATTTCTATAACCACAATTTAATGCTAGGCTCAGATAAGCCAGTCCTCAAGACCAAACCAAATACCTACATTACCTTGGAATTGTTGTACATTAGAGCAGGTGTCTCCTATTATTCTGGCACCTATTATGCAAATGGCGTTGAATATTTCAATAGAGCTATAGAATTGGGAGAGAGCTATCAATCAGAATATTTGGAGTCATCCTATTATAATAGAGGATTGTGTTATTATTATTTAGGAGAATTGGAAACAGCTATTGAAGATTTTACCAAATCCATTTCTTTAATGCCTCTCCTAAAACAAAGAGATGCTGTCTATTTAATGAGAGCTGCCACATATGGAAGATTGGGTATGATCAAAGAGAAGGAGCAGGACGAATATAAGGCTCGTCTCATAAATCCATTCGGAAAACCTCTTCCATTATTTCACCTTAGATTATTAGATGATGATACACTTTGTCATATTATGAGCTTCCTTCAAACCAGACAAGTATTGGTAATGTCATCTCTGAACAAGTACTCAAGAAATCTTGTAAAGAGCTACCTACAACAATATGATATTGAAATTAGTTATTCTGCTCTGGTTGTTACTGAAAAGAAACCAGCATCTTTGGGACAAACTTGGTTCCTGCCAAAGGAAAGTTTACCAGGAAAAGCTGAGATGGTCAATCACGTACTCCAACATTCTCTGCTTAAGCATGTAAGAAATATGAGATTGTTAGCTTGTTCGTCTCATTTTTTTACTGAAATACACTTTGAAGAACAAGTCCTATCTAAAACTAAGAATTTGAAGAGATTGGCATTGTATGAGTATACACCTGTACAATCAATACTCCCAGTTCACTCTCCTGATCTCGAATACTTGGAAATTGGTTCGAGTATTTACAATGACTACCATTTCCGTCCATTCATCTCCAAGTTTACTAATTTGAAGCATTTAAAACTTGGAGTTGCTTTCTTCCCTTCTTTGAATCCATTCTCTGATAATCCTAATCTTCAAATTGTAGAATATTTACCAATCACTGATCAAGACACGGAATACTATGTGAATTATACTGGCTCCAAGCCAGTTGGAAATACTTGGGAAGAATTGAAATCTTTGAATCCTCACATTGTTTTTAAAGAGTACCAAGCAAGTACCAGCAGTTGTCTCTATGATTTTACTTCTTACTAAAAATGGAGTCCTTAATAAAGCTGATGATGATTTTAATAATTAATTAACTGATAAATGGATCTTGATATCTTTGAGTTCTCTTTCTTTTGCAGTATGAACAAAATATTAACACAAATCATAATAAATATTGATGTGTTTTTGAATTTTTTTAACATTCACTGAAATGTTTTATTATTGGAAATATATTTGGCCTCAACCCATCATCATTTGCACTTGTCATCACACGGAAAGTTGACAGAAATTAAAAATCAATTTAAAAAAAAATGTCAGAAACCATCCACTTTGAATTTATCAACATTCCTGCCTCCGAAAAGGACCCATTCGTCATCAAAATTGGTGGAAATGAAGTTTATTCGTAAGTTTCCACCACTTTCTTCTAACATTTCCAATAGAGCTACCGAAACCTTGAAGGACACTAAATTTTCCCTCAAAATCTCACCATCCGGTCTATCTGCCATCCATCGTGAATTTATCAACTTTATAATTCCACAAGCAGACATTGATGAATTAAATCAATATGATTTAACTAATAAGGGATATTATCTGAAAGTTCGTGTAAAGAATTTGGGAGAATTATCAGTAACTCAGGGAGTGAATGCTGCTATGGATGAAGCTAATGTCATTGTTGATGATCAACGTAAATTCTATGTTGATGAAAAGACTGGAGAATATACCTAGTAAGTTTAGTTTTATTTCGGATAAAAATAATTTAACACTGGATTAATTACTTGATGATTTTGAAAAATTAGTAAATATAACAAACCAGCCTATCTTGCAGATGATTATGAGAAAAGTCCAAAGAATAAGCTTACAAAGGCAGTTCACAATTCAGCAGACTTTGGAACTGATTCCACACGTATCTGGCTTCACTTGTCAGGAATTGATGCCTCAGAAGAAGATCCTTTTGAAATCTTGGATGCTGATCAAAATGATAAGAGAATCATGCATACCACTAAACCAATCTTTAGAAAGAAGGAAATGATGATCTATGTCAAGAAGAATGATCCTCAAGCTAAAACACACATTGCTAATTTGCATATCAAGATTCCAAGTGTTGGTGTTGATACAGTTAGTGATTTTGATTTGACTACTTTGGGTACCCATATTTTGATTGCTGTTTTGTAAGTATTTAAATTACCATATTTGTTAATATTTACAATATATATATGAACAAATACAAATATAAATGAAAAATATAGAAATGAAGGATCCAATGTTGAAATTCAACAAAGAACAAACAAAATGTTCGATGAAAAATACTTTAATCCAGTTCACTATGCAAATGCTGAACAAGAATACAAACAAAAAAATAGAGAAAAGTCACTTGTAAAATATGATGATGATTCCAATTCTGGACCAGTTACTGAAACTCAAATGAGAGCAGGCGATTCTGATTCATTAGATGAAGTGACTCTTTCTTTATATGTTAATAATATTCCAGCTTCCAAAAAGGAACCATTTACCATTTATATCAATGGTGATGAATTTTTCAAGAGTGAAGAAGAAATTCCACTCACAAGAACTACTGTATTGAGAGCTTCATTTGAAAAACCACCACGTGGTGAGGAATTGGTCATTGAAGCTCGTTTCAATATTGAAGCTCGTGATGTTGACACCAAGCAACAATTTAACATTACCAAAAATGGTACATTCATGTTCTTTGGTATCGAAAAAGTTGGAGACAGTGAACGTATCCAAATGAAACAACAACATAATGATACTTTTGGACCAAAATCTGGAGAAACTATGACTAAATCAAGTGGTGCTTCTGCTAGCTCAAAGAGTTCAACTGAACAAATTCCAGTTTACTTCCATTTGGCTGGTATTAATGCTACTGAACAAAAACCATTCGAAATTTATGTTAATGGTCAACAAATTTACAAGCAAACTCAAGATCTTGGAGATAGAATGGCCATTGTAACTGGAAGATTGCCAAATGTTGATGATTTGAGAGTTACTGTTAAGGCAGTTTCTCTCCTCGATGGTTTGGAAGAAGAATCTGAAGTTAACGTCTCCAAGTATGGTAATTACATCAAGTTGGAAGTTAGCAGTGATCGTTCTGTTATTGACATTACTCAATCAAAGAATGCTGAATTTGACAATGCCACCATTGTTGATTCAAAGAAGATGCCAAAATCCATTCCAAAAGTTACTCCTTCCACTACCTCAACAACTACAACTGCAAAGCCAGCAGCATCAACAGGAGGAAGTGAAGATTATTTGGATGTTTTGAAAAAGTTGGGTGAATTGAGAAAGGCAGGTATTTTGACTGAAGAAGAATTCCAAGCAAAGAAGAAACAAGTTCTTGGTTTGTAAATAAAGTAGAACCACATTCTTTGGATTTATTTTGCTTTGCAAATCGACTTGGCAGCTTGTCTGGTAAGGATAACAAGGATGGACACGAGAGAGCTTGTTTGACTTGTGGATCTTCCCTCAAGTGTTTTGGTGCATACAAGTAGGCAATTGGGGAGTAACTTTCCATACATTTCAATAAGAGATCCTTGTCAGATCTAACTCTTTCCGAAGCATAAATGTAAATGCTACTTTCTGAATTTTCAATCGCTGTCTTATCATCTCTCATCTTTGATGTAAATAAACGTGGATCAATATTACTCAAATCTGAAGGATATTCTTCTCTCAAAATATCAATTGGTACCACTCCATAGTTCAACAAATCTGGATTCGATTTCAAAGCCGTAATCCAGAAAGTATTATCCTTACGAAGCTTACTACTCACTAGAACGCTTGTATATGCTGATATTTCAAGCAAATGCAACATAAACTCATCATCTTTCAAGTATTCTGCTGGGATGAAATTTTGTACTGCATTGTAATTCATAGCATAGTCAATATCATCGTCTTCCATATTTCTCAGTATTTCCAAGATTTGATCCATTGTTAAGTTTAGTCCACTGACATATGCCAAAGCTTTTGGATTTGCTAATATTTTGACATCATTCTTGAGAGAATCACCAATAAAAAGAGCACAATTTACATTGATATCAATGCATTCTAACATGAATTCCCTATTATTTCTCAATTCAGGAGAAGCAATACTTAAGAAAATTACATTTCTACGTGAGATTTCCTCAAGAATTACATCTCTATCCTCCAAATATTCATTAGTCTTGTAATTTCTATGGAAGTGTTCATTGATAACTTCAACCATGAGTGTTAAATTGTTCAACAATTCTGGCTCTACTGATTCAATATCCAATGTAACCTGTAAGAACCTTAAAATGTCTTCCTTTGTCTTAATTTTGAAGCCAATTTCACCCAAACCTATAGTATAGACCCAGTGTTTAGCCACTTCTGGATCATTGATGAATTCTGTTTGAACACGATATGGATATACTAAATAAGGGTAATGCTTCATTAATTTGATTGTAAACTCTTTATCCTTTCTTAAACTATGATGTAAGAAAAGGTGAGAACTATTGATATTGAACAAATTAAAGTAAGCATCCTTATCCTTTCTGATTTCTGTAGGAAAAAATGCTGGAATACGTTGAATAAAAGAATCTGGATCAGTTTCGAATAATTGTTTGACTGCTCCCAATATTTCTGGATCTCTTCTCAATTCAACACTGAGATATGGATAGAAATTAGCATGCACTTTCAAAAACTCGACAAGATCCTTCTTATCTCCTTCTTGCATAATTTTCACATACTTTTTCATGTTATCTATCATTTCTTCTTCTGGATAAACTTCATTACCAAGTAATGAAATTGGTTTGATTACATGAATTGGAATACTCTCAATCCAATCTTTGATATGTCCAATGCATTTCAATGATGGGAACATTGTAGTACCTGTCTTTAAATAAAAGAAACCATTTCTCTTATCTAAAAGTGTCACTACTGTAGAGTACAAATGTCCTGTCTGAACCATTATCAAATTCTCTTGCCATTGATTTTCACCAAATTCACTGTCCAATAGCAAGGGAAAGGTTGAACGTTCAGAGATTGGTGTTTCTACAACAAATTCCCAATCATCAACCGGGGCAATGGTAATTAAATTAGAGAAATGATATCTGCCACTTGCACAATTAGTCAACCAAACCTTCAAGTGAAATTGCATATTGGTAAAACCAAATTGATTAATTAAATTGGCTAATTGTTCATTGCTGAGTGCAGGAGAATCGTAATCATGGGCAAGTTCTTGGCAATATTTATGCCATTTGTCAATCAAGTCATTCTTCTCTTCTGTGTGATAAATTGCATCAAAGGTTGTGTTTATCAATCTGCTGTGTGCTCTGTCTATTGTTGAAAGGAATGGGAAAATCCTAACAACAACTTCTGGGATGTGGAAGATATTCATTTTTTTTCATGAGATGATTATCCCAACAGCAGTCAAGTTTAAAACCATTTAAATTGTGTAAATTTAATAGGTTACACTTGTCTATTCAAGGTTTCATATGATCTGTTTCTAATTTAGCAATTTACTTGCCATGCATGGTCACATCTTATCATCAAATGTAAAAAGCAGTAATTCATGTAGAAATTTAACATTTTCAAATTCTCTCCACAATATTCTCAAGCAATTCATAAATCTTATTGAAAGAAGGCCTCTCTGAAGGATTGTGTTTCCAACATTCTGTCATTAAATTGATGAATAATTGCACGCATTCAATTGTATCATCATTAGTAAAGAGTTGAGTATTGGTAGTAATCCATTGATTAATCTCATCTCTATTCGAAACATCAAAGGGAAGGAGAGGTCTTTGGCCATTAATAACAAGTGGTGGAACTTTAAATGTGTTTTTCACATGTTGGAATGGAGTGGCTCTGAAAAACATTTCCCACATAATTATAGCAAATGAATAAACATCAATTTTGCTGGCTTCCTTATTCTCTATTTGTGTATCAGAAACAAATGTCTCAGGGCTGTAATTAATTGTTACATTATACTAAACTAACACGAAACTTACCTGCAGTATAAGATGGTACCTATTTGTTTAGTCATATTTGTTTGAACAGTGTTGCTAACGAGTTTCACAAGACCAAAATCTGAAACCTTTGCCTGATTCTTATCGTTTAGCAATACATTGCCAGGTTTCTAATAAAAAGATGAATAATACTTATAAATTGGAAAACCTACCAAATCTCTGTGAATAATCGCTGGTTTCAGTGAATGTAAATAAATCATGCCATTAGATATGTGAAGTAAAATTTTTAACACATTTTGGAAGTGTTGGTTTGTGAAATTGGAATATTTCGAATTGGAAATAAATCGATCCAATGCACCATTTTCCATGTACTCTGTAACAATATACTTGCTCTTCTCAGTCATACATACTCCGTAAAATATTAACACGTTGGGATGTCTCAATCGACTCAAAACTGCAGCCTCCTTTTCAAACTCTTCATTGTTAATTGAACCTTCTGAGAAATCATACTTGAGGGATTTGATAGCAACATTAATATTTGACCATGAGCCGAGGAAAACATTAGCTGAACCACCTTCTCCTATCCTCTTTTCAATAGTGATTTCTTCGATTGGAATAATGAAGGAGTCGTCCTTTTGATATTTGGATGTTTTAGAGTTGCTTTTCACTAATGATTGGGAAAGCTCTGTATCGTTAGTGAGAGATCTATACTTGGTACTACCTCCACTCGAACCATTGTCAATACTGGAAGCTTTATCATAGTATTGCTGTTCTTCTTCAGTAAATTCAAATAGCATTCTCTTGTCAATGAGTTTGTTTTCAATAGCTTGCTCTGCTCTTTCTTTTTTCTTCAATCTGTTTAATTTTTTGATGATCGTTACCATACAATACATTCCCAATCCAAGTAAAATACCCAGAATGAATAAAAAAAGAGAGGTTCCAATAATAATTGCAACGTATGTTTCTACTGGAAATTCAGGAATTTTCTTACATTCAAAATTGAAAACATTAGCCTCTTGGGTCAGTGATTTATCTAATGCTGTTCCACTCTTACAATTTCCTATTTGAATTGGTAGTTCGATTGTGCTAAATCTATTTTCAATTATGATTCTTGTAGGTACTTTGAAATACTCATCCAAGGTTTCATTTCCAAAAACATTAATAGTGAATGTAATGTAATTCATATTGTTAGGCTGCTTGTTTGACAGTTTGATATAGGATGAAGATGAATAAAAATCAAAAATCTCATCAGAGAATGGTGCTATAGTTCCATCCTTGGTTGTTTTTACAATAAATGAAATATTGTATCTCTCTCCAATTAATAATTCATAATTTCCATTCACAATTTTTGGAGTTATTCCAGTGAATTCTGCTGAGGATAATCGTAGAGGAATAGTATTATCCATTCCCATTACTGCTACATTTCCATTTAATGTACATCCACTTAAAGTTGGAAGGGTTGCCTGATTGAAAAACATTGCCCCTCCACTCAGTCTTGCTGTATTATTTACAAACTGTGAATATTGGAAATTTAATTGATATGAACCAGTTGGAAAATAGATGGCACCACCACGATCTGCATAATTTCCAATGAAATTTACGCCATTAAATTCGTATGGAGGAGTAAATTTGGCATCATTTACTGCGGACTCTATTGAAATGGCACCACCTCCACAAAAAGCTCCATACCTAGACATTGGATACAAATTACAAGTAACTCTATTATTAATAAACTTGCTTCCCCTGATGAACAAATTAGCTGCCAAATATTTCACACGAACAGCTGCTCCACTGAAAGTGGCTAGATTATTATAAAATTCGCAATAATCAATGAACAATCTTTGTACAGACTGAATCGTCACTGCTGAATCATATGAATTATAAAATTTTGAGTTTGAAAATAAAACTTGAGATCTGTAGCCATTGCCAGAAATGTCGTAAATGTCAAATTGTCTCCTCTGTGAAAATTCACAATTTACAACAGAAAGCACCGAGTACGATTCCACGCGTACGTGAGCGAATCTATTATCAAGTTTGATATTTCTCAGTGTGGTATAAACAATTTCTTTAAAGATTAGAAACGCGCTCACAAGATCTTGAGATGGAATTGCGTTTCCTGTCATTGTAATATTCTCAAATATTGCATTTTGGAAAGAGGTAACAGAGGAAAATAACTTTCCTGAATAGACTCTAATATCCTTCACTATGATACTAGTTCCAGATTGTGCTAAAATGCTTAAAATAATACCTCCAAACTTTTGCAAAACACCTTTGAGCTTAGTACTCTGGTTAATATCAGATGTCTCACAATTAGTAAATGTAACATAATTACAAGCAAATGTATGAACAACACTAAATATAGTTCTCTCCACATGAACTATACTCGATTCCTGAATATTGACCAGTGTTTTTGCAATACTATCCAAGATTATTACTTCGTCACATAAATAGAAAACAGAGACTAGATCCAAGGTTGACCTATTAACTACTACCTTGTTTCTATAATTGACAACAATTGTTTCTGAAAAAAATGAATTTTCTACAATGAAATATCTAGATTTCAAATTGGATTCCACTTGTCCAGGGGTATTGTTATCCATAATTCCTGAACCATTAAAATAACAATTCTCCACCAACACTGAAATGAATAAATCGAAAATAATAATATCATTCAGTACCAAATCGTGTAAATATAATGCTTCAAATCCATATGGAATTAGTAACCCTTTCGAAAATAATGGTAACGTCTGAACACATGTCAGAACACTCGAACGTCCATCCAAGTGAGTGATTTCCATGAAGAATCTCACTAGTTCAAATTCTTCCATTTGATACCACTCTAGCCCACATAAAAAGGGTTCATTTCCAATAACAATAACTTTTAAAAGTACATTTCTCTCCACTGATTTCATATTTAAAAAATCGGAATAATCTCTATATAATGTCTCATTCAATGAATAGAAGAGTTGAGTAAATGCTACACATGGATTTTCCATAGAATGTCCACAATTCACATTTGTTGAAGAATTACCATTAATACCTCCCAAGTACAAGGTAATATTTACGGTCATTTCCATGGAAGAATTATTCGTTATCAATGACCAAAAGGCCTCCTTCGGCCTCTCCACAACCAAGGTTGGTTCACCATTACTTGTTGATGAAGAGGTGGTTGCTGTTGTTGTTGTTTGTATCATCATTGGTTCGTCCATATTCATATTCATATCAAGAGCATGTGAATTTATTGGTGTTGACAGCTGTATCAACACCATCATAGCCAAAAGTAAGAGAAGTAATGAAGACCTTTCCAGAGAAGGAAAACGTAAGGGTTGTTCCTGCATTTTTTTGTCGATTGTAGAGCTTTGAAATAATAGGAGTGTTGATGACTCCGTTTTAATATGCGGATTACATTACACCAGTTTAGATTAGCAAAGGTTTCCCTCAATCGATACTTTAAAATCGAGAAACATTCTAAAACTCTGCTAGCTGCTACTTTTGGAGTTCCGACATTTTTTCATTTTAAAAAAATAAATTTTAATATTTTAATTGATGAACACGAATTACACGCATGTAATATGCTCTCATGATATCACAATACACGACAAACAAATTTATCAGTAACAAAGCACATTCTATTGAATCATCGATGATTCCATTACAAAACCAACTCTTCAACATCTTTCCCTCTAGAAAAGAACTCGATGAACTTCAAACAATGCAAAATTAGCACTCAAGCCTTTCAAAATTTCTCTTCAAAAAAAGAACACCAACAAGTGTTGCATCATAATCACCACGTGTTCATCTGTAGCATCATCACCATTGAAAAGCAACCATCAATTTTATTATTGAGGACGAATAGATTTGATCAAATATATACATCACGTTATTGTTGTTGTTGATGATTAAAAAAAGGCATTAAGAGTAGTTTTAATAATTATAATAGTAATAATAATAATGGTTATTGATAAGATTCCTTGTTTGTATGCATTAAGTAGTGGTTTAACTATTACTCCTTCTTCGGATCAAGATAATTTCATCACCATCATCAAATGGTTCTCTGAGACAAATTCCACCAGCTAAATTTCCTCTCATCTCAACCTCAGAGGCTGACCAGATTTTACATTTGGCTGAACGATGTAATTTTGCAGTCTTTTCAGGTAACCTTCCTCGAAATAGCTCCCCTCCAAAGAATATATTTGTCTATGATTTGAACAAGTATGATATTTGTGATATTGTTGCTGGTGAGGATTTTGCAATCTTTGTTAATAGAGCTGGAAATTGTTATTTATTGGCTGATGGAATAGAGGACAAATCTAAAAAGTGGAAGGTTTGGATGGGATTGGAAGATGTTGAATTGAATGGGAAAGATGCTGTTTTGATACCATTTACTGTGGAAGATCCTATTGAGATGGTATTTGCTCATTCGTTTTGTGTACTTGTAAATAGACATGGTCAGGTTTATTACTTTCCAGAATATGATAATAATAACACCATAGGTAGCCAACCAACTCTTCTTTCAAAATTGAGTATGGATTTGTTTGGAGGAGAGAGGATTGTACATTGTGGACTTGGAAATGAACATGCCTTGTTTTTGACTGAAAGTGGAAAGGTGTTTGGAAGTGGAGCTAATTGTAAGTAGTTTAAATTTGATTTGATATATTGATTGTGTTAAAAGCTAGCGGACAATTGGCCAATGCAAAGTGGTATTCTGATCAAAAGTTTGTTCAATTACCAACTGACCATATTCCAGACAAGATTGTAAAGGTTTTTGCTACTTATAACACCTCATTTGTGCTTACAGAAAATAATGAAGTTTGGAGTTGTGGAGATACTACTTATAATGCCTCTGGTCACAAGGCCAACCAAAATAACAAAACAACTGAGCTTGTGAAAATTCCAATAGATGAGAAAATCGTAGATATAGAGCCAGGTCTATTTTTCGTGGCCTTTAAAACAATAGGTGACAAGTATCTTGTTTTTGGTTATAACAACTTTTCACAATTTGGAAGATCGGAAACCTTGGCTGAGAGAATTGATGGTCCTCATCCATTAGATACCTTCCCTAATGAAAATATTCAAAAAATAGTATGTGGAGGTTACAATTCAATAATTATTTCTCAAGATAGAAAATATTATTCAGCTGGATGGACCATCGATGCCCCTTTCTATCCATCAAAAGAAAATTTTTACAATCTTATTGACATGCAAAGGTTTTTAGGAATTAGAAGACCATTCACAGATTCATCAGTAGAATTGTGTGCAACTATGGGACGATACTTCTCAATCTTTTTTTCCAGGGATAGTGCAAGAAGACCTCTCAATTTCAAGAAATCTTTCAAAATTTGTGATATTCTCATCAAGACACAAAATGGTGGAGATGTAGTTGGACAAGAAGAATATTCAAACTTTATGTATTCAAGTGATTAATTGTATTTTATGGAACCACTATTACATTGTATTGATAAAGATTTATTCTTCCAATTGGGAAGAATTATATTTGGATTGAGATTCTTTCCACTCCATAAACCAAGATCTATTTGGAAAAGATTTCATGTTATCATTTACAATACGTTGAGAAACACCTCTATCATCATTGTTAGAAGTATCTACTGGATGTTTACCTCCATCAGTCAACTTATCCAAGATGAAATTCAATCCCTTGGCCATTGTTTTACCTCTCATTTTACAAAACTGCCCCACAGTCAAATTTTGTAAAGGTAATTGAAAGTCAGTGTACATGATATTCATGAAACGAGTGGTATTGTCGTTAACTCTCATCATTATATAATAACACAAGCCATCAATTATTAATGAATTAGGAGGAGGACTCGTAACACCCTTTGGAAATTGAGCACTATGTAGCAATATCATATACATGTCAAAACCAGCATCCTTAATGCAAGTGACAGATGATTCAACAAATCTCTTTTTCAATAGTGGAATTTTAGTATCAAAGGTGGTGGTCATAATCTTAATTCCATATGGACACGTCATTCCATGGAAATCTTGATTAGGTTCAATATAATCAAGATATTTGAGAGCATTACAAAACATGGGTTCGAAATGTTGGTGATTGACTGGATTTGTCCACATTCCCCAAACATCTTCTAAATTGTAAGGTAGATCAATAGCTAATTTACAAAGTTTGAATCCTTTCAATTGGTCAGAATTGAAAACATAACCAGTTCTTGACGTAGTAACTGTCAAATTATTTTTTTCGTACACAACCTTCCAATCTGGAGTATCCTGAGCAAGTGTGATCCCAAAATAAATGTGGTCATCTGTAACGATTGGGGATTTCAAATCGTGAGGTTTGAATCTGAGATCGACTTTGTAACCTTTCGAAATATCAATTCCAATCTTTCTGGTATATTCGATTCCCATCTTGTGGAGGAAATAATGAAATTGATCTGAACGAGAGAATTTGGTAAAGTGTCCCATTCCCAAATCCACCAGAATTACCAGAATGATTGATCCTAAAAGCTTTCCAGGATGTAGCTCATCCAATATTTCCTGAGAATCGAAACTAAATGTTTCATTGTTAAGCTTCTCACTAGTTTCTTTCCATAGCTTGAGAGAGGATCGTTGATGAGGGCCAATATTTAATTCTTGTTCTCCTCCAACTTGAAGAAAAGTCTTTACTATTGCATTCATCTTTTCCTGCAGAGAATCCAAGTTTCGTCTAACAATCTTTTGTACACTAACTCTACGAGCTACATCAGTTTCCAATTGTTGAGTTTCCTTCAACATCATTAAAGAGAAGTTATCAGCTGAAATTCCTGCAATCTTCTTATACTCTTCAGTGTATTCAATCACCTTGTTGATGAATAGAATACTTTCCTGGTTGTGATGTTTCTCTAGGAATTGTTGAAACACTCTTCGAAACTGAGAACATTTGATGGCTTCTTCGAATACAATCTGATAATTTCGAGGATCAAAAGCGTTCATAGGTGTTTGTTAGTTTTTTTGTTGGCTTGAAATACATCTGATTGTCCCAATCATACTAATTTGTTAAGAAATATTAGTTTTGGTCATTCGAAATATGTTCAAATTCACCTATTTACCTTCTTCTCTCCAATCACTAGAAATAAGAACCTTTCGAACAATGAAAAGTTGACATGTTGCAACTGATAATTAATTATCAATTGCCAAACAGACAACTTATTATTTTCTGACAATTGATACGTTGTTCATTTTGTATTTTTGCATAATTAATTGTTTGATTTCATTTGGATAATCTTGATTACAGTTCTATCTTTTGCCTATTATTAATAGTAAATAAGCATTTAAGGAAATAGATATTATTTAGGAGATATATTATCAAGAAGCTCGGTGAAAGGTTAGATTTAAATTTGTGTCTTATTTGGCTTCTTAATAGTTTAAATTCTTCCATTTTTTAAAGGAACTCAACATGTTACACCCCTTTTCTTCAACAGGATTTTCATTAATAAAAATGGAAGTGAGGTTTGGCATGTTTTCACAAATTATTTTGACACCTGCGTCTGTGATATCATTCCATGATGCATCAAGATAAGTCAAATTTTGCATTCCACTAATCAGTTTGATTCCTTTATCATCAATGAAGTTCCCAGAAATATCAAGTTGCGTAAGATTATCCATTTGGCTAAATATTTTAGCGGCTTCCCCTAATTCAATATCACGAAATTTGAGAATTCGTAATTGTTTCATTCCACTAATGCTTATGGCGCCTTCTTCACCTATTTCACGATTATCAGAAATATCCAGATCGGTCAATTGTACCAGCTCACTGATTGATTCTACATCAAATGGTGAAAGTCTATTTTCACTAACATCCAATACTGTTAAATTTTTCATTTTGGAAAATAAGTATGATAAATCATCTAGAGAATTATTAGAAATGTCAAGATCTGTCAAATTAACCAATTTAGAAAGAAGTTTTGCACCCTTATTGGATAGATTGTTACGGGAAATATTGAGCTTGACTAAATTCTGCAATTTAACAATAGGTTGAGTGTCATCACAACCCTTAATACCATTCCAGCTCACATTGAGTTCAGTCAAATTGTCCATTCCGCCAATATCACCAAAGTATCCCAATCCATGAGTTACAGACAGCTTTCTCACTTGCTTTAGTTTACTAATTTTTGCCATCAGCTCCAAAGGTAAATCAAAACGCCAATGCAAATCAAGTTCAACTAAATTATTCATCATTTCAAGAGCACAAACAAACTTTGTACAGGCAAAATGCAAGCAACTATCAAATCTAATTTTTTGTATATTTTCCAAAAACTGACTTTTCATCAATGATTCACTCCATGCCTCATCGATTTTAAAGTATCGAAATGGTCCTCCTCTAATCAACAAATTAAGTTTAGAATATTGTCGAACTAAATCAAACCATTGTTTCGATATCTGTGCACAACTTCTCACAATAAACATTGAATCATCAGCAAGATAGGATAAAATTTCCAAACAAACATCATCAGAAAATATTTCTTTATGATCAGAATATTAGTAATAATATATTGATCAATTCAATTTTCTAATCAATTCTAATCGCAATAATATATAACAAACCTTCGGAAGGTCTCTTTTCTAATGTACAATAAATAATATTCTCTTCAGTAGATTTTTTCCCCTTTGTAAACAAAAGAGAGAAGACTTCCTCTGGTCTTGCTCGTTTCATCACGATCTGTTTTAAATGCTATTTTTTTTTGATCATAAATCTTCCAGTTGTTTGGGGATATTTAGTCTTTCCGCCAAAATAACCCGTTAAAACAAAAAATTTAAAAATGCCACAACATTCTCCCTTCATCACCTCACATCTGGTTGATCTGCTTCCAAGTTGCAACAATGAAACTTTAACAACAACACTCATGATGGCAAAGGAGAACAAATTGATAGTACTATACATTGTCGATAAGTATTTGCATTTCCATACTATTTGTGGTAGGACGATCGGAACAAGAAATGATGAGTGTAAGAAAGCCTTTGAACCGATTTGCCTTGAATCGTCCACAGAACCCATTGATAATTATTATTTTGATAATATAAAGATGGTAGAAGTGAGGGATAAAGTTTATTTACTTTCTACCTTCCAGAATCTTGATAAAAACCTCCTTGAGGAGAGAATTGATAGAATTATATTTGATGAAAATAATCAAGTGGTTAAATTGGAATGTATTTATCATGTCAAAAATGATTTTATTAGAAATTGTACACCACCTATTGCAGATTCTAAAAGGAATTGTATTTACATTGTTGGAGGCATTAGTGATAGTGGTGCAAGTCAGTATGCCAAAGATGTCGTAAAGATTAGTTTGGAAACATTCGTATGGGAAGTGATTGGATCAATTAACATTTATCCAGCAATGTATTGCCAATCTTCTTTACTTTGGAAGGAAAAGTTCATTATTGTGTTTGGTGGTTACAATACGTCATGTAGCGCTACTAGTGATATTCTTGCTTTCAATGTTGATTCAAAGGAATGGTCAACTCTGTATTCCTATGATCGTTATGATAGGCCTGAAATATATCCTATTATTTATCTCTTGGTTGAAGCTGGAATGCAACTCGTAACAAACAAATGGGCATCTCAATTTGATAAGTCCATTCCAAGTAACACGCAAGAGAATACACTTATTATTTATGGTGGAAATATCGATTGCTTTGTGGAGAAAACTCAAATTAACAGACCTACTCACCAAGTTTTTCTATTCCATTTGGACGAATCTGAGTGGAACTCAACAGACATTAGCAAGACGAGAATTCCATTCAATTTGACTGACTATTGTACACCTGACGATAGAAAGCTTCCTCCAATACATCAACGGAAGCAAAAGAATCCAGTTACAAACTCAAGAGGAATTCTTTTGGAAGATGGTGATGATAATGAAGAGTATAAACTTCTTCCAGCAATGGAAAATGTAACAATGCACAAAATCAACAACACTCAATTGTTGGTTATTGGTAATACTCTCGACTGCTATTTGTTATCCCTTAATGAACAATCAATATTCACAAAATTTCATTCAAACAATAAGCTTTCTCAATTATCAGATATTTCAACAATAACACAAACATTCTAGAATTGAAAAAGTCCATGTACTGACCACGATAATTAATAATATCTGATTTGAGTGTTACTTTACCTCAATTCTTCCTAAATTAACATACCACTACAAGGTTCACCACTCTCTTTCCTTATTTAACATGCTTTTCCCCGAGATTATCAAAAATCTCAAAACATTAAAAAAATAACTCAAGATAACAATATGACAGAAAAGTGTAAAACCTATGAGAGAGATGGTCAATGTAATAACGAAAATTGTACACTGATTCATCAGACGTGTCCAAAATTTAGATCACGAGAAGGATGCTCCGAAGGTTCTTCCTGTCCATTGATTCACAATAGAAAGGTCTTTCAGAAAGATTGCCCTCGTGGTGAGTCATGTAATCAAGGATTGGCATGTAAATATTTCCATCGGAGAAGTGTTAATTTCACACAACAACAACAAAAACCTCCACTGCAACAACAACATTCTAATCATCAATTTAGGGAGAGAACCAAAGCAAATGAAAGTTCATCAAATTTCAATGAAAAGAGAAAGTTTGAAAGAGATTATGATAGACGATCAAATAGAAAATTGGATCAAGTAGAAATTACCAGTAGCAGTAGTAATAGTAGTAATAGTACTAATTTCGGAAACGTTGATACAGAGGGAGATTATATTATGAAAGAAAATTCCTCTACATCTTTTAATGTGGAAGAAGAAATTGAAATTGTGGAGGATGTGAAGAAAATTGATTTGCTTCCGAACTCTACTACTAATAACCTATTTGTGTTGAAGGTGGATAAAAGAGATATTTCCGATGAATCTGCAAAGCTGCTAGGAGATGAAAAATCCATGATACTAATGGTGGAACAAGTAAATGCAGAGTTTGATAAAAAGAAGGAAGAATTGACAAGAAAATTATTAGATATGGTTGATGATAGAGAAGAACTTGCCACAGAAGGACCAATTATTAGAAATGAACGTAAACTATTGGAGAAACAACAAGCAAATTTCCAGAGACAAGTTCAGCAAATTTTTTCACTCAAAGACCAGTATCCACTCTCTACAATTTTACATGCACTCTATAGAGAATGCTGCCGAGGAATGAAGAGCCTTCCTTTGTATGCATTTAGATCTGATATTATTGCAAGTTTACAAAATAATAATGTCATTATTTGTATTGGTGAAACAGGCTCTGGTAAATCTACACAAATTCCTCAATACATTCTCGAGGAAGGATATGGAAGATTTGGTAAAGTAGTGTGTACAGAACCTAGAGCAGTTGCTGCAATGTCTCTTACAAAGAGAATTTCTCAGGAAATGTCCATTAAGGAAAATAGTCTAGTGAGCCATAATTTATATGGAAAGGTTAATAACTGGTCCGATTTACTATTCATGACTGATAGAAAGTTATTGAATGAATTTCAAAATGATGCTCTACTCTCAAAATATTCAGTTATCATTGTCGATGAAGCTCACGAAAGAAATCTATGTTCCGACATTCTAATTTCACTATTGAAGGAATGTGTAATCAAGAGAAGTCAATCAACAACTCTAAATCCACTCAAATTAATTATAACTTCAGCAACTATTGATGAAAATCTATTTTCAACATTCTTTAATAATTGTCCAGTTATTAAAGCTCCTGGAAGAATGTATCCAGTGGATGTTTATTGGACTAAACAAAGAAAAGAAGATTACGAACAAGCAGCTGTTCAAAAAGTGTTAGAGATTATTTCAAACAACAAATTGGAAGGTGACATTTTGGTATTTCTAAGCTCACCAGACGAAATTGATAGATGTATTAAGAAATTAGAATTTCACTCAAGGGAAAACAGAGCTCTTTCTCGCTGTTTGATTCTTCCACTCCATGGAGCACTCACGCCTGAAGAACAAGAAAGAGTATTCGAAAGAGTAAATTCTAGAAGAATAATCTTTTCAACACGTATTGCTGAAAACTCTGTCACTATTGATGGTGTGAAAATCATTGTGGACACTGGTGTTTCACGAGAAAAATTCTACGATCAACAGAGAAACATGTCTATTCTCAAAGTGAATAATATTAGTCAAAGTTCTGCCATTCAGAGAAAGGGAAGAGCTGGTAGAACTTCATCAGGTGTATGTTTCAGATTATTTTCCGAACAAGACTTCTCCTCAATGAGTGTAAATCCAACTCCAGAAATTTTGAATTCTAATTTAGGATTGACTTTATTGAGATTATTTTCAGCTGGTGTGAAAAATGTATTGGAATTTGATCTAATTGAAAAACCTAATCTGGAGGATATGAAGAAATCTCTCAAGAATTTAACCGACTTGCAATTTGTGGATGAGAAGCAAAACATTACACAAATGGGTAAGCAAGCTTCCAAGATGGAAATTGAACCTTCTCTTGCAAGAATGATAATTGAGGGAATTAATTTAGGAATTGGAGATGAAATTATTCAACTAGTGTCCATTATGTCATTCTCCAACATGATCTATGCAAAATCTAAGTCTACAGATTATTTAGAAAAAGATATTATGAAAGTCTCAACTTCAAAGGAAGGTGGTGATCTGATAACACTTCTTCACATCTTCCAAGGATTTCTTCAAGCAAAAGATAAGCGAAGATATGCAAAAGATGGAAATTTCAGTCTGAAAACATTGATCCAAGCAGAAGAAACCATGACAGATATTAGGAAGAGATTGAATTTTGAAAGATCTAGCAATAGTGAATCAAAAACAGTTGAATCCATTCAAGAAATAATTACCAGATGTGTTTGTTGTAGCATGTTTGATAATTTTGCCTATTTTCATGGCATTATTAATGGAAAGAGAGTTTACAAAATTCTCTCATCAAATATGGAAGCTTTTATTCATGGTTCATCATTTTCTAATTATTCAAGCGAGCCAATTGACTATGTAATATATGGAGAATTAGTCAAGACGGAGAAACTATTTATGAAAAATGTAACTCCTATTTCTTTAGAGTCAATCAAACCATTCATTACTTTCAATCAATCTCTAAATGTTGTAAAGAAGAAAGTGATATATCCACTCACCAGAGGAATATTCGATTGTTTAAATGCCAATAACGGAGCATTGTTAGAATATTTAAGATTGAATATTGGATCAATTGTTGAAATGGACCCAGATAGAAACGAACTCGTTGTATATTTATCTGAAGGAGATCAAGTCGAAACAATCCTCAAATATGTTTATGATACAGCTGTTCAAAGATCAAATAATGAATTCCTCGAACATCAAGTTGATTCAAAAGTAAGAGCCCTGATTGGAAGAGGAATGCAAGTTGTCAAATTACTTTTTCCAGGAGAGTTTGTAAAATGCAATATTCTTAATATCCCAAATATGGATTATAATCACATGAGGGAAGTATTCGAGATGCATAATCTTCCAATACTCGATTGCAAACTATTCTTTGAATTGCCATCCAATAGGTATGGGACTGTAATTTTTGATTCTCCACAAACATCCAAGAAAGCTCGTGAATTATTTTCTGATTGTCAAGAGTTTCGTATAACCACAAGTGATTCAACAATAGTTCCAGAAGAAAAAGAAATGAAAAACTATCCACTCAACATTTATTTCTACTCTGAGCACGATGGTAAATGTTTCATCTATTCAGATAACGCCAATGCCCTAAACATTATTCAATCTCAGTACCTTTATGGTCAAAAGATGTTCCGTAATATTGAAAAGAAAAACCTAAAAATTGCAAACTTATCCTTCACACTTGATGAGCACAGAATTAGAGATTTCATTCCAAGAGAACTTCATAACGATATCAGGATAGTTATGAATAGAGATAGACTTGGTAAGGAACAAGAAAATCAATTTGTTAAAAAGATGGTCAACACTATTAGACCAATGATGGAACTTTTTGGAGAATTGGAAATGTTTGAGTATGTTCCAACCAAAGACCTTGTAGGACAGTACAAGATATTGGCCAAGTTTACCAACTTGGAAAGTACAATGACAGCAATGAAAAGTTTAAATGGAGCTAGCGTCGGTGACAAGTTTATTTGGGTGGAACCTGAATTTACGGACATCATACCATTCCCACTTGATTTGGACACTGATAATTTATTTAGAGAAGAGTTAAGGAAAATGATGAAGGAAATTTTTTCTGTTTATGGATGCAGGTCTGGAATGTTTGAAATGAAGAATGGAAGACAAAAGGCTTTGAAAGTTAGAGCAAATTCAGAAGAAGGACTTACTAGAGCAATGGCTATCGCTCACAAATATCTAAAGCCATATGTTCTAAAATTGGGAGTATTCGATTTCTCTATTGCATTCAAGAAAAAGTTTAGAATTCTTGAATTGACCAAAAACTTCAAAGCTTATATTGACTTTGATATTAAGAATAATAATGTCAATATTTATCAACTCGGAATTAATCAAATGAAAGATATTGTCACTACTATTCTACAAGAAATTAGAAATTCCAATAAGGACATTATCAAGTTAACTCAATTGAAACCAATTATTGGAAATCAAGGAAAAGTTTTAAAATCTCTGCAAGAAAAATATGGAGGAAGAATTGATTTTGATTACAAACAAAAAATTATTTCTATTAACAGTTCAGATCAAGAGGAAATCAATAATTTTAAACAGGAAATTAGAAATATATTAGAAAGCCACCAAACTACCAACGAAGAAATATCTCCAGAAGACTGTCCAATCTGTTATGGACCAAAAGAGAATCCAGTTCTCTTATCGTGTGGCCATTCACTTTGTAGAGATTGTTTTATATGTCAACTTGATCAAATGACATTTAATTGTTGTGAATGTGACAGTTTGCTAACCATTCCAGAAATCAATCTTTCTCAGGATTTGAATTTAATTGAAAAACAAGCTCAGTATGCCGTTGAAAAATATCTTGAAAGACATCCAAATGATTTTAAACACTGTTCATCAGCTCATTGTTCTGGAATTGTCTGCATTGATCAAAGTCAAGTAGCTCACTGTCAATCCTGTAACAAAACTTATTGTATCAAGTGTAATGAACCTCCACACCCTGGATTGGATTGTTCTAATGAGGAAGAAGCTCTAATCATTGAGTGGAAGAAGGCCAACACAAAACCATGTCCAAAATGTAAAAATAATATTGAGAAGAATGGAGGATGCAATCACATAACTTGCTATTATTGTGGAGCTCACTTTTGTTGGTTGTGTGGATTTTTGGCCAATGGGGCTGTTGGTGTTTATACACATTTACAAACGTGTAGATAACCATATTTGCCAAATAGATCAAGTAGTAGAATTGAATAGTACTTAGAATAAAACTTATTGATTGTTTAATAATGGGATGTGAAAAACTAAATCTTTCGAATAAGGAATTACAGTGTCCTCCTTCTTGATGATATAACCTAATTGATTGGAGACCAGAACTGTTTTTCCATCTGTAACTCGAGGGTTGTCCAAATATAAAAAGGAATTTCGGTGAGTGTGTCCAAAACCCCAGAACGAAATATTTGAATGTTGTTTGATTATGTGATCCAAGTTTGTAGCCATACCACTTGCAAGAAACATTTCATCTTCAAGAACAGTTCCATTAATGAATGGAGAATGATGTGTAAGAACAGCAATAGTTTCTTCTGGATGTTTTTCACATTCCTTTCTAATATATTCAACCAACCTTTCGTGCATTTCAATGGTTTCGGATATTGTTACACATTTCTCAGAGTTGGTTTTAATTCTTCTATAATCATTCATTGAGTATTCGACTTTCGATCTTTCTTTCAATGGTACATTTGTCCATAATGTCCCACCAACAAATCTAATTCGTTTCCCACTTTCATTTTCATATACGAAACTACTCTTGTTCAAAAACACAAGATTATCCTTCTTTTTACAAATATCCATAATCCTCTGATCAGTTTCCGATATAATATTCCTATAATATTCATGATTTCCAGTAACAATAAACACAATCTTGAATTTTTCAGCTTGCTCCATCACGAATTGTTCATATTCCAAACTAAACGGATCACCAATATCACCCAATAACCCTAAAACCTCACCTTTTGCTTCTATGATATTCGTTTCTCGACTAATTTTTCCATCCTCCTCTGCAACATTACTGATTAAAGCCTTTACTTGAGGAAATTCTAAATGAACATCGGAAGCAAGTTGAATGGTTAGATAATTTTCCAAATTGTTAGGATTTATTTGTACAGGATCAAATGATGGAAGCAGCAATTCCAAAGTTGCACCAGAATCTTCAATAGCTTCACTCGATTCTGCTTGTCCCATTTTTTTTTGATTTTTTTGTAAATTAATGGATTCTAATTGGAAGGTTTCATTGTAAGCTGCATCATGTGAGTGGATAAAACCCAACAATATCAACAATCCTATTGACAAACTTTCCATCGATATCATATTGTTCCAAACCATCAATTTGATTGCCAAATTCCTTTCCTAATACGGATATCAGATAGTTCTTATCCCACTCTGAATAATTCCAATAACAAAGATCCTCTTCTTTACATAATGGCTTTGGTAATAATTTATCCCCTAATAACACCTTATCCTGTTCATCAATTGGTAAATGTTGCTTTCCCAAAAGAGTTTCTGATAACATTTGCACAACCTTTTCTCCATCCAAAAAACGAAGAATAAATCTCTCTGCTATAAAGCTTCCACTCCTAAACTTGAATCTGTTCTTAAAGAGTATTCAAATCTCTCAAGCACAACAACAAAACTTCATGCTTAACCTTCTTTGCCTCCTTGCTGCTATTCTCTTCAAAAGCTGTTGAAAGTAATTGATGGTATGAATTATCTTCAAAGGGATTCTTGCGCTTCCTATGGGATACTATTTTTTTTTTGCTTAATTTTCTCCATTCACCAGAAGAAAACATAACTGTAATATATTGAAAAGTTTGAATCCCCTTCAATTAAAGTTTAATGGTTTTAAGGTTTGGAAAATTTGAATATTTTGGAACCAAAAGTAAAAAATATTAATTATTGTAAATTTTCAAATAGATCACTGAATGAGTTAATAGGTAGCAATCATACTGCAAACCAACCCTACTACAGGAGACTCGAGCTGCAGGTTAGGGTCATAGAAGGGGATTGCTGTAAAAAACCCGGAAGTGACCTCTGTAGTTTTTTACTTTATGATTTCCTTTTTCGTTTCTGAGGAACAATGAACAGTTTTACAAAAAATCAAAAAAAATGTCGCAAGAATATTCAGCGATCGTGCTAGATAATGGCTCTTGCTCCATCAAAGCAGGTTTTTCAGGATGTGAGAATCCACAAGTAGTTTTTCCATCACTCATTGCTTCTCCTTTAAAATCCAAAGAATCTGAAAATATCAAAGAAATATACCTTGTGGGAGATGAAGCTAAAATTGACAGTAGAAAGAATGTTATGGTCAGATATCCAATAGAACATGGAGTAGTGACGAATTGGGAGGGGATGGAACAGATTTGGCGTCATGTTTTTAGTCAATTACAGGTGGATTGTGAAAATCATCCTGTTTTATTGACTCAACCTCCTTGTAATCCAAAACAAAATAGAGAAAAGATGACTGAAATAATGTTCGAAACATTTAGAATACCATCCATGTATGTTTCTATTCCTGCTGTATTGTCCTTGTTTGCAACTGGGAGGACAACTGGAATAGTTTTAGATTCTGGAGATGGTGCGACGAATATTGTTCCAATTTTTGAATCACATGCTTTAGAATATGCTGTTAGGAGATTGGATTGGGCAGGTCGTGATTTGGATTATTATATGTCTAGAATTCTAAGTGAAAGAGGGTTCTCATTCTTTACACGAGAGGAAATGGACATTGTGAGGGAAATTAAGGAAAAACTGTGTTATGTTGCATTGGATTTTGATAAAGAAATGGAAAATACATCAAATAGCTTGGATGTTGATTATGAATTACCAGATGGTAACATTCTCACGATAGGAAATGAAAGGTTTCGATGCCCAGAAGTGTTTTTCAAACCACACTTAATAGGAATTGAAGAACAAGGCATTCATGAGGTGATAATTAATTCAATTGGAAAGTGTGATGTGGATATAGGACATTTGAACTTGTATGGGAATGTAGTTCTTTCAGGAGGATCCACAATGTTTACAGGAATTGGAAAGAGGCTACAAAAGGAATTATCTGAACTAGCTCCTTACTCTATGAAAATTTCGGTTGTTGATTCCCTAGGGTTTGATAGGAAATTTTTGTCATGGATTGGAGGTAGTATCCTATCATCAATGACTGCATTTCAATCTGATTGGATAGTATCAAGAGAATATAAAGAAGTTGGAAGTAGCATCGTTCACAGAAAGTGTTTCTAAAATACTAATTGGTAACGTAAAACACAATAAGTTTAAGAATTTTATTTACTTTTTGAAAATCAACTTTTTGGAAATCCACTCATTCATATCGGCTTCATTAACATTTTCATTCACTGCCTGTTCAATTAATTCTGGAATATCAAAGTTGTTATCACTCATTACTAATTTCATATTCAATAAAGCTTGATGGTAGAATTGTTTAGTTTTCACAAGAACTTCCTCAGTCAAGTTTACAACCTTTTCTTGGAGAGGAGCCAATTCAGTTTCTAATTGAGCCTTTTGTTGAATGAGCTTATTTTCACTTTCCTTTTCAAGAGTTTGTTTTTGCTTTTGTAATTCTTCTTCCATTTTTTGTTGGAGTTTTCTTTCTGATTCCTGGTTTTCATTTCTCAAAGTTTCGAGTGCCTTTTCGTATTCTTCCTTCAAGATAGATGATTGCTTGTTGAAATTTCTTTCAACATCTTCAACAGTTTGTTCATGCTTTTGGTTCCAAAGATTCTTTTCATTTTCCATTTCAAGGAGCCATTTTTCTCTTTCGATAGAAATTAATTCTTGAACATCTTGTTTCCATTTGATTTGTTCTTGTTGAAGGACTTGGGCAATTCTGTTTTCGATGGCTAGTTTTCTTTCTTGTTCCTCTTCTGCAGAACGTTTCAGATCGACTGTAGGTTGTGAGCTATTCTTCTCCAATTGCTTGGATTTCTCATCAAGTTCCTTTTCCCTTGTTTCCAAATTGAGTTGGAGTCTTTCACAGAATTCAGATAATTCCTTGTTGTGTTCTTCCTTTTCTTCAATTTGACTCTTTAAAGAATTTGTTTGTTGTTCTAGCTCTGCTTTTTCCTTTTGGATAATTTCCAAAGTTTCAGTTAAATTCTTAACTGAGTCTTCCTTTTGTAGATTGTTAAAGCTCTCCTTCTTGAGTTCGATAATTAATTCATCCTTATAGGAAATGTCCTTTCTGAGCTCTTCCAATTCTTGACTCAGAATAATGATTTGTTGTTGGTAATCATCTTCCAATTCCTTCATGTGCTCTTCCATAAGTTTGAGAGCATTATCTGTTGGTTGTGTTGATTCAGAGCTTGCTGTTTGAGTATTATCATCTGAGGAATCACTCTTATTGATAACAGAGTTCAATTGTTGCATCATTGAGGATGTGAATTGAGCTGATCTTCTACTGGACATGACTGAAAACTCATCATTTCCGAGAGCTGACAAGTTGATAGAAAATCTATTACTAGATCTTGGTGTTGTGACAGAGGAGCTTCCACTTGATTGTGAAGGGAAAATTTGCTCTGCATTCTCAATCAAAAATCTACAGACTTGACAAATAATTGGTAGAGTTTGTTGTTGCTTTTGTAAGTGAGCACGAATGGACATTCTCTTGAAATCATCCAACACAACAGCGACAGATGATTGAGGGACGAACATTAAATTAGTAGACATGACAATAGCCATAGTCTTTGGTGTCATTTTAGTGTCATTGGCATACTCACCAATAGAGGCCATTCTCAAAATACTCAACAATTCTCTCAGAACTGCTTGATTGACCTGAGGTAGAGTGTGAACAAGTCTCTTAGTTGATTCCAAAACATGGAAATAGTCCTTACTGGCTTCTTGTGTAATTCCATCTACATCAGCATGAGGTTCAAACAATCGAATGAATTCATCGTATTTCTCATAACTCAACAATGGATCTTGCATTTCACGAAGGAAACGTTTGATGAGATCAGCAACCAAGTGAGCATCTGTATTTGGAGGGAAATGAATTCCATTAGGGAAAATAGTTGGGAAGGCCAACAAGGTATTGAACTTTTTCATAAACTTTTCAATCTTGACCTTGGATCCAGCTTGTCTGAAGATTCCTTCATTGGCCACACGTGGAGTTTGACTTGAAGGATCGTTGGACTTTAAAAAGTGGAAACAAGCTCTCAAAACAAAAGGAATTTTCACATCTCTCAACAGGTACAATGTTGGTTCTTTCACATGCAAACGTTCTTCATCTGTCAGTGATGCATATAATGTGTCAATATTCTTCAAATCTACATTATTTGCACAGAGTGAGAGTGTTTGGGGTGAGAGAACAGTTAGTGGACTGAGAAGTGTTGTGAATGGAGTCTTTTTTCTAGATTCAATCTCTGAAATAATCCAATTACTATTTAAGGTGTTATAAGTCTTTAAACTCTTCATTAAAAAGTGGAAATTGAAAAGAGTTTCATTCTTACAAATAGTTTGTAAGTAATTTCCAAATACTTTAGCTTTGAAAGGTGCACAATTTGGGAATAATTCCAAATAAAGAGTGTCAATTGTTGGTGGTTGATTATCAGCTGAAATCAAATGATAACTATGAGCATATTCCTTCATGGAAAATACAGTTGATTTCATCTTGATGAATTCTCTCTTCATTTCTCCATCATTCATCTCATCAGAATCATTAGAAGTAGTACTTTGATGTGAAGTATTCTTTGAAACTAAACCTTCTGAAATATCTTGTTTATCATAGTAGAAACTTCCTGGAATACTCTTTCTCTTCTTTCCTCCACCGTATACCATTCCAACCAAGTTTGCTCCAAAACTCTTCATTCTGTCATGTTTTGATGAACTAGCGTCATTAGAAACACTTGACATATCAGAAGTGTCATCACTCAAACCAACAACCATTTCTGAAGAAATATTTGATGTAGTTGTCATGACAAAACACGAATTTTGTGGGAAAATCATTTGAAGATCATCTTGTAATTGTAGTAAAATATCGTTAAAAGTTGTTTGTTTTGATTTCTTCCCATTCAATTCGAAAGTTTTTGTGTGGAGAACAGAATTTGATTGATCGGTAGGAGAAAGTTCAATATACAATCGAATTTTTGTTAAATTATTTGAGGACATGTTATTTGATGATGATGATATATTATGCTGCTGATGATGATTTTAACAAGTAAGAATTTTGATCATTAAATTCGTCGACTTTCTTTGTGAAAGTTTCTTGATTTTTTTCAAATTCGTACAAAGCTTGTCATTCATCAATCAGAGAATGGGAAGGTGATACTTGCTTTGTGGAAGATGTTCGACAAATGAATTATTGTTATCTTCACAATTTTCTTCTTCATCATATTTTACATCTAACCGATGAATGAAAGAACAAGTTGAAGGAGTTTATTATTGTCATCATGAAGGAAGAATATTGTGTGATGTGGTATCAATCTTTACCTGTACGAGGAAGGAAGGAGAGAAATTTACTGGAAGGCACTGGTGGGTTGCCTTCTTGTTATTCTCTCCAAAGTACATCACCATGTGTGGTTAGAATATTATCGTGAAGCCTTCTTCACCTCTGTCTAAGACAATGTTAATTCATCATTGAATTGTTCCGTGCAGAGTATTACTCCAGAGTATTACTTCTTCTGTACAAACAATGTCTTTTCTCTCTGGAAGGATCTGGGGAAAGCCGTTATATCTTCAACGACGAAGTCCTAACAAGATGATCCCACCATTAAACTCTGACAAAATCATAATAATGTGATGAATTATATTCTTCTTCTTCTTATCGGAGAGGTACCAATAAATTCGTTGTTCAACTTGGGTGTTGGTTGCTTGTGGCGCAAGATGATGAAGAGCCTTGTTTGTTGTTGGTTCAAGACTTTACATTCCGTGTTGATGATTATCTACCTGTGTGAGCGTTAGGTTTGGAAGAGCCTTGTTTTTTCACCAATGTTAATAGTGTGTAATACTGGCGAAGAATATTTTGTAAACACAAAGTGGATCCAAATGTAACGGTTTTGTAAACTCTTCTTACCGTTACCAAATTTTTGAGAAAGTGACGAAACCGCTGAGTTATTTAAAATGGCGCGTTTTCACACCGTTTTTAAAATCAACAAACAAAAAAAAAACAAAACAATTCGTATTTACGAACAAACAACAACAAAACAAATAACTAACAATGACTGGAAGAGGTAAAGGTGGTAAAGGTTTAGGTAAGGGTGGTGCTAAGAGACACAAGAAGGTTCTCAGAGATAACATTGCCGGTATTACCAAGCCAGCTATTAGAAGATTGGCAAGAAGAGGTGGTGTTAAGCGTATTTCTGGTCAAATCTACGATGAAACTCGTACTGTCTTGAAGAATTTCTTGGAAAATGTTATCAGAGATGCTGTTACTTATACTGAACACGCTAGAAGAAAGACTGTTACATCAATGGATGTTGTCTATGCTTTGAAGAGACAAGGAAGAACCTTGTACGGTTTCGGATACTAAATTGCTTTGCAAATTAGTAATTAATAATTATTGGATGATGAAAATCATCTAGCAAACATTTTCCCAACAAACAACTCGTCAAGAAATTGACACCCTAGGCTCTTGTACAAATAAATTATTAAAAATCAATAATTATTGAATATAATTTTAATTAAATTGTTTTGTTGGTGCGTATAATTCCAGCATAATGAACTATTTAGTTTGTAGATAAGAGTGATATTAACAGAGATGGAAGAACAATTTACAAGAGATTTTATCACGCTCAATCTAATAATAAGATCAAGTTCTTTCATGCAAATCTCTTCATAAGAACAATTGGAAAATCAAAACATCACAGAAAACAATAAAAAGAAAATACAAATGCTACCATCATCCGATACTAACAAACCAAACAATACTTGTTACGAAATTGCAGGTGTTGGCTTTGCTGTTGCCCCCAAGACAGATTGCCCACACTTTGACTCTGAAGAGCACTTTGCTGTCCCATGGAATGATAGAAAGGCCATCAAGGAACTCTTCACAAAGGATGCTCCGTGTAGACATTGCCACTCCACAGCAGAGAATTGGTTCTGTCTCAAGTGCCAAGATGTTTGTTGCTCTCGTTACCAGAAGAGCCACATGTTGCATCACTATGAAAAGACTGGTCATGCTTTGGTGTTGAGTTTAGCCGATCATTCATTGTATTGCTATGAATGTGATGCCTATGTAGAGAACAAGACTTTAACAAGATTGCTCTTGAGAGAGTTACATCATGTAAAGTTTGGAGAATATCCAGGTGCTAATGGAGCCTCAGTAGAGATGGAAGAAGCCATTGAAAAGTTGAGAAATGTCTCTGAAGCCATTGAAGAGGAGAAGAAGAAGGTTGATTCGGAGAAGGAAAAAGCCTTTGAAATTCTAGCTGAAAAGATTCAAAGTGCCTCTGATGAATCAATTATTGTATTGACTGGAGCTGGATTGTCCACTAGGTAGGTTTATTCATTATTATTATCCTTATTATTGATTGTTAATATTATTATCATCATCATTATACTTGTTATAATATTCAATGATTCAATTGTAATATTTAAATATTATTAATGATAATAATTGGATAGTGCTGGAATTCCTGATTTTAGAACTCCTGGAACTGGATTGTATGATAATTTACAAAAGTATAATTTGCCTCATCCAACAGCCATTTTCGAGTTGAAATATCTTCCAACTAATCCTCATCCATTCTTCCATTTGAGTAGAGATTTCATTTCTTCTGGATATAAACCAACTAAAGCTCACTACTTTATCAAATTGTTGGAAGAAAAGAACAAGTTGAAGAGATTATATACTCAAAATATTGATGGTTTGGAAGCCAAGTCAGGTAGGTTTGTCAATATTACAGAATATTTATTGTGACAATTTTCAATCATTTAAAGGAATTACAAAGGAGCACTTGGTAAATTGTCACGGAATGTACGATATTGGTCACTGTATTGAATGTTCAAAGGAATATTCATTGTCTGAAATTGTAAAAAAGATGGGAACTGATGAAGAAGTCCAAATTCCAAAGTGTGACAAGTGTGGACATATTGTCAAACCAGATATTGTCTTGTTCGGAGAGTCATTACCTAACAAATACGTAGATTGTTGCAAATCAGATTTGCTTCGTTCCAAGGATTGTGAAGTCTTCATTGTCATTGGTACTTCCTTGTCAGTCTAGTAAGTAATTGAATTATTTTTTTATTGACCTAATAATTGTAAAAATAGTCCTGTTGCTGGTTTACCAGAATATGCTCCAGAAGGATCAACACGTGCTCTTCTTAATCGTGAAAAATGTGGACCTTTCAGTAAGGTGAAAGGAAATGTTGCTGAAGTTGGAGATGATTCAGATTATTTGGATTTGTTCCTTGGTGGAGAGGATTCATCCATTGATGAATGTGTTGAAAAATTATGTAAATTATTAGGATGGGAAGCTGAATTGGAGGAATTATATGTTAAAGGACCAGTCGATCTCGTAGAATTGAGTAAGAAATAAATGCAACAATTAACTTCATCTCTCTACTTCTTCATGTACTGAAAAGGTTGGAATAACAACAAAGAAAAATACATAGAGAAGGGCAGAGAGAAACAATTGCATTTATCAGAGAATCCCATAAATACAAGAATTGACTTCCTTTGAACTTCTTAGAACATTTTTGAAAATTATTAGTGAAAGGGCGAGATCTGTAAATCAAGTTAAAAAAAATGGTGTTTCGTCTCTTCTCAAAGATTCGAACAGTTGATGCTAATGATGACCTTTCAACTGTTTCAGAACAAGAATCTCACGTTCCAGTTCCAGTGGTAGTTTCTGTTAAAGTTTCACCATTAAAAATTACACAACATTCTCTCAAAATATTAGAAAAAGTAAATAGGGATGAATTATTAATTGTTGGATGTTTTCTAAATACTTCCGAGCTAGCAAATCTTGCTTCATGTAATCAACAATTACTGGAATTTTTCTTTAATTTGACAATTGACAAGGTCAATTTAATAGCAAACAGGAAAAAAGAATTCTCAACTGTGAACATGGATTCAAGAATTGTTTCAATCAAGGATGTTTACCAAGAGAATGATGAATTATTCTCAACAACTCAAACAATAATTTGGAAACCACTTGTTCTACATTATTTTCCAAGTTATTCGAAATCTCTGAATGTGAAAAATTGGATGCACATATTAAGGAGAAGATTCACCCACCTTCAGATACACATGCCAAGATCCAAAAACCAAAACCAAATTCAAATAATTGGCGGTACTGATAAATATCAAAGGGAATTCGTTGAAGGTTGCGAATGGGAATACGAATGTCCACTCAAAATCACCTCAATGACTTTCATTTCCGAGGAAATGGTGTTTTGCAATGTTTGTAAGGAGAATATTTACAAAGTTCATAATGAAACTGATTTGAACTATCACACCGAACAAGGACATTGTGTAATTCTAACCGAAAAAAAACGACTTAGAATTGGAAAGACGTATAATCCTAATTATCATAAACTTCCTGCTGTTCGTTAACTCCAATTTTTTTGTTATTATTTTCATGTAGTTTATCAAATAGGTTGCTTTTTCTGAACTATCATTTAGTCAACTGAAAAATATGAGAAAGAGGTGAAGTTAATACTCTTGCTCACCGTCGAAGATGGTTTGAATTAAGGTAAACACTTGTACAAAAAGAATACAGAGAAGCGTCCAACAGGTGTCATTGTCCTGACATATGCCAAAGTTGTTATATATGCTCAGATTCAAATAAATTCACTTAATTCCTATCCTAGTGACTTGTTTCAACTTAAATCGGTTTATATTTCACAAGTTAAGATTATGAATGGCTACGGCCATATCACGATTCATGCACCTCATCCCGTCCGATTTGAGAAGTTAAGCATCGTCGAGCCACATCAGTACTGAGGTTGGAGACAACTTGGGAACCTGTGGTGCTGTAGTCTTTTTTATTTTTTCTCTATTTCTATTTTTCTGTGATATAAAGCACCTTAATTAATATCAGTTGTGGACTAGATCTATTAGCAACTTATTTTCTTCTTGAATAACTTCCCGTGTAGTCCAATGGCTAGGATACCTGGCTTTCACCCAGGAGGTCCGGGTTCAATTCCCGGCATGGGAGGATAATTTTGCAAAAGATAATTTATTTGGTAACCTTTTATTAATGGAAAGGGTTATTGAAATGGAACAGTTGACTTAATCAATAATGGTTTTCTTTAACTTTTCTTCAATTTCTTCCTTTTGCTTTTTCACACTTTCAGCTTGTTGTTTCAAACTTTCAATTCGATTATTGAGTTGATCACTGATGGTTCCTCCCAATAACAACACAGTTTCATTTTGTGCATTCATTTCTTTCTGAACCATTTCTAATTCTATTAACATGTATTCTAATTGCATAGACATCTCTTGGAAGTCTTCAGCTTTTCTCTTTTTCATTTCTATCATTTCAATGAATTGTTTCTTGACATTTTCAATTTCGAATAATTCTTGTGATGCTTGTTCAACTCTATAAGCTTTTTCTCCGATCACTTTCGAATAATTCTTGATCAAGGTTCTCCAAAAGGTTTCTGATTGAACCAATTGTTCATGAATTTTTTTGTTGATCGAAAGAATATTTCCCAAATGTTTAACGGAGAGAATGGAAAATATTTCAATTTGCAACTCGGAGGGAAGATCAACAAAGTTTGACATTTTTTAAAATTGTTATTGGATGAGATTTTTGAAATTGCATAATATCATGATTTGATGAAGGTAAATAATTTATTGTTGTCATTCTTCCGATCAAAGCTTTGATTTCATATTAGATTTTATCTATCTTAAAGATTTTGCTTTGTGTTTTCTGGCTGATTCCGAAGGAGAATTAAATAATTTATTTAATTCATTGTAAAAAAGAAGAATATTAATATTGCAATCAGACTGAATTTGAACCACTCTATTTTTAAATTATACAAAGCAACACAAAGAATATGAAAATGAATGTGCATATTTGAAATTGAAGATGAGGGTCATTTTCGTAAGTGAATCAGATTCAAATTCAAACACAAGTCTGAAAGTGAAGCTGTGGTGGAGGTTCAAATTGAAAACAAGCTATTTAAACAGCTCTCGAGATATTCTCACTCCATCAAACCAAACAAAAAAAACAAGTTAACAAACAGCTCATTCAGCTCAATATTCAAATACAGTAAATTTAAAATATGGTCAAGTTCAGTAAAGAAATACTCGAAAGGCTCTTACTCGACAGTAACAAGATTCGTAACATTAGTATTATTGCTCACGTTGATCATGGTAAATCAACACTCACTGATCAATTGGCTTTAGCAGCTGGTTTAGTGGATGAAGATGCTGCAGGTGAGAAGAGAGTTTGCGACGTCGATAAGAATGAAATTGAAAAGGGTATTACCATTAAATCAACAAGTTTGAGTATGGTATTGGAAAATCCAGACAAGGAGAATGATCATCATTTGGTTAATTTGATCGATTGTCCAGGTCACATTGATTTCTCATCTGAAGTTAGTACAGCTTTGAGAATTACTGATGGTGCAGTGTTGATTGTTGATGCTGCTGAAGGTTGTAGAGGTCAAACTGAAACAGTAATTAGACAATCTCTTCAAGAAAGAATTCGTCCAGTTCTCTTCATTAATAAGGTTGACCGTTTGATTGAAGAAATGCAATTTACTGAAGAAGAAAGTTATCAAAACTTTTTAAGAATTATCGAGTCTGTGAATGCTCTATTATCAACTTATTCTGATGAGTCAGTTTCTGTTGATCCAGTTGACTGTAACATTGCTTTTGGATCAGGTAAGATGGGTTGGGCTTTCACTTTGGAGCAATTCGCTCAATTATATAGCAAGAAGTTTAAACTTCCTGTTGAGAAGGTTATTAACAAATTATGGGGTGAAAATTATTATGATCACTCAACTAAGAAGTTTACCACTGAACCTTATTCATCGACAAGTGGTCAACAATTGAAACACACTTTCTGTGAATTCATTTTAGAACCTATTTTCAAGATTTTCAAGTTGGTTAGAGAACATCAAATTTCGAGTGAAGGTATTTTGCCAACAGATTTGGAAAATATCATTAGTGCATTGTCTATACCTCTGACGAAAGAAGAAAAGAGAAAGGAGCCGAAACTTTTAGCTAAATCAATCATGAGAAAGTTCCTACCAGCTCACAAACCTCTAGTTCAAATGATTATTAACCATTTACCTTCTCCTAAGGAAGCTAAAAAGGTCAGGTATGATAATCTCTACACTGGTGAAGATTTGACAGATCCATACGCTACTGGTATTAAGGAATGTGATCCGAATGCACCACTGGTTGTCTATGTCAGTAAGATGGTACCTATGCACTCTAATACTAGCTCTAGTATGAGTAATAATGTTGGTCGTTTTATTGCTTTAGCTCGTATCTTCTCTGGCAGTTTGACTCAATCAACTAAGGTAAGAATTCTGGGTCCTAACTATGATCCAATTGCTAAGAAAGATGTTTTCCATACAAGCATTCAAAGATTGTTAGTCATGGTTGGTAAAAATACTGAAAGCATCACTCAAGCTTCTTGTGGTGCCATCGTCGGTATTGTTGGTCTTGACAAGTACATTATCAAATCATGTACATTGACAGAAGAAGGACAAGTTGCATGTATGCCAATTAAGAATATGAAATACTCTGTGAGTCCTGTTGTTCAAATGGGAGTTGAGCCAGCCAATCCAGCTGATTTATCTCGATTTGTTGAAGGTTTGAAACGTCTCGTTCAAAGTGATCCTCTATTGGAATGTAAGCAAAATGATAGTGGTCAACATATTCTAGGAACAGCAGGTGAATTGCATTTGGAAATTTGTTTAAAGAATTTGGAAGAAGAATATGCAAGAGGAATTCAAATTAAAAAGTCTCCTCCTGTTGTCACTTTCCACGAAACAGTTTCAAATAAGAATGGAGACATGGTCATGGCCAGAAGTGCAAACGGTCACAATCGTTTATACATGCAAGCTGAACCAATCAGTGAGGAATTGATTGAAATGATTAAGGAAGGTCAATTGCCAATGGATGATCAAAATAAGAGAGCAAAGATTTTAGAAATTGACTTTGAATGGGATCCTAGCATAACAAAGAGAATTTGGAGTTTTGGACCTGAAGCTGATAAGGGTAGTAACATTTTGGTTAATGCAACCAAGTCAGTTGACTATATTAATGAAATTCAACAATATGTTGTCACTAGTTTCCAACAAAGCAGTTCTTCAGGAGGTTTATGTGATGAAGCAATGAGAGGTGTTTTATTCAAATTTAATGATTGTAATCTTCATGCAGATTCTATCCATCGTGGAGCTGGTCAAATTCTCCAAGCAACATCACGTGTCATGACTGCTAGTCAATTGAGAGCTGATCCAAAGTTAGTTGAACCAATGTATCTTGTTGAAGTTCAATGTCCTCAATCAGTGATGGGTTCTGTCTATAGTGTCATTTCCAATAGAAGAGGTGTTATCAAATCTACTGAAATGGTAATTGGTACTCCTCTCGTTAGTATTACAGGTAATTTACCTGTGCTGGAAAGTTTCGGTTTAACAGAAGAGTTGAGAGGTGTGACTCAAGGACAAGCTTTCCCTCAATGCAGTTTCAGTCATTGGAAAGTAATGGAAGACAATGTTTATGATCCTCAATCTAAAGTTCACAAGCTCATCAAATCTATCAGAAAGAGAAAGGGTCTTAAGGAAGATATACCACTCTACACAGATTACTGTGATGCAATGCCTAAACAATAAGAGTTTTAGCATTTAGTAATAAATTGCCTTTTTCTCCAATCTTTCAACAGTACATAACAATCGGGGATGATTCTTAACAAGTTTGAATCAATATCTATCAATATCTATCAATATCTCAAATTGAATCAATCTTCAATAACCATATGGTAAAGTATTATTTTTTATTTTAACAAAAATTCAGTAAGGATTTTGAGGCGCTTGTTACCATTGTTGATTTTCTTGATGACTGCTTTCTATCATTGATTAGCGTTTTCAGAGGCGATACTAGAAATGATATTGAAGACAATGATTTATAATAAGGAAACAATACAAAAAGTTGAAGGAGAAACAAGCAAAAGTTGCAGAAGGTGGGATTTGAACCCACGAAGCTTGCGCAGTAGAACTTGAGTCTACCCCCTTTGACCACTCGGGAACCCCTGCTTCATATAATCTTATAAACCTGGTTGTTCACTTTGAATATACCAACATTCTGTATTTTCAAGTTAGCCCATTGCTCACCTTAGCATCTTATTTTCATTATCTTCCACAATATTCTTTATCATCTTTATTCGCCTTGAAACCAATCCTTAATTTATTCTCCCAGCTTATTCAACTATTTTCTTGAATTGAATTTCCAATTTTCCCAATTTTTTAACCATAACTTTTCCTCGCAACATTTCACACTTTCACAACCAATATAACATCATTGAGGATGCAAGATTGAAAAAACCATTGACTGTACTTCTACAGGATCTTTTCTGTAGGAATACATAAACTCGACTTTTTTGAGTCAATCTGACCTTTGAGGTTAACCAAGATGAAGACTCTGTAGTCACATATCTTGAGCATGATATCGAACTGGAAACATGCTTCGTTGTAGGTTTCCTCGTTCATAGATGATTGCTGCATTCCTTACCAGCCATGGTTTGTGAATGGGGGATTTGTGAACATGCAGATTGGTACCTTAAACTTTTTATCAATTAAAAGAAAAATATTACAACTATGCCCGAGAGCTGCCAATTAAACTCTATAACAAAACTTTCCTTTTATTATTAATCAACATGGCCCGTCGTATCTTCATTGCACTGTATTGGAGTTAGGGTTTTATTTTGTCTTGGAAAGCAAATATTTGAAGACTCAAATTCGAAATTTGAAGGTTTATTGATCAACCACAAGTTTCTCTTTCTAAATAGATAAAATTCAAAGGTGATAAATATATGGTCACGTTGCAAGTTCTTCTAAACAATAACTTACTGAACCAACAATCAATAGATTCGTTGCCTTCACTGTTCATACAGTCAAAGACTGTAGCGGGATTGTCGCCATATTCCTGGCAGGCTTCCCGTCTAATTTACCAATTGAACAATATCACAACATATTCCCTTTTACTGTATTCCTGTAATAAGGGCAGTACATTGATGTAAAAGCTTTCTTAAAAGTTATCAGGTTTCTCCTGTTGATTATTGTTTGATAAGAAATAATTACCATTAAGGCAAATTCATTTAAAATTACAATCCATTAGTTCCTGACAAATAACTATGCATGAATTTGTGACTTATGGCCAAACTGTAGGATAAAATCATTTTGTTAAAAAAAATGAAACATTTGGTGCAGATTTATATTGCAGAAATTAGGTTAATTGATGGCTACGGCCATATCACGATGAATGCACCTCATCCCGTCCGATTTGAGAAGTTAAGCATCGTCGAGCCACATCAGTACTGAGGTTGGAGACAACTTGGGAACCTGTGGTGCTGTAGTCTTTTTTTCATATCAAAATTTGTTTTATTAAGCTTGCTATTAAAGTAAGTCTTGAAGTGAATCACTGCAATTCTCCTCAGGCAACAATTGCAACAATCGTTTAGACCTTTCGAATAAATTTAGAACAATTGGCGAATCACTCCAAACATTAGCCAATCTTTCACACAAGCAATACAATTGGAAATAGTGCTGAGAGAACAACAAATCCCTTACCAGCAACAAATCCTTTTCCATCTTCTTCTCATATTCAGAGGCCTCATTCCTGAATGCTACTAAATTGTAAATGCAAGTTGAATTACTCTTTCCTCTCAATTTGAGTAGATCAACAAAGTGAAAGATAAATTCCTCCCTCACCTTATCAACAATCTCACCACTCACAAGGATGGAACCAAAGTTTTGAGCGAGTGATTGTAATCTTAATGCAATGTTACACTCGTCACCAATTACTGTAAATGACATTCTGCTCTTACTGCCCAAACAACCAACAAGCATTTCACCACATGTAATTCCAATAGAAATATCCAATTGAATACCCATTAGAATCTTCCATTTAGAGTTCAAATCCTCAATTACTTCCATGCATTCAATGGCAGTTTTACAAGCTCTTGATTCATGATTTGCACATCTGAATGATTTTTCATTCCAAAATACCATTACAGTACCCTCAATGAATTTATCAATAATTCCACAATGGGCCTCAATGACCTGTGATATGGAGCTATAATATTCTGTAATGATTCGAATAAATGCTGTAGTTTCGGTCTTTTCAGAAAGTGTTGCAAAATTATTGATACCACAATACAGAACTGTCATGCTCGGTTCTAATTTCATACCAATTTTACCGTACTCTTGCTTATTTGAAACAATCATCTTGGCAATAATGTGTGGAACATACTTGCTGAATGCAAATATTCCTCTTTGGGTGATTTGAATATTTTCGTCCATTTCCTTGATTTCACTGAAAATTGTAACATGTTTCTTGTATGGAGTTTCTAAACCTTTGAATGAAATGAGATGATTCATTTGCTTGGTAATGTCTATCAGTGGTTGATTAATTGATTGAACAACGCATAAAACAATTAAGGTTTCTAATACAAAAAAAATGATAAATAAAATTACAGAAACAACACCAGAAGAAATGACCTCGGAGAAATATGTCTTCTCCAAACTCGTCGTGACCACAGTGCATGTCAGATTGTAGGTATCCCTCACTGTTGAAACTTCTACAATTTTCCCCTTATAATGAAATATGTGAGATTCGTTTGCATTCAGATTCAAGTTGTTTAAATCAGAGCGATGAATTTCTTCAGAAATATCATCAATAGATGGATCGTTCTCACTGCTTCTTGCAAAAATACCTCCAGTTCCATTGATAATGAATGAACTGTATAGAAGAGCTGTGGATGAGTTCGCAACATTGACATTTTGAATTTTGAATTCCAAAGCAACTATTCCAAATAAATAATCATTATGTGCACCCTTCATACGCTCTAATTCCTCAACTTGAATGGCATGAAGAGTGGAATTACCTCCTGACAATGTATAATTTCTTACTGGAATATGACTATATATGGGATAGACAAAAAAAACTGAATATAAACCCTCCTCGTTCAAGGAAGCACTTGTCCAACATGGTCCAGCTACCTTCTTCGACTGCCTAATCTCTCTGTACCAATCACAATCGGTTGGTGATGAATTAATTGACTGGTTTTCTGCCTTGCTGTCAACCAAATCTAAATCATCATATGACAACAGGTGTGAATTCGTATCTCTTATTCTATACGTTAAACGAATATGCTCCTCTTCTGAAGAATTATTTGGAAACTTTCCAGTTTCGAACAAATTATGATTTTTAAATATCAAGTAATAATCGTCAAATCTTACAAATTGAATGGAAACTAGTTGAGTACTGGTAAGCATTCTGTCAGTGGCTCTTATTACTCGCATCCATTCAATTTGTTTGTCCAATTCCATCATTTTCCCAATAAATAAATTGTAAAACATCAAGTCAACCAGATTTCTAGCAGAATTGTGAATTTTCACAACTCTCATTCTCAATCTGTACGTAGTTTCCCATCTTTCATATCCACTTGTGCTTTTGTAAATCTCAGATCCACTTGAGAAGAGCAAAACGAAAGAAGCCAAAATTCCAAAGAATGTTTGAAACACAAACAAGACGAAAATTAAATTCATAATTCGGAAACCATATCTAGTGCAGTTTAGTCCACATTCTCCACATTTTGTTTGATGGTTCTTCTTCTTTGATTTCTTTAGAGACAATATTTGACTTTTTGATTCAGTTTCGTTTGTTTCTTCTTTTGCATTGTAGCGATGAATTATTGGAAACTCATTACCATCATCGCTATCAAAATCAGATGAGAACGCATCCATGAAATCTAATCTAGACTGTTTTCTCATTTTCCCTCCTCCAATAATTGATTCTCTTCTGTTTTGATGTTTTCCATTCGTGTGTGAAAACATCTTTTTGTGAATTGTATTTTGTAAAAATTTCTTTTCTTATTGGAGTAATTCATCATTTTAGGATAGAGTTCATTGTTTAGAGTTTAAACCTATTTAACAATATTCCATATAACACTAGATTCTTATGGATGTTCAATTAGTATTAATGCAGCTTTGGGAATTAGGTTCTTAGAATAGAAATTGGTTAGCACGTTTTAAAGAGAACATTGTAATAAAATAATTAATTCCGTGTATATATGGAAACTATTTTCATAATGAATAACATCCCGTGTAGTCCAATGGCTAGGATACCTGGCTTTCACCCAGGAGGTCCGGGTTCAATTCCCGGCATGGGAGGATAATTTTGCCAAGATAATTTTCTTTGAACAAGTATGAAGATTTTTGAGACATTGTTCTTATTTGGAATGTTTTGAATACAAGATGTGAATCCTATTACTCTGATATGAAATTGAGCAAATTTCCAACAACTATTTTTGAGCATGTGGATATTAGCTGGCCTTGACCAGTTCAATGAAACGCATCTGGGTTTCCTCACTCAACACGCAGCAAAATCACTCACAATCAATTATTTGATGAGCATTCAACAGACCTTTGATTGCAACACCTCAAACCATTTCAACTTCCTTCACATACATCATGTACATCTACAATCAACAAGGTAGATCAACAAAGTGTTGAGGATAAGCAACAAGATGGTTCACACTTCATAATCAACAAGACGAGTTTCATGATGCAGCCTTTTCAAAGTGGCCTTTCACATGTAAGGTTGGCGCTTGTAATTGAACTTCTAAAGTCTCTGAATGCAACAAGCAGATACTCAACATGCCATACATACAAATTTTTGCATCACTTGAATAACCTTTTCATTTGTCTATCAACACTCATGCGCTTCTTTTTTATTGGTTATTGTTGGAAGAAAATTCCACGAGTGTAAGAGAGCCAAGTATAAAGGCAACCATACTACTATACATAATAATCTATTAAAACAATAGTTGATAATGCCAAGCACTGTTCTAATATTCATGATGAGAGCAAGCCTTACACAATGAAGGAGTTGAACATTTTTAAATAAACTAGAAGCCAAGCATCAATGATGCCCAATATAATAACAATTCTTAAAGTTATTATTTATCCTGGAAGTTATTCATTATATTATGAAGGTATTTATTACTAAATATTACCTGAGAAAGATGATAAGTTGAGAAGGAATACAAGTTGAGGTGAGATCATCTCTCTCGGGTTGGTCTTCCAAAAATTGTTCCAATTCAATTTCCTTTTCATCATCTTTTGAAGAGAGATGCAAAAAGGAATACTAGACATTTAACCATTTGCCAGGTTTTGAGATAATGGTGGGCTTAGAATTTAACGAAAAAGGTTTGCCTGTTGTTTGCCTTCTTGATGTGTTTTGAAGCTATGGGAGTACACTACAATTTCCTTTTTGCTTAAAATTTTTATCTCAAAACGCGGCATGGGAATATCCTTTTCACTTTGAAATAGAACGGTCATCTATTCTTCCTTAGAGACAACGCAGAATGGATATGTCAAGATTTGGAAAAGGTATGAACCTCTATTTAACTGTCTTACTCTAGAATGTAACAATACACCAAAATTCAATAACAAAAAAACAACATGATAAGTGAATCGAGAGGAAGAGCACAATTTTTCATTGGCATATTGCAGTGGCCAGTTCTAGTGTGGGCAATTTTGAATTTAGCTACAGGAATACTGGGCATGATTGTGTATGGTGCATTTACAGCCAGTTATGGACCCGTCTATATTGTGAATCAATTTGTTGGCTTGTGGTTGTGTGTCTTATTGACCTTTTTTAGTGCACAAACAGTGTATATTGAATTGAAGCCAGGCGATTCGAGTGAGCGAAGAATTCTCAGAGTGATTACTTTGGTGGTGAACATTCTGTATTTTGGTGTCATCCTGGTTGGTTCATTCATTCTATTTGTGTTATATTCGAGAGCTGGAACTCGTCCTGATGCTATTGTCTGGACAATTTTGATTATGATTATTTGTTTGCTGAATGTTATTGCTTTGATTTGCAGATGGTATTCAAGTGTTGGAGCTGGAAAGGAATTCATTCCAGACGAATCAAAATGTTTTCAACTCATTAAGGAAAAGTCTGCTGGTGCATCTGGTGTTAGCATGTGTTTGTACATTACTGCCATTGTGGTGAATGTATTGTTGAGATTCATCTTTTTGATTTTCCTTGGATTGTTGATTAGTGGCAGTTCTGCTGCTTCTAATATTAAGAATTATCCAATGAAGGGAAAACTAATTTCAGTTCCATTGAACGATGGTTCAGGAAGAAGTCAAAACATTCACTATTTGTGCGAGGGTCCAACTGAGGGAAATTCATTCACATTCCTCTTTGAAGGAGATTTCACACATGGTTATGCTGATTATTATGATATTCAAAGATATTTGACAGCTCTTGGTCGTCGTTCTTGCATTTATGATAAACCAGGCTTAGGATATTCTGACTATTTGTACAAGGACCAAAAGGATGAATCTACATTTTACTACAACTTTTTAACGAGTATTGGAGAAAAGACTCCATATGTCATGGTTGGCTGGGGAGGTGGTGGACATATCATTTACAAATTTGCTTTGGAACATCCTGAACTAGTCAAGTCGCTCACTTTCCTAGATGTTTTCCCACCTGGAATTGAATTTACCTCAATGAAGGATTTGAAAAATTGGAGTCAAGAGCAATTTAATACGTACAAGAACCAAGAATTGAGAGGAAGAAGAACCTTATTTGGAATTATCAATGGATTGGCAGTTCCGTGGGGACTCATGTCTATCTTTGTTGGATCATCATCCAATACCAGCAATGCAGATGAAATTACTTTCTGGATGAGCACTGAAAAGACATGGATTACTCAATCATCAGTTCTCGATACAGCATATGCTGACACTGGATCCTATCTGAAACAAAATCTCACATCCACCATAAGTGTCAATTTGGTTGTTACCAAGCATGATGATAATTGGGTCATTAAGAATAATTAGGAAGGAGCCGATTCCACTAATTGTAAATTCGAAATTGAGAAGAATAGGTACTATCTCAACTCACAATTGAATATGATTCCAAAACAGAATGGAGGATCCACAACTTATTGTACAGATGATGCTTGTGGACTTGCATATTACACATTTACAAATCCAAAGTACACAGCTGATACATTGAACACACTTTATGCCAAATAAATTGTAAATAAATTGCCATCGATTATGTGTCATCTTTCAATCAGAAATCAAAAAAAATGAACACAATATCTACCTTCTCAGATCCATCTCATCAAAAATTATAGAATATTAATTTTAAATAATGAAAAATCATCATGAAATTAACCTCAAATTGAAGTGATAAGGAATACCGTAAAATTTCACTCCGGAGTAAATATACTTCACAAACAGATACTTTCTCCAAGAGACGTTGAGCTGTGTGTTCCATAACTTAAAAGATCCAATGTTGCACTCCATGAATCAACGTTGCCAAAGTTCCTGACGCCATGAAACTATCCTTCGCTCAATCCTTAATTTTCCCTTAATTTTCCATTAAATCAAAAAAAATTGAAAATCAGGATTAATTATATTAACATATGCCAAGGATTGTGGATTCTCATCAAATACTTTTGAGTTTGATCTTGTTGGCCCTAATATTTCACATAGTAACTTGTTCATCATCACAGCGGACACAGGATCATGAAGTGAAACGATGCATCAATTACTCACCCATCTTCTTCAATACTAAGAATATCGATGTTGCAGTGGCTTCCGAAGAAAATCACTACAAGATCCTTCTTCCCTATTTGAAACAGCATGGTGTAAATTGTATAAGATTGTACTTTACTGATTGGAGGAGGTATCATGCCGATTTCTTCAAAGTTGTGAACGAGTTACACATGAAGGTTATGATTACATTCTGGCAATACACTGATTCGACTCCAAATCTTGCAGATTCCAAGGAGAGACAAAAGACGCATGATGATGCAGTCTTTTTGTTCAAGACAATTTCGACAGAACCTTCAGTTTTTATGATTTTCTATGGAAATGAATTGGATTTGATCTATCCCTATCAAATTCCACTAGTTTTCGTTGCATTTCAGGAATTTATAGATTTGCAACGACAGGTAATTCCAGATCCAACGAAGAGAAAATCACTTTCTCTTCCATTATCTGATTCTGGTTTTAATTTGAAATATGTTGCTGATTATGATTGGGTTCAAGCAGATTATAACACTTTTAACATTTATAGAGGTTCGACATTTCTTGACTTTGTGGAATCGTACAAGATGGTCAATCCGAGCAAACCTCTCATTATAGCCGAAACTGGTGCTTCTTCATACTATCAGTTTCCACATCAAATACCAAAACCTTATTATGTTTACAATGCAAGTGATCCAAGTATTCAATTGGGAGAACGATATCAAGCCATGAATCATCAAAGAGTCTTGATGGAATATATTGCCTCTTCGGTGGTCAACCCAGGTTTATTGGATGTTTTATGTTTATTCGAAGCAACAGATGAATATTGGAAAACTTCAAATGATCTCAATCCATATTGTCAGTCAAGGGATGGTCATTTAGCTTCAAGACAGAATACCTGCGGATATCAAAATGTTAATTACAAGGACAAGATGATTCATGAGGCATTTCTGGGTTTGATGCGTCAGGATTATTCGAAAGATGAATTTTCACTCATTCCAAAACCTTCATTCAATGTGATGAGTTTTTACTATAGAAGTATGGAGAATATCAGTCAGTGGTCATGTGAAATATCTCAGAGTGGCTGGAATTCAGACATTTTGAACACGAGAATAGTGCCAGATATTGTGTATAATGTTCCATACGAAACCTTACGATTATTTGAAACTGTATTTCAAACCAAGATTGGAGAGAAGATATTCACTTGTAAATTTAAAGGAAAAATGGAAATATTACAAGCCCTTCCTCTTAAAATGAATCTTTACAATTACCATATATAGATTTTACTGCTTTGGATGATTTTTGGAATATTTTCATGCTGGTTTTATTTGTATCTTTTATAACCTATATAATTATCTATCAGGTATTAGATAGATTGGGATTGAGTTGTAAAATTTGCTGTTCTTTCTGTAGATGCAGTGGTGGACTTTTCATTTCAGAAATTGATGGAGACTTCGATTGGAAACCAAATGAATCTCTATTAGAAAGGATACAAATACAGAATGTACTCTTTCTTGCTTACAATTTTACAGAATATCTCAAGAATATGGATCATACATTTTCTGCTCCGCAATTATTCCAAAAATTTTACAAGAATGAAATTAATGTTGAAGGTTTAAATCAATTTTGTAGATATGAAGGCCCAAAAAGATCAACATTTGTAAGAATACTTGAATGGTTGCTTCCAGATCCAAAAAGCTTGTTTCCCTATATGGAAACTAAATATATTAGCAACTTAAATTCAATTCCCATGACAACTTGTAATTGGATAAGACATTTAATTTGCCATTTCAATATTTATCAGATTTTCCTCAGATTGTTGCTATTTACTATCCTTCTTAACGGAACTCCACTTATTAATTTATTAATTTACATTGACTTTTATTTTAGTTTAGGATATAAGGCAATTCAATTAATTTACATTCTCTCTTCATTTATTCCAAGAAATGGACAAAGTTTTATTGGAATGATTATAAGATTTATTAGATTCTTCGGATGGATTCAAATTGTGGAAACCATTGCCATGATTTTAGTCATTTCATTTTTTAATCATGAAAACGAAACTGTGTTACTCTATGAATTTAATGGAGAAAGATATAATTTTATTCGATTCTTCAACTATGACGGTTTTGATATCGTGTATTCTCACAATTCTGTTATCATTCTTGTAGTCACTGTTGCTTTTGAGATTGTGAAAGAGTTTACAAAATTTGTACTTTTTTGGAAAACTAGTTTAGAAGAAAGAGGAAACAAGGTTTTGAAAATTCTTTACAATATTTCCTTTTTCCAAACCTATCTCTTTATTCATGTACTAGGATCTGTGCTGTGGTTCAGTAGATTATTTAGTGGACTATTATCAATTAATTCGATTTGTATTGCAAATATTGGACAAGATGAAACTATGTGTGAAATTGTGATTTTACCTTTCGTATTTTGTTTTGGGTTTATGTGCACGATTGCTATTTCTTCGTATATCTATACTTTGCTTATTATAACCATTTCGAATTTAATAACTGTTTTCGAGGGAATTAGAATTGGAAAATCGAAACCTAAAAAGGTTAAGAAACCAAAAACAAAATCTATTCAGTTGACGGAAATGGCCATAGAACGCTTGATTTTGGATGAGACACAACCACAGCAGCAAGATCACATTTTGAAAGTTTGTTATCCATCTGATTCTCAACCAACGATTGAAAATTTAGTCAACCTGGACACACAAATTGAAAAGAGTTTTCAAGATTTTTCTGCAGCAGAAAGAGATTATTTGCAATGTATTTACAAATCTGGTCTCCAGAGATTAATTCCCTTCCAAAAGCACAAGAAAACCACGCTTGACATTGTTGTGGTTCTTTGTGCTGAACAAGTTTATTCCAAAGATGATGAAAGTAGAACGAAATTTAAATGGATATCAGATAGATTCAAACTTGATACACTCAATAGAACACAAGATGAAATAAGAAAGATCATGTCTTTAAAGGAGCAAACCATTTACAAAACTGTGAAAGGTCTTGCGGATTTCAAGAAGGGAATGGAAGATTACTATTCTATTTTGGATTGCAATGAGGAAGACAGAATTTCAGTGAATTATTATCTTTGTTTACAAAAATATCATGGGCTAGATGAAAACTACTTCCCAAAGATCGAAGAGGACATGTCAGAAATCCAGAAAAAGAGAATTCAATCAGAAATTGACTTTACCAACGAAATTAATGAATTATGTATGGAATTTCCATTCATTAGAAGAATATATGAAAAGCAAATATCTGATCAGTTTATCAAGATTGAACATCTTGACAGCTATTTCAACAACTGCCAAATACTAGACTCTGTCAAACTTCAAAGGAAAATCAATTGTAAATTTTATGGAGAAGGTAAATCCATGAACCAACTGAACAGTGCCATGTTCCTCAAGGGAAAATACATGCTCTCCCTCGACTCCAACATGGACGCTTACTATTTCGAAGGTATCAAATTCCCATGCTTGATGCAAGAAGTCATGAACTCGAAAAGTCACATTTTTGGAATGAGAACTCACACCTACACTGCTTTTACTTCTCAGGTTGGAAAGAACATGGCCTGTGCTGAGCATGTCTTTGTGGCCACATGTTACAAAGCCATGTGTCTGCTCGGCAGTAGATTGCACTATGGAAATGCCGATATTTTAGATAGAGAATTCTTTATTGAGAAGGGTTTATTTGCAGATGCGGATCGATATCTGAATTTGAGTGAGGATGTGTTTCTTGGAAAGAGATGTCTTAAATTTGGAGGAATTATTCGATACTCTGAGGGTGTTACGTTTGGTAAGGGAAGAGAAACTAACCTGAAGGAATCTGCTGGGTTCTATACAAAGATTGCTGGAGGTGCTGCCATGCAGTCGAGTTCAAGTATCGAATACGAATTGAATAGTTCATTGCCTCTTTGTATGTTGATGCCACTCTAGTGTTGGATTCTTCTCCTTGCATTTATTTATTGACATTTCGATCATTCTAGCTCCTATTTTATACGTCTTGTTGAGCATCTTTGGGGTTTCGTATACTACATTGGATACTTTGAATTCATCATTTGCAAAAATTTGGGTTCTTCCATTCTACCTTGTCACTTTACTTCCACTCGTGCTGGAAAGCTTAGTTCAGGGCTACAGCTATGCTAACTGGGTTGATTACCTTCTCTCTTTCCCATTCTTTGCTTTCATTGACAGATTAATGTCATACAGTTATTTGACAGGAACATTTTTAGAGAAGGTGACCTATGTATCAACCGCCAGAGAAACTGGCCACGCTCCAGCCAATGTTCATGACCTGATGCACAGCTACTACTTTACTACATTCAGAAGTTGTCTATTCCAATTGGTTACCTTCTTAATTTTCATTCAAGTTATGGGAATTGATAAGATTTTATACATTGGCTTACCGATACTCAATTGGGCAAGTTGTTTGGTAGCTCCATTCCTATTCGAAAACCTAAAAATTTCTCATTTACATGATTGGCTAGATATTAAGAATGATTTACTCAAACAATGGAATGAATTCTATGCCGAATCATTTTATGAAGGAAATGTCAAGAAAAATAAGCATTTTCTATTGAAATGGTTCAATTATGGAAGATTGAGGATGCTGAAGTATGTTTATCCAATTATATTCCAAATGGCATTGCTGTATCCTATTTGCTATGTGTCTGTTTTGACTATTGCATCGGATTTCCAAGAAAAGACAAAGACAAATGCCTATTTTTGGTTTGTTATGACTTCTCCTTTCCAATTCATTTTGGGAATTACCTTATCTGTTAGATTATTGAAATCCAAACACAAAATATTTGGTTTCTTAATGTTGGTCAGTGAGGCAATCTTATTCTTTTTTGAATCCATTAATGGTGGTGGTTTCATTACGCTGTCAAAAGTCTTTTTAGGAATCCACAGTCTTTTCATTATCATGTCAGTGTTTTACATTTTGGTTTTGTTTATGGATTTGATTTGGAAATCTGGAAGATTGTACCTTGAAGCTGAATTCTTTATTGTGAAACTCATAACCTATCCAGCTCTATTATTTGCCGTTGGAGTTCAAGTCATTTCGAGAGGAGTCCACAATATGTAAACGTTTTTAAATTTATGCCCAATTCCACAATGCTATCTTCCTTAAGCTCTTCAGGTAATTGAAAAACCTAAATTTATTTAATTGTTTAATTAACACCCTGAATAGTAGTGAATATATTGGAAAGATCAATACCAAGTTAAACCATTTGATGAGTCATTGGAATGGTAGATGTGGAAAATTGTGGCATGAATTGATCTACAAGTATTACTCCTCTATTTCTGAAAAATTCCCTCATATAAGTAGCTCCACTCATCACATCATCTGGAGTCAACTCGAGTGGCTTTGAAATATTCACCTTCTTTCCATCCTTACTAATCAAAGAAAGGCAAAAATCTGGTTTCTTTCCATCAGAAATCTTGTGAGCTCTAATATCATGAATTTGATCGTATGGAATTGAATAGGTTGAGAAAATGAAATGTTCTCTCAAATATCTAGCTCTACTTGTCATTCTTACTTCTCTCTTTTCATCATCAAATTCAATAATTGTAATCTTTTCATAATAAACAATCAAAAATAGAGCAATTGGAGCTGTTACAATGTAAATACCTGCCAAAATAGCCAAACTCAACACCAAAATAATGCACAATATGACCATCAATATGAGAACTCCCTCTCCATCACAATTCCAACCGCTACCTGAACAACAATCTGTACAGGAACAGCAGCCACCACAACAACCTCCACAGCAACCACCTCTAGATCTGGAAGTGGCAGCTACAGCAATTGCAGCTTTTTGATTGGATGTCAAATTTGTTCCATTACCATTGGTTGACAAATCTTCAGATGGAAGCATTGTAATGTGTGAAATTTGGTTTTTCAAACTGCAAACTCTGAAACAACCAAGAGTTGCACAAAACAAGTAAGTGAGCATGCTGTCTTGATTTTGCAAGATTAATTCATGTAGAGAGGATGACTTTTGACTGATGAGATTTTGGAAAGTTGTGGTTGTCAACTTTTGCTTACCATTCATCATCACATTATTTGCAGCAACTGGTGGCATTGTCGGTAAAGGTTGTTGCTGTTGTTGAATCATGACAGGTGGTTGATAGATTTGTTGTTGAACATTTGGAATTGTTTGTGGAGAATAGTTTACATTCGGTTGTTGATTAGGATATTGTTGTTGAGAATAGTTTACAATTGGTTGATGAAAATTCGGATTATAGACTTTTTCAACATGTTGATAGGAAGCAGTGGTTGGCTCGACAAATGGTTTGCTGTTTGGGTCTTGTTGTTGCATGACAGATTGATGTTTGACTTTTTTTATGAAAGAAAATCAAGTAATTGCGAGTGAATATTGTGAAATCAAGCCAAACATTGCGCTCCTCCTCTTGGTTGACTTTCCAAATATCGATTCTAATAACATTCAAAGATCTTCTGATTTGGAATTATCATTCCACTAACCTTCCACACATGATGAAAATTTGATATTCAAATGTTCATCCAAATTGCATTAAGCTTCCACCTCCACAATAAATGGAACAAATTTCTGATTGCAAATTAATTTTCAAGCTTTGAGCTTTATAAATTTTGATCCACAAAAAAAACTTGATACAATAGTGGATTTGGTTTGGATAATTACATCATCATTTCAACAATTGGAAGTGCTTGAGAGTGTATCATATATTCTTCAGTTAGAACGGTTGTTATTCTGTTTTTGTTTTGATTTTCATACACTTCAACAATTTGTTGCGAAATTCATTTTAATAAAAATTTACAAATAAAAATCAAAAAAAATGTCCAAATTTGAACTTGAGAATGAATTGTACGAAGCCTTGAAAAAAACACAAAACAAGGGAGGTGAAGATGATCAACCAACAACAACATTTGCAGAAGAAAATGATGATGCGGAATATGAAGATGATGAAGAATATGATGATGAAGATTTCGGAGAAGAAGAATATGAAGAAGAAGTTGTAGAAATTAGTGAGAATGAAATGTTAGCCTTGTTGGATCAACAACAAGATCCTTTTGAAGTTTGTCAACAAATCTTTGATAAGGAAAAATTATTTGAAGCAAATCCCGAACAAGTCTTGATTGAACCAAATGTAACTGTTCAACATTTTAGAGATTTATATAATAATGGTTATGTTGTGGTGGATAATTTCATTCCTTTTGAACAAGCTCAAGAAATTCATGATTTGGCAAAGAAACTTTCACATACTTTTAAACCAGCTTGTGAAATGAAGATGAGTTATGAAGATGAAGCAGAGGATACTTTTAGAGATAATACAGCAAGAAGTGATGTGATTCGTTGGTTGCATCCTAAGGATTTTACTTCTGAATTGACTGATGAAAGCAAAAAGACATCCCTATCATGTTGTTGTACTGATAGCAGTGAAGATATTATACAATGGAAGGGAAATGAAACTTTGAGAGGAGTTGTTCTTAACAAGTTTAAAGTCATTCAAAAGAAAATCAATGAATTTGCACCTTGTGTTAAATATGATGATGCTAAAATGGAATTAATGTGGAGCTTGTATAAATCTCATGGAACTTACTATGAAAAACACAGAGATTCATTCCCAAGCAATGGAAAGGATGAAGGTCCATTGGATCAACGTAAAGTAACTGCCCTCCTCTATATGAATACTGAATGGAAAGATGAATCAGATGGTGGCCAATTGAAGATTTTCATCAAACCAGAAAATGCATCCAAACACACTGAAAGAACAACCAAGCTCATTAACCCAACTGCTGGTCGTTTAGTTTTATTCTTGAGTGGTGCTCTTGATCATGAAGTGATGGCTTCTTTTAAGGACAGAGTAGCCCTTACTTCTTGGTTGTCATAAATTTCGCAATTTCTCTAAAGGTGTTTATTTGTAATTACCAACTGGATTGATATTTGAATATGGTATCGTCTGGATAATTCTTAATAGTATCAGAGATGAGTTGAACAGTTTGCTTGACATCACCAAAATAATACTCATCATACTGAGTACCTCCAAAGAAAAAGCCTGATCTTGTTGGAAGAAGGAAACTAGCCTTTGAATGATCTTCATCAACTTGTGTTAAAACACTCAACAATGATTTTAAATGTTGAATTGTTACAGGATATTCGTTGCAATCATCCTCACCACCTAAACATGATTCCGATAGGGCAGAGATCAATATGAATCGAATAGAAATTCAGAAATGAATTACGTGAGTGATAACAAACCTTGAACATTCTCAACAAACCAAGCATGGAGAGCATTAAACTTTCTCCAGTAGGCCACTTCCACTTCTCCAAGAGCCAAAAACATATCCAGACCCATGTTGGTGTATTTTTTTCTATTTTGTTTTTATCTAAGCGAGAGTTGAAATTGCATTTCAAGCCTCATAATTGTGTGATGAGTTTAGAACGAAGGCTTTGCCTTGTTGATAAACAAGCCTTTGGAAGAATTATTCTTTGAAATAAATCGAATAGAGATTAATCAGAACTATTTATTCTAGCTCGGAGCTTCTTTACTCTTTTCCTCAATTTGATTGGTTTTGTAATTCTATTTTCCACATCGGACTTGATTTTAGTCTTCTTTACAATAGTTTCTGATTCCTTATCTTCATTTTCAAGTTTGATTCGAGTGTTTGCATATATAGCGTCAGAACTAGTAGTTGTACCTTGTGTATTAGTGTCATTGGTAGTATTAGTATTATTATTAAACTTAACATTGTTAGTACTATTACCAGCTTGAATATTGTTCAGGCTAATACTATTATCATTACTAATTGTATTGTTGCTGTTGCTATTTGTAATAGTATTAGTGTTATTAACCCTATTAGTAGTATTATCAGCTTGAATAGTATTCAGGCCAATGCTATTATCATTATTACTAATTGTATTGTTATTGCTAGTTGTAATAGTATTAAAATTATTAAATAATTCCTGTCGTGGTTGAATATTAACTTTAGGTTTGATAGAATAAGTAACTCCATCAACATTAACCAAGCAAGAAATAGGTTTATCCGATGAGAGTGAAATATCCATCATTGAAGTTGATATCATCACTTGATGTTGTTGTTTCTCCACAGTAGCACCATCACTTATCTGCATACTACTATTGAACGGTGTCAATGCCGGTGCTGATGGTGCTGATGATGATGAAGGAATTAATATGTTGCTATCATCAACATTATTAATTCTTGATGATGAACGTGTTGGACGTGGTTTTCTCTTCTTCTTCAATATCTGTTCTTCGTAGAGTTTAACAAGATGAGCCTTTAGATGGGCTCCTTTAGGAATTTCAATATTATTCTCTTCAAGAATTTCCTTCAAACCAGCAACAGTGTAACCATTCGCATCCATTCTTTGTATTTTTTAAACATCATAGAATTTCAGGGTTGTTTAACCACACTAGTGATTTGCCCACTTCCTAATAGGTAAGTTGGCCCTGTGGTAAAACTTGTCCGTGTTCTTGCTGTGGTATTGTAGATTCACTTCACCTCTTGATTACGCAGTCATTCAAGTGTGCTCGTGTTGCACGGGAGAAATTCATATTTTTTTTAAATAAAACTGGTTGGCGATTTACTTAATTATTATGTACAATTAGGGATTATGCAACAATTTCAAGACCATTTAGATTATTTGAACATTATCTTCGTCTAGGTTGTGGACCATCTCCACTGACACCACTCAAATTAAGCCCAGAGTTTGTACCCATTTGCCTCATTATTCCATTCCAATCTAAATGTTCCAATTCATTATTTCTGAATGTGTTGAATGCATCTTGAATTTTGGAAGATTTCTTTCTAATTATATTGGGATGATTAGTGCTTTGAAATTGCTTGTAATTGTCCAATAGCTCAACTACATCTTTCGAATTCTTTCCACTCCCTCTTGCTATTCTCAGAATTCTTGATTGCATGTCGGATAACTTTGTAAAATCAGCACAATCCAACTCAGTTTCATTCATAGAGCCCATGATAGTCAAGTATTTCTTTACCTTATATTCTTGACCTTCTATTTTTGGGAATTCACTAAATCCAAATATCATTGACAATACACGCGATGGTGGTCCCATGTTCACAATTGAAAGTAGTTGTTCTTTCAAATCCCTCATTGTAAAAACTCCATTTATGGGAAGTGAAGAGTTGAGTACTGAAATTTCAGTACTGTCACTAGCTTGTGGAACTGCACCGAATAGTATTGTGTAATTTCCCTCTCCCAACAATCTAGAAACAAAACCTTCAACTTCAAATGGTTGCAAACTATCATAATATTCACCTGTGCCAATAAAGCTGATTGGTGTCTTGGTTGCAGCAATTGCACTCAAGGCACCTCCACCCTTAGAATGACCATCCAATTTAGTAAGAATGATACTCCCAAGGGTTGGTATTCTGGATTTGAAAGTAGTTACTTGTTCTTTGATGCTCTGACCTATCTTACTATCCATCACGAGAATAATGTCATTTGGAGTTATTGCTTCTGAGATTAGTTTCATTTCTTCAAAAAGTGATTCTTCTTGTATGGTTCTTGCAGAAGTGTCAACAATTATCAAGTCATAATTTTCTTTTTTAAATGTTTCGACACCATCTTTTGCAATTTTGATGGGATCAGTTTCAAATACATTACCATAAAAGGGAATGGTATCTCTTAATGAATTATGTCTCAGACTATCAAATGCTCCAGTACGAAATGTATTTGAGTTTACTATTGCACATTTGAAACCTTTCTTTTTATAAAACATTGCAAATTTGCTCGCTGTTGTTGTTTTACCAGCTCCTCGTAAACCTATTTCAGTAAAATATTAATCGAATCTCTGTAAATTCTCAAAACTTACCAATAAATAAAATGACATTTTGCTTTCCCTTGACAGGTTTGATCGCTTTCACTCCTGGATCAAATAATTTACACAATTCCTTCTTAAGTATTCGTTTTATATTTTTTTTTCTATTGACATCTTGTGACATGTTATCCAATTCTTCTTTAATTCCATTGTAAACCTGCACCACTTGTTCACAATTCACATCAGCTTCCAAAAGTGCCTTACTAATCTCTTTCAAAAATTTATTAACACTTTTATCATCCATAACACTTTGGGAATGTATTGTTAAAAGTGCGTTTGAAAGTTGGGAGCTCAATTCTGACAAAATCATTTTTTTGCTTTTTTTTTTAAAAAGGTTAAAAATAGAGAGAATTTGTTTTCAATTGATTTTAAGAGATTTTACAATGACGTCAACCAAAGGAGCAGAATTTCAAGTTACCGAATAGATTCCGAAATGGAAAGATTTGAAATTTTGATTAAATTTAAATAAATTTAATTAAAAAAAATGGAAAGAAAATCTCTGCTCGATCTATCCAGTGATGATTTACTAGAAATTTGCAAGTTTCTCTCACCTTGTGATATCTTCCGATTATCCCAAACCAATCACTTCATGTATTTTAACCAATTTGAAATTTCACAATCATCTTGTCGAATGTTTTTCGATTTAATCTCGAAACAAGTCTCCGATCACTTGGAAAATTCGTCATCACAAAAAGTTTGGTGGTTGAGTGATGAAGAAAAATTGTGGATGGAGAGGAAAATTCAAAATAGAAAAGATTGGAAGAATTTGTTGAGAGTTTATTTGAGGTTGAGTTATATTGAGTTAATGAACGAGAAATATGGAGAATGTGAATTTTTGATTTATCAACCTTTTGGAAATATTAGAAATGAAACGAATGAGCAAGAAGTTACTTGTTTGGGAGATTTGAAATTGGATTTTACATTATCTGAAATGGATGATCCAGTATTGGTTCATGGATACAGAGATTCAGATGGAAATATCAAAATTTTCAATTGGGAAAGACAGAGCTCGAAAGTGAAAACAGAGCTAAATTTATCTATTCCAACAAAATCCTTACAAAAGAGAGAGTCATTCGTTATAGGCACAGATACAAATTTATTTCAAAGATTGGTTGAATTATGGACACCCTATGATGATAGGTTTCATAATGTTATACGAACACAGGAATTCACAATACCTAACCGTGTTTTCAAAATTACAATTAATAAGAGGTCACAGGTCGTATACGAAACTGGAAGAGCTCGTCTTAACAGTTTACAAAATTGCCCTTCCAAAATCCTGATTCACACAAAACCACCACGCATTGAACGTATATTCTCACTTTCTACATTGGCTTGTCATATTCCATTTTATCATGACTTGTTTTCTTTCGTCCTTTTCTCTTGGTTTTTTTATGAACGTTATTCTAGAAGCTTTTTCAGACATTCACAAGAATTATTGTCACATCCATTCAGACATCCATGTTTAGAGGGCCATGAAATGTATCAGTATGCTTACTTTGCAGGGTTTGTTGTTTTCAATGTATTGTGTGGGGGAAGTGTTGGATTTATTATGGCTCTGTTGCCAGGAGTTATTTCTTCTGGTTTAAGCATCTTTTTAGGAAGGTTTTTGGATGATTGGGAATATCCTGAATCGAGAGAATTGAGATCCACGTGGAATTTACTTGCATTTTTAGAAGTTGCCAATATGACTTCGAGTGTCATTTCAACTTTCGTGCGGAGTGAAAACTTATTGTTGTGGGCAGACACATGGAAGAATTCAATTTTGGAATATTTCAACTCTAAGAAGAGAAAGGAATAGTTATTTATTCGATTTTGACAAAGTATCTGCACTTTCTATTCTTGGACTTTTTAAAGAGAGAATCCAATGAGTACTTTTTGCTTGACTTTTTGATTGGAATTGAAACTCGTTCGCTTCTTCCTCTTTTAGAAGATTTGGAGTTGTTTCTATTCTTCTTGCTGGATTTCTTTCTTCTTGAAACCTTTTCTTTTCTTTGATTCTTTGCCTTCTTGAAGTATTTAATTCCATTACTGAATTGTTTCACAGCATCTTTGATTTTGATCCATGTTTTCTTATTCTTGACTGCATGCTTAAGCTTTGATTTGATGAGTTTGAATCCACTCTTGACTCCCTTCTTGATGGCAGCCAATAATTGTTTACGATTCTTAATTAATTTAGTGGCTTTTTTCAAAGATTGCTTCAACAATTTGAAATTCTTTGGATAGAAAATCTTTGGTGCCAATCCCAATAATTTGAAACCAGCTCTAAAGCTCAACAATCCATTGACAACATTCAATGTCTTTCTAACGATTTGGAATGCCTTATTCTTGACAATTGGAGCTACTGCCTTTGCTGCCTTATTCTCAATTGGAGCCAGTTTAGTCATTGTAAACTTGCTAATTGCAGAACCAACCTTATTGGCAGCTCTTGCAATCTTTTTCATTCCCAATTTGTTGAGAATCTTGGAAATAGGACCTGCTATGAAATTTGCAACATTGGACACTTCTGTACTGTATGTTCCTAATCCATTCAAGAAATTCATGGTTTCGCCTGTAACCATCAAGCCAGCAATTGCAACTTTTTGAACCCACAAAGTTTTCACTTTTGAATGTTTTGATTTCTTCTTTAAATATTGAACATCCTTCAATGAAGCTTTCAACAAATCTGCAGCTGGATGTTTAGCTCTTCTGAGGAAATCTTTTACAATGGCCAAGAGTTGTTGTCTCAATAGTTTGGCTGCTGGTGTTCTTTTTCTAAGAAGAGAATCAGCAATCTAACAAAATGTCAAAATGTCAGCAAATCAAAAGATATGTCATCAACTAACCTTTTTAATATTGGCAGCTAGAATCAAAAACTTCTCAGAAATGATCAATTCTCTTTTTTTAGAAACTACATGTGTAAATTTCTTTACAATTTTACGAGTTCTGTTATCGATGGTGATGGAAGTTGGTTGGGATTTTGTTTGGATAGCATGCACATGCAAAATACAAACTAGAACAAGTAGCAAGATTGCAGAATAACAAAATCTTTTCATTTTTTTTAGATGTGGTAATGAAATTTCCATGGTGGTCGACTCTTTAGAGTTTGAAGTTGACAAGTGGCATTCACTGACAGCAGAAGCTCAACTTCAGTGGTCTGTGATGAAAGCACAACGATCTTACTAATGTTACCTTTAATATGATTTTAGTTGAGTTTGGATTGTTTAATAAGGTCATTCTTAGAGTCGAGAATATCATGATAGGATGAATACTCTGAAGTAAAAACTAATCTAGAATAGCTATCTTGCAGATTCATCAATAATTCAGTCTTTAGATCTTTGATACATTCAGTGATTCTTTGGTTATGTGGAGATTTACCTTCCTTGCTGTTAGAAAGTTCAACTGAATTCGAATCTAAGTCCTTGAGAATTGATAGCAAATTCTTTCTCAAGTTAGATGGGATATTGACCTCATTCACACTTCCACTTTTAATGTAGGTTTCAAATAATGTGGTAAAGAAACTCTTTAGCTCTTTGATTCCTCCATTCAAAGCACATTCGTTTTGTTTCAGATAGGTGTATAATTGAACATTTTCCAATGAAAATTCCTTCTTACAAAACCATTCCATCAATGAACAGCCTTCTTCACTATCCAAAAAGGTTACCAATTCAGAAAATTCTTCTTTTGACTCGTTTGATTTTCTTAATTTGGAAACTAACAACACTAATAACGAATATCCACCAAATACAAAACAATAACTAGCCAAATATAAAATTTCAAATGCCATTGAAACAGAATCATTCACAATCATTCTCTTTTGAGATGAAATTCCAGATAATCCAATTATTTGATTACAAACAAGGAAAATAAAACACACAACAAAGAAAATCATTTCCACTCTAAAGTAAAGTGGTGAATCAACTCTCGAATACCAATTGACCACTTGTTTGGCAGGTAAGAGGACGAAATTTGTTTTCTTCTTTGTGTCCATGTTTGTAATTTTTGAAATGATTTCGTCCTTTTTCTGGAAGAAAGAAATGGAATAATCCAAAATAATTAATCCAACAATTAGTAAACAAATGGAAAGAATGATACAAGTAAATGAAATGGAAACCACATAGGTGTAATCTCGCCCTACAAGAACATTGGTTCTCACTAAAATAACCCACAACGTCCAAAACATTAAGTTTCCAATAAATCCACTAATTAAACTGAGTAACATTATTCTAGTCGAGAGGAAACTCTTCACTACTTTGAGCACTTTTTCTCCTTCCTTTTTCTCCTTAGAATTGGAAAATATTGCCAATTTGTGATAGAAATATTTCAACAACTCAAATCTCGTCACTTGATACAAATACGAAATGAAAGCAGTGATTGTAATAGAGTTTACAATAATTGTAATGATATTAGATAAGATATTAGCTGCCAAATCACCATATTCCCATGAAACTGAACTTGACTGAGGTCCATTCACTTGAACCTGTCCAGAAAGCAAAACACTCTTCTGTGTAACCAACAACAATGCTGTCTGAATAATCATTGCTGACATTCCAATAAAAGGTGTCACGAATCTACTCTTCACAGGTTGATAATTCCTAAAAACAATCAACAGAACCATCAACACACATGACACTATAAAGAAAATACTGCCATACACAATCTGGGTAATGTAAATTCCTTGCAATTCTTTCGGTTCTCCCTTAGTTGTGTTAAATTCCACAAATGCTGAGAATAAAGTTGTGTGATTGCATTGACATTGAATATTGAGAGAGTTTGAAGAGAGGAATTCACATCCGTTGGATTCCCATGATTGGCCAGTTTCGTTCCAGTATTTACAGGCGATGGAGGAGTTTAGGATAGTGTTGTTATTGAGTGGGAGAGTGATGATGAAAGGTTTGGTTAAATCTTTGATTTCTAATAAGTTTCCTTCTTTGTAAATAGAGAATTCTGTAAATGAAGAGAGGGAGTTTGTTAGCGAGAAATTATCTGGTTTGATGTTTTTCGAATATTTGATAAGGGACATACCAAATTGTTTCGAATAACCATTATACGAACTCATAACATTATCCAGATCAATTCGTACATCTTTAAAATTGGATTTTTCTCCACCTTCGGTTTGCTCATTCTTAATAAAGTTTGAAGTGTAGATATCTACACTGCCAGAAGTAAAAATCCTTTTAGAAATGGGAGGATTAGTATTCGAAAGTAACTGTGGTGGCTCACTAAGAATTGCCAATTTTGAAACATGATTGTAAATTCTCGATACATTAGTATTACCCTGATCTAGAATACTTGTAGTTGCCATGAGAATACTGTTCAAATCACTGCTGGAAACAATCTTTTCTTTTACGAAACCAAACGAATCAAACTGATTCTTATAATTACTTGTTAGATTCAAAAAGTATGAATCAAGCTTTTGAGCAATAACAGAGCTAGCCTCTACCGATTTGGAATTCAACAAAACCTTCTTCAACGTGTCAATTACCTGTGATGGATTTTGTTGTGGGATTTCTAATGACTTTACAATTTCCAATAAAACAGAATTATCTGACAGAGAATCATATGGAACGACTGTTGAAAGTTTGGAATCTGATTTCAATCTTTCTAATAGAGAAGCCTTTGGGTCAGGAAATGGTAAAACTGAAAGGTCTCCTGCAAGAGCTTCAATATATTCGAAACCTTGCGAATCTTTAAGAAACAGCATCATGGTTATGTTATTTGTAAAATAGGGAAGATAAACAGAATCTATCGAGGCTGTTTCTGTAACATATCGAGTAATTCTCACATTGCTCATGTCCTTGTATTGGAAACCTAAGGCATATTGTAAAGGAGACAGATTAGTCAATAAAATAATGTCAAAACTAAACTTTACAAGAGTCTTGAGAGCATAAACTGTTGAGTTTCCACTAACAATTGTGAATTGATTTCTCAATAGTTGTGGCTTTGAATAAACTGGAATTGTTTCTCGAACAGTTGTCATTTGTAAACCAGACGAAAGTGTAACCTCAAGAGTCAAATCCGAAACTGTTCTCAAAGATTCAACAGAGAATGATAGTAATGGATTGAATTTGACTGAACTAATTCCATCATATTCTCCTTTTGTAATTCCACTTCTTGTTGATTCTAAAATGGATGTTGTCATTGTGATGGAATATGTTAGTGGAATTGAGCATTTTCCAATACAATTAAAAAAACTGGAACCGTTCTGAATATATTGAATTCCTTGAATGATACTATCCAAGTTATGATTCTTGTCCTTAATGAAATAGGAAGGAAATCCAAATTTGGTAATTATTGGTAAACTATGAATGGTTACGTTAAAAGTGATGGAATTTGAAATTATCTTTTTAGAGATGGTGCTATTTGCTTCCACTGCAAACGTGTAACTTGCATCTGTTATTGTAAAATTACTGAAATACGACCAATTGAACTGTGGTTGAGTAATTTGTGGATTACAATTCAAACATTTCCAAACAAAGGAAATTGCATTCAATTCTAAAGCACTCAGTGCTCTATTACTTAAATCATAAGTATCCAATTTCAATTCTAAATTATTTCCCCTACCAATATGATAATCATTCAAAGGTAAAGAGATTCGAATATATTGTCCATCACATATGTCTCCAAAATATCCCTCCGTACAAGCACATCCTCCTGTTAACGCTGTTGTGTTAAAAGAACAGTATCCATGTGATGAACAAGCTCTGACATCACTACTGGCATAAAAAACTTCATTTCCATTGAAAACTCCTTTACAAAGTAAATTTTGACATTTGGGTCCATTAACTTTTACATTGTCATTGACATCATAACAGAGACAAGTGCCATCTGGTAAACATTTGCCTTTTCCACTACAAACATTTGGATCATCTTGTCTTATTCCATGACAACTTGACACATTACAAATAGGTCCATAAAATCCACTCTTACATGTGCAATAATTGGTTGAGGTACAATTTCCATTTCCTGCACAAACATTCACATCATTCCACAGAATTCCATTACAACTGTGAGTCGCATTCTCACACTCACTTCCATTATAACCATTATAACACTCACACCTATTATACGAAACACATTTTCCATTAGAATTACATGCACCATCATTAATAGTCTTTGAAAAACAAACTGGATATTCACAAAAAAGTCCAACATACATAGCTGGACCAGTTGGAGCATATTTCGTCACTGGATTCCAACATACATTTCCATTCGAATCATAAATAATCATCTTTCTATCAGCTCCAATGATCAATCGAAATGGTCCACTACCTCCCATAGGACATGCACTACTCAATTCATGGGCAAAACTTCCACCTTGAAAGAGTTTCAATTGACCATTTCCATTATCCAATACCATAGTAAATCCTGAACCTGCAACAGTAACACTCGAATAATCATCATCCCCTGTATCTGCATTAACCAATTTGAGTTGACCATTCAATGTGAGTGTCATGTACTCATTTTGTTGTGGATTATAGAGACGAGCACCTTCTTGGATAGTTCCATTTATGGATGAGTCAATATAATTACCAGAGGATAGATCTAAACAAATGCAATTTCCACTACTGCTAGAACAGATACCATTACCAGAGCATGTGCGAGGATCATTATAGGCGTTGCAATTTAGAGCGGCCAAAGATTGGTCAACCAAAGGAAGACACTGGACAAGGAATAGACAGAGAAACAAGAGACAAAAGAAAGATCTCATAACTGCTGTGCTGCCTGGTTTGCTTGTGTTGTTTGATTTTTTTCAATGAGATTGCTGATTCATGATTGACCGTTCGAGTTGAAATCTGTGTTACCATCTTTTTTTCTGATTGGTCAATTTAGCCACATTCCACCGATTAAAAGACCAAAAATAAGATGCAATTATCATTCCATTGTCCAAGTAGTTGTTTTATGTTGAGCCTTTCAAATATTGTTAATTGCCTTTCTTGGAAATTTGTGTGTTAATTATTTATTAAATAAATTGTAAAGTGTAAAAAAATGTTAAAAAGAGGATTACGAATTGTACCCAAATCACAAAGGCCATCATGCTCTCTTTCCAAAACACCTAAATATCATCCTCATCATCACATTCATAATAATAATTTTTCATCTCCATCATCATCATCGGAGGGAATTAATAGAAAATATTCATCATCATTAATTCATCATCATGATAATAATGAAAAGATACCAATTTCATTGTATTTTCATTGGCCATTCTGTTTATCCATTTGTTCCTATTGTGATTTTAATAGATATAAACGAAATTCTTCATCCATTGAATCGTTTGAGGAAAATTCACTCGGCAAACAAATGATGGACACTTATTTGAAGGTTTTGACACAAATTAAAGGAAAATTGGAGAATGATTTGGTGATTGGTGGTAATTTAGAGCAATATGAATTGGTTTCTGTGTTTTTTGGAGGTGGAACTCCATCAACAATGCATCCTTTGGCTATGGAAAAGATAATTTCACACGGATTGGAAATGTTTGGAAAGAGTAGAGAGGATGGAGTTGAAATTTCAATGGAGGCAAATCCAACTTCAATCGAGTATGGAAAATTAAAGGATTTTCATAGAGCTGGAATTAACAGAGTGAGCATTGGAGTGCAAAGTTTTGATTCTGAATGTTTGAAGAGCTTGGGAAGAGAACATTCAATTGAGGATGCTTTGAATGCTATAGATATTGCAAGGAATACATTTGGAGAGGATAGTATTTCAATAGATTTAATGTTTGGATTAGCTCAACATAAGAATAATCCGTCAATTTGGAAGAATTCTTTGGCAAAGGCACTTTCTCTGAATTTATCACACTTGTCATTGTATCAGTTGACAATTGAGAAGGGTACTAAATTCCACAGATTATTTAATGTTGAAAAGGATTTACCAAATGAAGAAGAATCGAGTCATTTATATGAATTTACCATTGAAGAATGTAAAAAACATGGATTGGAAATGTATGAGGTTTCTAATTTTGCCAAACCTGGCAAAGAATGTAAACACAATATCATGTATTGGAAGTCAATTCATGATTTTATCGTAAGTTTTATTAAATAACAAGGTATTCTCATTCAATACGAATTAGGGTGTTGGACCAGGAGCTCACGGAAGACTCACCAATCACAATACTAGGGAAAGATTCAGCACTATTCAAGTAATGAGACCAGAGGATTGGATTGAACAAGTAGATAATCAATTGAATCATATTCACAAACCATCTTTATTATTTGGAGATATTAAGGAAGAAAAGTTAACAGAGGAACAACAAATTGAGGAATTATTCATGATGGGGCTCAGAATGCCAAAAGAAGGAGTGAGTGAAAGCTCTCTACGTGCTATCAATCCTGAACTTTCTTTTGAAAAACTATTGAATGCTAACATGATTAAACAATTGGAAAATCATGGATATATTAAATTAATCAAAGAGGAAAATGATAAAAGAATTGTAGCAACAATGAGTGGAATTAGCGTACTGGATATTCTAATTGCCAATTTACTATCCAAGTAATATTTCATTTAGAGAATCGAATTGCTCATCACCTGGAGTGGTATCACCATTTCTGAAGAGAAGATCATGGAACGAGACTTAGTGAGTTTTTATTGAAATATCGGAGAATTGCCCTTCCTTTGATAATATCAATAACTTTGAATATTTGCAAGTCGTTTCGTCTCTAAATTTAAAGTAAAATCTAAAGCTTTGTCCATGGTGTGTGAATCTTTGCTACTGTTGATAATAAATAATTGAGAATTACATGAGTTTCTGGAAAGCAGAAATGAACTTGAAATAGTTCTGGATTTTCTGGAAATGGTCTGAATGAGAAAAGTTTGGTATTGGCTAATTTGCACTTTTCTGGGTATGGAGTTAGTGAGGTTGGTCAATCTATGGTTCAAAAAGAGAAGAGGAACTGGAATATCAGTTATTGAAATAACAGTCTCTCAAACTTGTATGAATTATAAATTTCCATTCCTCCTCCCTTCCGAATAGAGAATCAACAGGAGTTGAGGTTAATGTTGAAAAAGGAAGTTATCCCCAAAGTCAATAACTAAACGTGATTTAATATTTTTAACAAACGTGACAAGTTGTTAATCTGTTTGCAACACAACAAAAAAAAATGAACAGGTGCCACTTGGTCAACCATGTTTTTCTTTTTCTTCTCATTGTTGTTATTGTATTCACATGTGGTACATGTAATGGCAACATGTTGCTCCAAGGCAACGATCAAACAGTCTATTACACACTTTACAATAGCATTCATCAGAAGGACTATGTATTTCCATATACCTTCCTAAAAGCTTACATGTTGAAAGATAACCCAAAATTACTTTCGTTTAATGTAACAAGGAGTGGCGTTATTGATTTATTGAAAGATGAGAAGATGGTAAAAAGTTTAAGAATTGGAATTGTCTCCTCGTGGGATACGACTAAAGACTATCGACAGATCATGAATGATTTCTTTCGATTTTATCAGCTAGAACACATTGTTGAACAAGTTTCGTTTACAATAGGTAGATATGGCACCTGTCAAGCAAATATTTTCGATAATTTTGACATTATTTTCTCACACAACCAAATGTTTTATATGTGGATAAGGATTTTTAGAAATGGGAATCGATCTTACAAGATGGACGACTTTTTATCAGTAACCCTAGCTCCATTCTATGTATTTGTTATTACAGAACCTTTGGGACCAATAGAAGAGTATACGGTTCATAATCTTGTATGGAACACAACGTGTAATGATGATGGACTTGATTTTATTTCACAACTTGTAAATATTGCTCGTTATGAAACTAAGGTGGAGTACTTTTTCTACACTTCTAAAAGTGGAAATGGCACTCTTTTTGAGAGAGAAGACAGATTGTTTATGAGTAGTATGAATGGATTTGATATCATGTATGTTTCTTCACAAGTAGCAGATAATTGGAAGAACAAGATTGTAAACTATTACAATATTAATGAAAATACCTCATACCAATCATATCTCCTTCCTCAATGCACCGCTTGTAAGAATGATTATTGTGAAGAGTTTGTATTTGCTGATACTGATTACTGGATTATACCTGTAACTCTTTTAATGATCATTCATTATTGTGTAATTTTCTTCTCTGGCTCTTTCAGAACACCAGCATTGAAGATTCGTCTGCTCATACCATATCTGTTACCGATTATTGTTTTTTACTTTGAGATCCACTTTTCTATTATCATTGTTTATAGTTGTAAAAATGTCAGAAATGCCATTAGCGGTTTCATTCTGACAGGTGGTATTCTGACCTATGCTTTTACAATTATTAGAGTATACTATCTTAGAAACTTGTATCACATTATCAATACAAGAAATATTGAATCCTCTATTAGGAATATTGCATTCCAAAGAAAGATTTCAGGTCCTCTACCTGGAATATTGCTCACTGGAGGAATAGCATTAATGTTAGTTCCAATATTTGGTTCACCATATTTGGTAGCTATTAGCTCTATAGATGAAATGGATAATTCAGTAATAGTTTTAAATGCACTCTATGCTGTATACATTGGACTTGGATGTTCAATTGGTGGTATTGCCATAGTATTGGATCTGGTATTCAATAGGAGAAAGTTGAAAGAAAAAGGATTGAAATATGTCCTATTCTTTGATGATCCATTCTTGATTCGTTTAGAAGTTTTCCTTCTTTCGTTATGTATTGTATTCATTGTTCTAATTTCAATCCCTAGTATTGATTTTCATTCAGCAAGATTTTTCAGATTTATGATTTATGTCATTGTCATTCTAAACTCTGGTCTTCTTGTATCTTTCAAGCAAATTATTACAAAAGTTTTCAATAGAAAGAAGAAGAATGAAATTTCCAACTTGGAAGTTTACATGCAAAACTCTGCATTCCAAATAATGATGAAAGAGTATTGTGTGAAAGAAATGTCTTTGGAAAATTATAATTGTTACATGTTTTTGGAACGATTGAAAGAGAAGACAGATCAATTGATAGATTTGACAGTAATCCAACAATTGGAGAAGGATTACTTCGCGCTTAATTCCATCTATGAGTTGAATATTCCATCAAATGTAAGAAAATCATTCTATGAATTACTGAAACAAGTTGAAGATTCACACGCTCAACTCTGTGAAATGGCAGAAAGTAACATGACAGGCATGAACACTTCTCATGAAAATTCCTCTATACCAAAATATTCTGATTTGATAGAACTTGTGAACATCAATATTATTAGTAATTTGGGGGATACACTCTCAAGGTTGGAAGTAACGAACGAATATCAGGTCTGGCAAGAATTGTATGATATCCAATCTAAATCATCAGTAATTTAATAAATCTAAACTCATTCCGCACATAGGAATGATTAATGTCCAATTGAGACTGGCATACAGTGGCTTAGAAATCATTACCAATTTACCAATTTGAAAACCTGATTGCAGTTTCTATAGGTTGGGCAAGTGGACCAGTCATAGGAGGATTGCCAATTCTAGGTTGAATTGGGCCGATAGTTTGGAAAAGTCATATCCTAACAGTTGGATTTCAAAATTCCCACTCATTGAACCTTTTGGGAAAGATCTCCACATTATTTAATAGTGCCTAAGGATTGGTATTTTCTATTTTGATATTTGTAATCCATGTACATATCCATTAATTCTCCAACATTCTTTAAAAGTTGATAGCAATGCTGCAAGTATTCCACATTTTCTTGCAGAGAGGAAGGTTCCAGCTCCTTCTTACTGTCTAGTACAACTGTTGGCTCTCTAAATTTTTGAACTATGAACCTTAGTTCATTAATTCGCTTCTTGAGCATGGTAATCAAACGATAATAAATATTGATGGGAGCAGATTGGTTGTTTGCTAGGAATGGTTCGTTTGATGTAATAGATTTCAATAATAACCTCGATGATTCAGTGTCATCGCTATCGTCCTTGTGGAATTTTTCAATTATGCCATCAACTCTTGTTAAAACGTTCTGTTTCAAGTGAAATTTTCTTAGAAAATTCATAGCTAATGTATTAGAATATAGATTGGGATAATATTTGTAATATTCTTTTGATAAAAAGTAAGGAGAGTCTTCATCAAACTTGTGAACTAGCAGTCCAATTAAAAAGCACCATACAGGAATGAAATGTCTTGGAGATAAGCTGAATTCCTTCTTTGTTGGTACTAATATTGAAAGAATCTTGTCAATCAAATATTGAGATCCGTACACAGTTGCTGGCATATTTTTTCCTATGAATTTGAAAACAAATGATCGATTCAATTTCCTCAATTCTTCTGTATCTCCAATAAACTTCTCATTCAATTTGTCATCACTCTCTGTTGCAAAATAGAGATAGCAACCATTTAAATAATTATAACCAAATAATGCCCAATATTGTGAATAAGTTGAATATCTCACAATAATCGCTTCTTCTACTCCTCCAATTATAATCCTAATCTTGGAATGATTTCCAGACTCTATGTTTCCGAATTGAAAAACAGTGAATGGATTATCTAAACTTTTTGTACGCCAAACCTCTTCCACAATAATTCTAGAAAGCACCATTTTGATCAACTGTTCAATGAAAGGTTCCTGTGTTAGGGATGGATGCGAAAATTGCAGAATATCTAAATCTAAATAATTCTGGCTCGGTAATCGTTCTTTTAAACTTTTTGAAACTCTGCACTTGTATTCACTAAAGTGGTTTCTAATTTTGTGTTTCCAAAAGAGATCATTGTCGGAGATGATAGACGATGAAATATTTGTTTTTCCCTTTGTATTATTACTCAAGAGGTGAAAGTAAAATTCCCACAATTGATTAGAATTGGCAATTTGATGCCACTCTTTACACACGAGGGATAATTTCACAGTGCGAGAATAATCAAGAAATGAAAAGATGGTGAAGAGAATGTCTTGCAGTTGACTCATTTTTTTTAAATGTTATTACACCACAATATTTACACTTCACCTCGTTTCTGAAGATCTAAAATTGATTTTTATTCCTCAAAGTAAACGAGATTTAATCTGTTTGGCATTAGGTCTTCTGGAAGGTTCCCAGCTCAACATTTCAATAATTAATTGGATGAGTTCTTCGTTTGTTGAGTGGAGTTTCAATTGTTCTTCGACTGAAGCATTCATTTCAGTTTCTGTCATGACTCTGAAGGTTGTTTTCTAATATGTGTAAGTATTATTGAACTGGAAATATTAAAACTTACCAAATCTCTGGTTATTAATTGATAGAAAATCAATCCTAATGAAAATATATCCGAAGCAAAAGATAATTCCTTATCGTTGTGTCTGCAATGATATTCAGGAATAAATACATTATATAACAATTGATTAGGTATGCCTTTTTCTAATTCTGAAACATCCATGACAGAGTCCAATACTGAAATCATAATTTCCATACTCTGCCATGAGGAGAGATGGAAACGAATGTTTTCACAACATAAACCCAAGTGAACTTTCTTTCTCTCATGAATATGAACTACTGCATCACACAGTTGAGCCATCGCATTCTTGAGAAGAGAGGAAACAATCTTTTCCTCTGTGAGCTTATTTGATTTACAAAAGTCCAATAAGTTTCCTCCTTTCAAATGAGTAGTAATAATGTAAAAACTCCTCTCATCTGTAAATTCCTCTACCTTTTGAACAATATGTTCATGATGGAACTGATATTGCAAGAGCTGAATTTGTTAGTTTACAATTAAAATATAACAACTTACATTTTTACAAAATACTCCAAAGTGTAAAAACATGAATGTGGCAACTTCCTTGTCATTATTCTTGATATCAGCACAAAGGAAACTTATAATACCAGATTCTAAACCAGCAATGTCAATCTTTCTTATCATTTTGTATCTTCCATTGAGAAGAACAGACGAGTATCTCTTCTTATCATCTTTAGGAACAGCCTCACTTGTAGGATTGGTAACTGGAACTGGAAGTAATATTTGTTCTAATTGTTTCTCCAATGTGAAAAATCCATTATCTCTAAACGATTCTAATATTCTTACGACTTGATAAGCTTGAGGTCTGAGATAGGCCTTTCTTTGAAGCATGGAAATTACCAGTCTTTGTACGAGTGGAGGGAATCCATTTCTCTCCAATGTCTTACAAAGTCTGAAATGGGTCGCCGCTTGATTGTTTCTAATTGCTTCATGCATTAGGAATCTTTGACCGTTGATTGTCAAATCTCTTTCTAGAGTTAATAACTCATAGAATACACATCCCAACGAAAATATATCACCTGACCTGTCAATTTTAAGATTAGAATCCATATATTCAGGAGCCATTGTTAATGGTGTTCCCTTTCTACTGACACTTGCTCTTGGATCCCATCTTGTCAACAAACCGAAATCTGAAATCTTACAGAATAGTTTACCATTCTTTTCGGAATCAAGAAGAATATTCTCAGATTTCAAATCTCTATAGATGAAATTTTGGTAATGGAGCTGGTCTATTCCTGTTGAAATGTCAATTGCAAACGAAAGCCACTCTGGGTAATGTAAATAATTTGGATCGTTTCTATACTGATTCAAATGATCAAAAAGAGTTCCGTGAGGGATAAAGTTCATTACTACATTGAGTCCATAATCATTGAACATTTCTCCTTTTCTCTCTACGAATTTCTTTACAATTGTTACCAAGTTCTTGTGATCAGATATTTTCATAACTAGATCCAAATGTCTATTCATTTCCTTGATTTTATCCTGATCCATAACTTCAGTACATCGTTTAAGGGCTACAAATGAATGAGTAGTTCTGTCAAAACATTTAAAAACTGCTCCTTCAGTTCCTTCTCCCATCTTTTTCAAAATGATATAGTGGTTTCCATAGACGACCATATTTGGAGGTTTCCACTTTGGTCCATCAGTAGAAAGGCAATTCATGATAAGATGCTTTAGCAAAAGCAACCCCTTGTTTTCTATTGAAAGCTTGTTCAATTCCCTAATAAGAGTAATTCCAAAATTCCACATGTGTGTACTGATAAAGTTTGACACTTGTTTTTCTGAAATTCTAATATTGTGTTACTAGTAAATCCAATGCTATCTTACTTACCTCTTGTTAAGAGTATTTGGTCCAGAAAATCCCTCCTTTTGGAAAAATTTTGAAATAGATTCCTCATGTGAACTCAAAATAGCTGATAATAAAATGTGCTGCTCAGAGTCTACATTGCAGAATGATTTGGTGAATGCTTCCTTCTTTGATAATAGTTTGACAGCTAAACAAATTGTGATGGCTATAAAGACAGTTTCTGCTTTTGAAACATAATTGAAAGGAGTGTTCTTTAGCATACGGAACACGTCCTTCCTATTTTCCTTCACATTAGTTAGATTTAGAATTTGGAAGCAGTAAGATCTCATCTCTTCAAATGTTGTTGGAATTACATTTTGTACAACGTTGAGGGTGTTTACAATATCTGTATCAGTATATTTTGATTGATCCGCAATATAATAGTACAACTCTGTTATCCATACTGTCATGTTATTCTCAAAACAAAATTGAATTTCCTTTGAAAGAACGTGGGGCTTCATGTTGCTGAAATGATTTTCTCTGAATTGTTCCTTATCCTCCTCAATGCTGTTGCTTGATGTGATGGATTTGTAAAGGTCGGAAATGTGGTGATAAATCTCAAAATTTTCTCTCTTGGAAAGTTCCTCATTAGAGGTCAGTAAGGCATTTTCTTTGTCTTTTCATGGGTTAATAGATGCAAGAACATGAAACACTTACCAAAATTTTTAGAAATAATGTGATTGGTTACGAATAGTTTGTTAAAAGAATCAATACCCAAAAATTCCGAAAGAGTTTTTAAATCTCTTTCAGCACTCTCAGGAATTTGCTTATTGTAAAACATTGATTCATAATCTGAAGAATTGAACTCTCCAACCAATAGCTTATAAGCTGGCTGGCTGTTAATAAAACTGATAAATAAAGATGTCATTATGATATTTGAAGGTACTGTTACATAGTTTGCCTCTGGATTATGAAGACCAGAAGGTAAATTTCCACTATGGGAAGCCATCATTTCGAAAAATGTTGTGCCCCCAATAGTTGTCTTTGAGAAATGAGACATGGATTTCTCAACTGGTTCAGGAGGGAGCTCCTTCGTAGAGTCAAAATAGTGACGACATCCAAAGAGCAGAGCCTTTGGTACGACAACAAGCTCTCCAGATTTGATCTTCTTCTTGTCGAGTGTGAAAATGTTTAAACTCTCTGGTGTTGAAATGTTTGCAGTCTCGGTAAAATGCATGAATGCATTGTGGGCAATTTGGAACCTTTCATTGAAATACTTGTATACCCCAACAGCTTTGGTCAAGCCACAACTGTACAAAAATCTACCATGGGCTAAATAAATATTAAGTTATAATTATGCAACAATACCAAATACATACAATTCTTGAATATGGTATCTTCATCCACGGAAACAATGTTATGCTCGATTAATATTTGTTTTGGGATGTAAAAATCAGACGAGCCTCCTGTTTGATAAACTTTACCGTTCTGCGTAAGGAAAAAACATTCTCCAAATTTACTGCATTTCAAATCCTCAATTTCTATTCCATTTTCCTTAAAGAACGTTATTTCCTTAGGTCCATTAAAGGTTCTAGCCAATCCGACTCCGAATATTCCACTCATATTATTTCCCAATCCCCAAATGGTTTGTCTGTCCTTGGCTAAACACATCAATGTTAAACCATCATCATCACTGCATTTTTTTCAATACGTAAGCAAAACTAATTGATGATTCAAGAAACAAACCTGCATGAAATTTTGATAATTTCCTTTCCAAACAAACTGGTCAGTACTCTAATACATAAGTTACTGGCAACTACTGCATTTTGAGGTTCTGTCAAGGTAGCCAAAAAAGGTGTCAATGTTTCTGTATCACCAGCGACAAGGACTGTTCCCTCAGCAGTCAAGAAGAAAACACTGTCATCTGTATTTACAGCATCCACAATTCCACTTGTTAAATGTGTAATACTGTCGAGATGGAGTGAATTTGGTTTGGTATCGTAAGGCCCCTTGACGAAAATATTCAAACCACAAGCATATGCATTGTAGTCATCGGTGAGAAAAACTGTGGACCTCTTGAGAATACATATTTTTCTTACTTTTCTATTCTTGAAATTGTAACGGAGAAGAGATGGCACAACAGTGAGAGGCATATTGTGACCTAACCCCAATCTATAATCATCATTACAACCAGCAACCCAAATATGTTGATCTATTTCAAATTATAAATTCATCATTTTTTAAAAAATTGATAACCTACCACTAACGAAAAAAGAAGTTTCGTATTGTGAAAATACAGAATGAAATTTAGAAATATCCAAAGTATCTGAGTATTCCTTCTTCAATTGTACTCTGACAGTTGAGAAATCTTCAACATTTGGCAGCAAATGTTGTCCACAAACTTCATCACTTGATTTGGAAGAAACACAAAATGAATATCTCGATTGATTCAACAATTCATCCAACAAGACATTTCTATCCTTATTTTGTTCATTGTCAATATTTAAATTAATTTTCTTTGCATTCTCTCTCACAATTTCAAACATGTAAATAACATCAGATTTAACAAATGCCTTTTCTTCTTCCAATGCTGCTTCCTCTTCTTCCTTGTTAACAACAGTACCAATACTCGTATTGGCAGCATCACTAATGGACGCTGACAATGATGATGAATTGGAAATTATCAGAGTTTTCCTGTTGAGTCCTCTCTTTAAATGTACAGGTTCGAATCGGTGAGCATTCGATCGGTTTCTATTCGGTCTCGAGAAGAAATCATCAAATTCCATCAAGTAATCATTTGCTGATTTTTCCTCTTCTTTTTCTTCCAATATTGTTATTGGTGGTGATGAAGCTATTGTTGTAGATGAAGATGGAGAGGTAGGTTGTGATGGAAATGAAGAGGGTGATGAAGAAGGTGAAACTGATGATTAGACCAATATTTTGTTTTTCAAATGTTTCATATTGTTAGGAACAGTGCTTGAAGATGGTGAATCTGGTCGAAACAATCCATCATCACCCAAATCTGTAGTGTCATCGATGGCACTTATTTCCGAGTCCATAGAGGCTAACATGCCTTTCATATTTTTTTATTAGATGGCTTGTTTCAATTTTTAAATTAGGCTTGGAGTGTTTAGGAGTCAACATGACATTTTACGAGACAATTTTGGAATTATGCAGAGTTGGGGTAAGTTAGTGCATTGTGTTTGATAATGTTTGATTCAGAATAAAGCCTATTACCTTAACCGCTAAAATGGAAGAGGAATGTTTGGCTCTCAATCCATTGCATTATTAATAATAAACAATATTTGGTCCTAACCTGAGTGCTGTTTTTCGAGTTGGTGATGAGAGGGAAGAATTGAATTTTCAACAAAATTGTTTATATTCGTTTGAGGAACAAGATTGGAAGTGCAGAAGAGTTACATGGAAGATTTTGGTCTGTTCTAGAGAGAGGAGAAACGTGGGAGAAGGTGAATGTCACATGGTTGATCTTCAATGAGTTTATTGAATGAATACTGCTTTTATTTTGGATACTCTTGACTGTAGTGGTAAGTGTGATATTCATTATTGAAATTAAATATTTTTGTAATTTGTTAAATATTTAAATTGTTTTTTTTTAATAATTTAAAAAAATGAATACAAAGCAACAAGAGGATTCTTCAATGTCAAAAGAAGAGGTAGAATTGTTGAATAAACTCATGACGGATAAAACTTTAAATCCAACATCAAAAGAGGAATTACAAACAACACGTATCCCGAAGGATGATAGTAAATTTCAACAATTACAAAAGGCACTAGATGATTGTTCAAAGAAGGCTCACACCTTCCTGTATTCATCAATTTCCTTGGGTGCTTCCGTTCCGATGGTTTTAATTTTCAAAACAATGAAGCCTTTGTACATTTTACCACTTGTTGGTGGTGCTGTTGATTTGTACAAGAGCTCTCAAAATTGTAAGAATGAAAGAGAGGCTTTTGATACCTATTTGCTAAAGAGAAGAAAATGGGAATTACTCTCCGAAGCTAAGAGATTGGAAATGGAAAAGAATGCTCTCCAAGATGAATTACAAAAGAGAAGACAATCAAAATAATATGCTATCAACAATATATTGGCTGTGCTCATCAGAATTTAGGAACAATTTTGGAAATTGAAGTATATTGAACCCTGTGTGGAAAGAATATAATAATACGATTTTTCACCAATGTGTTAAATCAAATGTTGATTGATCGTGTTCTTGAACAACAGTAGTTATTATATTATAGGGAATAAAATATCTATTTGTTGTGAACAACAGGTTCATCCCTTTTCGGAAAATTAAATCCCTTAATGATCAATCGTCACGATGCGTTGTTAGATGCAAAAACTCTAATTATTGCTTGATGAACTAGACAAATGTTGCCCTTACTATAGGAATGAATACAGAGCACTCATTCTCAAAATTAAGAGGCTACTTATTAAAGTAAAAGTTATAAGCAATTTTTGATCAATCTTCTATAGACTCTTGATTGGACAAATATGAGTTCTGTTTGCTCAAATTAAGATCACAGTACTACTTCTTTACTCTGTAAAGATGAACCTCAACGTTGAGCAAAAAAAAATTGTTTCAAGCCGAAACTTTGGTACATTTAGGTGCATCTTTGAAAACTCGGGAAAACTCAAAACTAGTCTTGGCCGTATCTTGTTATTTAAGCATCCTAAAGTGGCTGCCTAACACTCTCAAACAAGGCAATGTTAATATAAGCAGCCCCAAAGCGGCAAGCTGCGCCCACAACAAATCAAAGAAAGTGCCCCCTGCAAAATGTTATTAAGGCAAGAGTTAGAAAACCACTGGTAGAATATAGAATAATTGCCCTTATGCATAATTCTTATGGAACAACTCTCTTGACCGTAATCCAAAGTACAATTCTGGCGCCGTGTGTCTTGCCATCTTTTCAGCCTTGATCAGATTTTGAAAGCTGTTTAATGTGTGGGTTAATGAGCACAAACGTAAGATGCCATGTTTCGAAGTCAAATTAGGGCAAACGGTCGTTCAAGTTTGTTTGCTCAAACACAAATTGTAAATATTTATTCAACTCTAAAACAACACACACAACACTAATCAGCAGCAAGCGTCGAGATAGAACATTAGTGAGGAGCTTTTATCAACCTTTAATACAACAATTTCCTCTCTTAAAGAGTGTTTTCATATTGAAAATAAGACTCGCGACATTGTTAAATAACATCAACATCATCAATATCACTCGTCTTCAACCTTATTAAAATCGTATGAGCTTTGATATATCATTGTTCCTATTTTTAAAAAGCAACATCATCATCTTAATTTATATATATCAAATACAAGCATCAAATAATATATAACAAAAACCAATAACATTATAAAACTCTATGGGATCGTTCATGTGTACAAATGCCTCTGTTGCTCAGAAGGCACACAGAAAGGACGACTATAAAAATCCATTCGTTGAAAATGCAAAGGTGAGAAGACATCGACACAGAGAACGAGAGGCCAATAGAACTCTCTTTCATAAACCTAGGGGTAAGAAGGAAGTGGAAAACTTTCATGCCAATGATAGTCATATAGTTGAGCATCATGATTCACGAGGTAATGCCATAACAATACAAATACGGCATGCTAGGTCGATGAGTTGCTTGTCTGGCTTGGTTACTCAGCCCAATAGGGAACTAGTGCCAAAGATTCCTAATGTTGAAAAACTCAAAGATGTTACCACACCAAAAGGAGAGACTCCTGATGTAATGATAGCCGAGAATGTAAATAATGATAGAGCAAGTAATTGTAGTAATTTTGTCCCTGTTTTGTCTGCAAGGGATAAAGAACATGTTGCCTCAATATATGAAGTAACAAATGACGAGCAAGACCTGGAAAGATCTCCAATCAAGCTTAAAGATTTAAAATCCATCGACATGACCAATCATGATGAAGATAATTTCGATAATTTGGACCAAGGACATCAGGATGATGAACACTACATGCACAAGGAATTTACGAGTATACAAAATGTTCACCATTTGAGAAGTAGAGTGAGTACCTCTAATTCCCTCAATAATCTCGAACACAATCAGAGGAAAAGTTATTCCGAAAAGAACATTAGAAAAATTCTGAATGATTTCGAGAGCAATTCTCGACCTTTGACACCAGTCGATGATAAAAGATCTCAAAAGAGTTTAAGGTATCCTTCGAGAACTTCAATTTATTCCTCCCAAAGTCGTTCCTCAACATCAAGAGCCATGGAATTAATTTCTGTAAGTTCTGATACAAAAGTGTGATGATCACTTTGATATATCCCTATCTTTAAGTAATAGAGGATAGCAATTGTGAAAGGTAAAGTACTGCGAAAATGACAAGTGTTTTTGAGAATGGCAATTGTGATTGTTTTTGGTTACAATTAGATACTCTCAACCTTTGCGTGAGCTTTCTCTTGAAGCTCCTTAAGTGGATGGAACAAAACCAAAATGAGAAAAGCATACATTAATTGACTTGAAGTATTAAAAAAGTGAAAAAATATTAGGATGTAGTTCCAATAAGCAGCAAATTGTAAAGAGATGGCACAGCAAAGTTCCACAAATAAAGTTCCAGAAACAACATAGAGGAGGAAGAGTGATTTTCTTAGATTTGTCTTTTTCAATCGATAGGATTCGTAAACTCCTGCCGCTTGAAGATTTAACTCAATTCCCTTTTCCTTATCTTGTGCTATATTATCCACCATTTTCTTAATTGCATTCTTTGATTTTCTCATCTTGTAAATAAACATGCAGCTAAATACCTTCAATCAAGTTTAGTTTCCAATTACAAATAATTCCACTTACATTACTGATAACAAATGTACCAAATGAAACAATTGCAATACAAATGGAGTAAGAGCCAAAGAATACAAACCATGTATAATCCTTTTCTCCATCATCCTTACTTTTTATGGAAATATTAAACAAGGATTGAAATCCAAAAATAATAAAAAAAGCAATAAAGCATATCGAAACAAGACTTGTATGAATTCCAAAGAATAGATTAGAAACTATTTTCCCCTTCCTTCCAATCATTCGAAAGTTACAACACAACCGATAACTAGACCCAGCTCATTGATAAAAACCAATTTCGAATACACTACTTACTATGAAAAGGAAATACATATATAATTCAATTGTTGCGCAAAAATTGAAAGAACAGTAAACGCTCTGTCCAAACTCTTAAAAGTCGTGTACATGTCAAATTCCATAAAAATATCAAATTCTGAAATGATTCTGGCAGACACATTAATTACCATACAAAAAAGCATGAGAATCAAACAAATAAACAATCCGTGTTGTATCTTATCTTTCAAACTTTTAAATTTCAAAATATAAGAAACAATGGAAGAAAGTAATAACATCAAGGCAATTAAAATAAATATCGGATTCATTGAAACAACTACTATTCCATAGGTTGAAAGAGAATTCTCTTCGATAAGACTACTACTATTCGAAACTATGGATGCATTTGAGCTGGGTATTGTAGCTACAAGTAATTCGTGCATTTTTTCAAGAATAGTTTTTGAATTTTATGGAGATACCAGTAGTACATAAAACGTTATGCAAAACAGTATATTGAGGTTATCGCTGGAATAGTATATGAGTTGAATCAATTTTATTAAAGAGATGGAAGTGAATCTTCCTATTTGGTCAAGTAATCAATTCCTTATTGTCCAAATTCAAATCTTGATTTCTATTGATGATAACCTTCCGTCAACCTTCATATTGATGTTTCACATTTTGTGATACTGAATGACTACGGCCATATCACGATGAATGCACCTCATCCCGTCCGATTTGAGAAGTTAAGCATCGTCGAGCTACATCAGTACTGAGGTTGGAGACAACTTGGGAACCTGTGGTGCTGTAGTCTTTTTTATTTTCAAAATTTTGCTCATATTATGAAATTAAACAACATCTTTTTCTTCTCCACAAATTACTGGTTGCTTTTCTTCTCCATTAATACACAAATCAACTTGTTGGCTCACTTGATTTTTTCCTGCTTCCCTATTATCAATATTAACATTACTACATGTTTCAACAACTGCAACAACTGCAGTATCTTCAATGAACTGAGGTATTTGTGCTCTCGGTGTCGTTGCATGATGACTCTGTCTACTCAGAGTACTAAATTTCTTATGCACCAAGGTGGAGGATGACAAATTATTTGCCGATCTTAAACTGTGAGGATGATCTATATTGTGAGATGAATGATTATTCTCAACAATATTGGTGGTTGCCTTCTTGCTCAATGCTCTAAAAGGAGTATACAGAGCTAAAGCAGTACAGGCAAATATTAAGATACCAAGAGAATTGCAAGTGGAATAACCCAAGGCAAAGTGAGCTGTCTGTGGATCTTCCTGGGCTACTCCAGAAGCAGCAGCAAACGCTTCGAATAGAAAACAGCCGAATAATCCACTTTGTAATACGAGGATTTTGATAATGGTTCTTCTCTTGTTTTGGTTTTCTATGGAAATTTTGGAGATTGTTTTGAGAACCACTGTTGCAGCAATCTATTGGTATGATGATTGAAATTATTGTTATTGGATTAATGAATATTGAGCTAGATCAATTACATGAGTCCACTTACAATTAATAAGGTAATTTGAATTCCAATTTGAATTATGAAAATAATAAGACACAATCCATAGACATAGGTAATAGATTCATCACTAATATATCCCAATCTCTGCACAATGGTCAGAACAGTAACCACCAAATTAATCACCACCAATAAAACTGAATTAATAATTGTGAAAATTGAAACAATATTCACAAAATAGTGAACTTTTTTTGAATTTAACAATCCACTCGATAATCTAAATGTTTCCACAAATACAAGTGTAACAAACCAAACAATAATAATCATGACTTGAATGTCCATGAGGACAATAAACAATTCGGCAGCCACAGAAATTACGTAAACTATAATTTCTCCCATGGTTATTCCCACATCGTGGGGAGTTATTCCCATAGTGTTATTATACCACAAGAATGTATCAAATCCCTCTCTAGCAGTAGTAGAATTACTCCCAGATTGTACCAGTTGGGCAAAATTCTGGAATTTCATTCCAAACGAAATGTTAAAACTGTCATAAATAATTCGAAATATCAAGACGAAACATTCCATGATACACATGATGAGCACTCCAATAATCATTCTCTTATGGTTCTTTGTGATGGTTTGATGTTTTTTGAGATAAAAGTAGATGATGTACATGACTAGACATAGAGAGAAGAAGAGTGCTGCAATGGCCAGTGAAATTTCAATATACGAAACTATGAGAGGCTCTATACGAAAGACAGTCGTTAACACTGATGGTAAAGATGAAGATGTGTCATTCTGCATTTTGTTTTGGTTGTATTATCGGCAGTGCCGAATCGTCACAGTGATTACATGATTTGATAGGAAGCACTTTGCCAAAATAGTCAAGCTAAACTTCTTATTGTGAAAGCACGTTAAATGGATTAATGACGTTTCATTTGCATTTACAGCTGTCTGTAATGATTCTGTGTTTAAAGAATAAATGAAGAATGCATAAAGAAAGATACATGGAGATTAAAGGATTTGAATTTGATGAAAGTGCTTACTGAGATAATGAGAAGCAGAAGTGTATAATCAGAATTTACAGTAATGTTGAATGCAGAGACGGTCAACTAGAGTTATGTTCTATCAGTTTTCATCTTAATGTCACCATTCAATGAATGCAAAATTTGTTGATCTCAACATAGTTAAGGAAATGTGGATAATAAATTAAAATTTTTGTATTGGGAATATTTTACAGTGATTTGAAATTTTGTTGATGTGTTGGCAAAGATAAGAACTCATTTGGATAATTTACAGAGCCATTGGGTGGGATAGAGGCGTAGTATGATTGATTCAAAAATGGTGGAGGTACCAGAGAAGTATTATTATTTTGGGTGGAAGTTTCAATTTTTGTCTTCTTCTTTGGTTGTTTTTTTGGCTTTGGTGGAGGTTGTGGTTGAGTTGGAGGCTCTGCTATAGAACCTTCTTTTTCTCGTTCCTCTAATTCCTGTTTTTCTTTCTTTGACAAAAATCTGCCTCCAGGACCTCTAGCTCTTTTCTTTGCCCATTCGTGGCGAGAATTGTACTTGTAGGATTTGTCCTTATATTGCCCAGCATTTTTCATTTGTTGTTCCAATTTAGCTCTGGCTACTCTTCTTTTCAAAATTCTTTGGTACTGTTTTGGATTTACATAAATTGTTCCTTCAACATTTTGTTGAGAGTTATCTGCTTCAGCATTTGCTTGATTATTGGAATAGTCTTGAACTAGTGACTCTGGTTGCTCTTCTTCAGCACTTGTGGGTATTCCAGGTTGTTGTGAATATTGATAGTAATTCCAATAGTGATGATTTGGATAAGAATACCAATGCATTTCAGGTTGGGAGTACAAAAAGTTAGGATCATGACTCATACCATTAGCAGCAAGATAAAAAGGTTGCATTATTCCATGTCCAGTCATTGCAGAAGAATGCAACATATTAGGATAGGAGTAAGCAGAAGTAGTAGAAGTAGGCAGACCATCAAGCTCATTCTCATATGCATGTTGTTGAAGAGTTGGTTGCTGTTGTTGGGTTGTGACTGGTCGTGCAGATGAGCTTCCCTTTTGGGTTGGATTGGATTGATTGGAAGAATTTGAGCTAACACGTTTCCTTTTCGGAGAGGTTTTTACAGTGGTTGTTTGAATCAAAGTACTACTCGGATCATTGATAGGAGTGGGAGCTGTGGCTGTAGTAGGAAGCTTGTTCAAAGGCAAAGATTTGACATTGTTTGTTTGTGAAATTATTGGTGATGGAATGGTTACGTTAGTAGTTGTAGTACTAATGCTACTGAGTGCAGTGGCAGACACAACAGTTGAAGGGAGAGCAACAACAGCAGAGGACGAAGCCACATTGGTTGAAGGGAGAGCAAAAGGTGGAGGAAGGAAAGAACTTTCCATTGTCGATGATTGTTGTTGGAGTAAAAATTGAGTACCTCCTCTCATCATGGCTGCTGATGAAATTGCAGCTGACGATGATCCTCTACTATTAATTGTAGAGGTACTACTGCTACTACTCGATGGCTTGAGAGGATCATGAAGAATTGATTGTTGTTGTTGCTGTTTGGGTGAGGAGTGAGTAGGGAGGACAGAGAGAATTGATAGAGCAACCTGTTCATCACCAACCGATGATCTGTGATGAAGAGGATTTTCTTGATGATGATGGTGTTGATCCATAATTACAAACTCTCTTGGAGTTTGTATATTTGCATCATCATCACTACTGCTACTAATGAAGGAAGAATCGTCTTGATCGTCCTCTTCTTGATTACCAATCGGATCAACAACACAAGTGTACTCTTCAGCCATTAATTATATTGTGATGTAAAGTTGAGTTTGATTATGAGATTATCGGAAAGTAGTGGGCCGGACACAATGGATGACACAACAATTCAATACTACTACTGTGTGTTGTAAAACCACTTATAATTATTGGAGAAATGTTTTGGTTGGTGGTTGAAGGAGTTCGATGATTGGATAAATTTTTTTAGGGATGAATAAAATAATTGGTTGTCCTAAATTTAGCTCATTTTACAATTTTTTAAATAGTAAGAACTATTTGAATGGTATGGATAACGAGATGAAAAGAGTATTTACTTTATTTACACTCACTCGTCAAAGGAAATGGGTTTCTTGACATAGATTTGTCTGCAAACTGGACACTTTTGATTCTTACTCTCAATAAATTTCTCAAATGAACTCAAACACTTTTCATGAAATATGTGACCACAACTTGTGATGGTACACTTACGACCTTTGAATGCACACAGACAGATAGGACACTCCTCATCTTTTTCTTCTCTTCCAAGGGCTTTCGACTCTACCTTATTCCATTGATCTTCTTGCATGTTAAGAATGAGAAGACTTTGTTTGACTTGTTCATCAATTCGTTTAAGAAAATCGTCCACATTCTTTTCATCCTGAATAACTCGTGATTCCAATCTTTCATTAATGCTCGATAATTTAGAGACGCAATATTTTTCATGCCTATCTGGATATTTAGCAAAGTAGAGTCTCCTATATATTTTCCTCATCACATTTCCTCTACACAAGCTCTGTACCATTAAGGCACAAGTATTCTTTAGAAGACTCAAATGAAGCTTGGTCTCCTTTCTTTGATAATCCTCTAATCTACACATTGGACAACTTCTCTTCCTCCAAATATTACATCTTTCAAAACTTTGCAAACAATTCTGATGATACACATGTCCACAATTAGTAATACAAACAATATCATTAAATGCAAAAGATTCGAAACAAATAGGACATCCATCTTCCAAATGGCTCAATCTATTTGTGACAAGGTTTCTTTCCACGTTATTCCACTGAGAATCTGTCAACTTTTTGGGAGGAGGTTCTTTGAGACCCATCTTTTGAGATAGAGTTGGTTTTCGTTTTGTGGGATCTTGTTCAAACTTTTTCTTCTTACCCAATAATCCGTGATTATTCAGAGATTCCGTAAACTCTTGTTGAAATGCAACTGCAGTCCACAATTTTTCATTTTGCAAATAAGGCTTGTTAGTTGAGGAAGTAGAAGTGTTGGAAAATGGTAAACTTGTTTGTTTCTTGGTTGTATTTCCAGATACGAGAGACATTTTGTTGGAAGACATTATCGATGAGGAATAGTTACTCCTCGTAGGAGTCAACGATGATGGTGTTGTTGTGTTTCCATTCAATGACGAGGAAGAAGAGGACGAATTGGTGGCTGATGAATGTAGTGTCTTTTTTTTCATCTTTTGGCGCCAATTTTAATCTTGTAAATACTTCAATATTTCATTTGGTTGTATTTTATAAATTTCGAATAAGCAATTTTTGAAGTTAATACTTTCATTAATCCAACACTGTATTCTTTAATTATTTTCAAATTATTGTTCGTTGTATTAATATTTTTAATTATATTTTAAATAATTATTATCTTAAAAAAATGATCTCAACACAAACCAAACGTTCAAGAGAACAATTTGAAGAAGACCAAAAAGCTTTTGATAATTCTTCATTCGGAGAGGACTCTGTGGAAAATCCAAGTAAACAAAAGGTTGTAAGACCAGTTGTTATGTATAGACCAGGTAGGTAAACAAAAAGGAATAATATGATGGAAATTTATGTGTGATGAAAATAATACAATTCAAGATCAAAATCAATTGGATTTATATAAACCAGGAAAGGAAGTCCGCGTCTTTGTTCCATCAAAATATTTATTATCACCAGATAAAAGTAAAGACAATAGAAAGATTTTTGGTACCGATATTTATAGTGATAGCACTGATATTATTCTTGCTTGTCAACATATGGGTTTATTACAAGATCTTCCTCTAAGCAATTCTAAAGGAATTTTAGTTACAGTTTTAATTGAAAAACCACCAAGGTATGTCAATTAACAATTTCAAAATGATATTTATTATTTTAGCAAATATGAAGCTACCTTCCGAAACAATGTTCGTTCAAGAAGTTGGACAAATATTTCTCATTCTGATTCTAATGCTTATAAAATAATAGGAGTAAAAGCAATTGAAGATGATACTTTAGGACTTACTAAGCCTATCCCAGTCGACAAGTCGAATTTTAGTCATGGAATTGAACAACACAGATTCTTATCAAATGTTACTATTGTTTTTGGATTATCAGGAGAACCTGCTGTTAAATATACAATTAATTCTGTTACTGATAGAGGATACAATCACGATGACCTTACAAGTTATCGTTTAAAGAATGGAGAAACATTAGTTTTGGAAACTGAGACATCCAGGTATTGGCTTGCATACCAAAAATCAAACTATGTTTGGTCCTCCGTAGATATGGACACTGCAGTTGTAACACCAATTTTTACAGATCTCGATTGGAAGGACATTAAATGGGGGCATGAATCTGTTCTAATCAAAGACCAAGAATACAAATTGACCCTTACCTTTTTTAAATTGATTATTACACCATCTTTATAGATATAATAATAACTATTTTGTAAAAATAAAATAAATTATCCATAATCAATTAATATCCATGTTCAATTAATAATTGATTATTTATTTAAAAAATTTGTTGTAACAATTTCAATAATTTATTCTGGTAACCAACAAGAACTGCTGTTGTTGTTCATCAGATAAAAATAGACCAGTTCCTTCTTGATCAAATTCTTCAAAAAGAAAAAAATTGATCCAACACAATACACTACAACACACATAACAATTTGAAGAATGGATCCAGAAGTAATTGAACAATTCAAGACCATCACTAATACAAACGACAGTGTTGCTCAATTCTATCTTGAAAGTGCTGGGGGAGATTTCGAGACAGCCATTACCAACTATTTTAGCAATGCTGAATCTGGAGCCTCTCACGGAGGAGTTTCTTCATTCACTGATGATGATGGAGATGTAAATATGACACCACAAGCTACTCCAATTTCTTCGGTACCATCCGGATCTTCAGGAGGAAGAACATTGGGAGGATCAAGTGTTCCATCATCAAATCAACCAACAACTTCATCAACATCATCCAATAGTAGTAGTACTTCAAAGAAGCCTGTTACTAGTAGTGGAGGAGGTAGAAAGTTTGCATCACTCAGGGATTATAGTGGTGATGATGATGATGAAAAACCAAATTCTAAAGACAACAGGTATTATGCTGGCGGTAGTAGAAATTCTGGACAACAAATTATTGGTGCCAATGATAGTGACGATGATGATGACGAAAATCACTTTGCTGATAAAGTTTTCAAAGCAGCTCAAGAAAGAGGAGCTAAAACCAGATCCGAATATGATGATGAATTGAAACAAAATAAGCCAAAGTTTGAAGGAAGTGGAAGAAGATTAGGTAACACTGAAGCATCTAGTTCTCTCATTAAAGCCGAAGAAAAGAAAAAGGAAAAGGAAGTCACAATTACATTCTGGGCCGATGGTTTCACTGTTGATGATGGTCCATTGAGACTTTATGATGATCCTCAAAATGTTCAATTCATGGAAGCAATCAATAGAGGATTTGCTCCAAGAGAATTGGCAGAACCTGGTGTTGATATTGCTGTAAATTTACTCAATAGAAAGACTGATAAGTGGGCAGAACAACCAAAGCAATTTAAAGCCTTTGTTGGTTCTGGTAGATCTTTGGGAGCACCAACTTCCTCAAGCTCATCTTCAAGCTCATCAAGCTCATCTTCAAGTGTACCAAAAACTACTGTATCATCATCTAGCTCTTCAAATCTCAAAGTGGAAGTGGACAATAACAAGCCAACAACATCATTGCAAATAAGATTGGCCGATGGTGGTAGATTGGTTGGAAAATTCAATCTCACTCACACAATTGGACATATTAGACAATTTATTAGACAATCTAAACCTTCTGCAGATTTTGATATCATGACACAATTCCCTAACAAGGTTCTGACAGATGACCATTTAACCATCGAAGAAGCAGGTCTTAAGGGAGCCACCATTATTCAAAAATTAAAATAAATTATAAATGTATTAATTAGTATAAATATGTTACAACAATCTTAATAAGCTCAGAATTTTTCATACCACTTTACAGGGAGTTCTTGTAATAAATCTTTTTCTGGTTTTTGAGAAATCAGAGAGCAATGAAATTCCAAGTTTCCTCTTTTTCCAACTCTAAATTGACCTCCAACGAATGATAACTTTCCATTCCTGAGAACATTTTCTTGCAAATGTTGATTATTGATAGTGACATAGTTTTTCCAACTCCAACCATTTTTCTCTTTTGAATTGAGTCTTCTGACAGTGTCATCTATCTCATCTAAAAACTTGTCAATTCCACCTGCAATAACTCTTTCATTATTGAGGCTGACAAGAGTTTCGTTTTCTTGAATTTTTCCATCTCTTGTTCCAATCAAATTAGTGTGCATGTAGAAATCGACAATTATTTCCCTTGAGGGATTGGTAGGATCTATAAATTTCATAACCATTGGATTGTTTCTGATAATATAAAAATTGTGAGTGGAATAATCGAAATTTCTTCCTGGACTTCTATTATAGCAAGTAAGAAAATAGTGAATTAAGAGAATTTCGTCTGAACCTATTGGGCTGGTTTCTAATGGTTTCTTGTTGAATGAGCTAATAGGAGTTTTTGAATTTTTCAACAATATTTTACCATTTAGCTTTACAAATGGTTGTGATTGACCATTTTCAAGAGTTTCTTTCCATATCTTTTCATCCAAAAATTCAGAATTAATAATTTGAAAGAAAACACCATCCCTTTCTTTGTCCCAATACCAAAACACAAGCAAGAACGAGGAAACCATTAAACATAATACAAATAAATTACTGGTGTAGCTTGTTCGAAGTTTGCTCGCTGCAATTGTTATCACTGGTTCTCTTGCAACATGATTAGTATGGAATCTTCTCATCAAAGAGGATGCATGTTGTTGATTGACAGTTTTCCAAGTGTTGAATTTTTTATTGGATGAGTTAAAGATTGAAAATTTTGAATATTGGAATGGTGGAACAAAGAATGTTAATTTGTTCTTGTTTGCACAACCTCTAAGCAAGTTAGAAATTAATCTGGAGGATGATCTTACTGGTTTTAAGAGTTTATTCATTTTTTTGATGAAACGTATTGTTCAAGACTAATATTAGTCATAAATAGATTGGACACTGGCCAATCAAAACATCTACAAGGAGAATTACATAATCTCTTTAAAAATATGAAAGTAACACGCACAAAATAGTATGAGACACTACAAAATGTACTCCCCCTGGTGGGCTCGAACCACCGACCTGCAGATTAACAGTCTGACGCTCTACCGACTGAGCTAAGGGGGATTACATAAAATAAAAAAGAGTTTTGATAAACACTACGAAGTTAAAGGCATAGATCCCTACATGGAGGTATAGAAATAAATTACAGAACTTTTTATTAAAATTTCAATTATTTATTTTGAAAAAGAAATGTTAATTACATGGTTGAAGTACTAGTAGCAGGCTTCAATCCTTCACCAACATATCTAATGGCATGCTTATTTTGTGAAATGGCAATACGAACAGTCTCCTTATTGATAAATCTTTCAGCAAGTCTTCTCAATACAAGTCCATTTGTAGAGACAGCAACCTTTACCATATCTTCACTGATACGGTTGGCATGTCTGATGAGGAATGGATTCTTCTTGATAATAGGGGTCATGAATTCAATGTCAGATCTGAGGAATCTTGAAGCATAACGAATGGAATTCACACATTGATTAGTGGCAACGGCAACGAGTTCCTTATCAAAGGTATATTCATTTGGAAGATAGTCCAACAATCTACCATTCTTCTTGAGAGCTAATTCGCACAATTCTCGGTTAATCTTGTTAGATTTCAAGAATTGAATGCAATTTCCATATCTCTTGACAGACTCTCTAACAAATTCATCATCATTTCTCAAAGATTCGTCCAAAAATTCGAATGATTTACCATTACTTGTCTTGAGTGAAATCTTGGCAATTTCCAAATCCTTCTTCAATTCTGATGGAGCAAACTTGACAGCCAATCCACAATTTTTTACAGCATCCAAAACAATTTGCTTGGTGTTTTGCAAATCAGCAGAGGCAAACTTTAAGGCACGACCATTTACTGAAACTGCCTTTTGAACAATTTCGTAATCACTTCTGAATGGAATTGCCAAATATTCCAAGGCAAGACCATTAATGGCAATTGCTAATAGTGCAAATTCTCTGTCTTGTTTGAGGGTTTCACTGGCATGTTTGAGGGATTTTCTATTCTTCTTGAAACAATCGAGGACAAACTTGGAATCACTCTTCAAATCATCAGAGGCGAGTTTGAGGATAGTAGCTCTGTGATTGATTGCTTCCTTGATGTGAGAGGTGTCGAAGGATTGGTCAACCTTTTTTGGATTCTTACGAGCAAGTGAGAGTTTGACATCTGAATCTTGTTGTAATTCCTTAGAAAGATAAACGAATGATTTTCCACTTTGATTGAGAGCTACCAAAGCAACTTGTTTGTTATTTCTCATATCTTCAGATGCAAATCTAATGGCAGATCCATTTTGCTTGACAGCTGCCAAAACAACACTCAAATTATTCTTCAAATCATTGGAAGCATAATCCAACAACAAACCATCCTTCTTGACAACTTTCAAGGTAACTTGTTCATTGTTTTGCATTTCCTTAGAAATGAATTTGTAAGCGTCCTTACTGCTCTCAATAGCTCTCTCAACAATTTCCAAATCTTCCTTAAGATGTTCATTGAGATATTTGATAGAGTCTCCATTATTGGCAACTGCCTTCAATGCAAATTCTCTTTCATTTCTCAAATCGAGAGGTAAATATTGAAGAATTTCAACACCCTTATGATTCAAAGCAGCGTTAGCAATTTCCTTATCAATAATAGTACTACAGGCATATCTGATAGCAGTAGAGTCACATTCAACAGCATATTTTGTGAATTCCTTATCTTCCCACAAATCAATTGAGACATATTTCAAACTGTCATAGCTTTCCTTGACAGCAACTCTGGCATATTCCTTGTAATCCTTGGAATTTTCGTCCAAATATTTGAGTGAAGCTCCTTCATAGTACAAGGAAGCAAGAACAACATCTCTGTCACTTAACAAACTCTCGTGAACGTATCTGATGGCGCTTCTGTCAGTTTTCATAGCTGCCAATGCAATTTCCTTATCCTTGAGAATTTCCTCATCAAATACATATTGTAAACTGGAGCCATATTCTTGAATAGCTGTCATGACAATTTCTCTATCTTTCTTAATATTTTCTGGAAGATATTCCAAAAGACATCCTTCAATTCTTACTAATTTCAGTAAAGCTTGTTTGTCATGTCTCAATGGATGATCAGGAAGTTTGGCCAAAACCAAAGGTTGCTTTACAAGAGCTTCACTAATAAATTCAGGATCATTTCTGAATTTTTCTGGAACATACTTGATATTATCTCTATTTTCAATCACAGCTCTGAGGCAGAGTTCTCTATCATTCATAATATCATCGTGACTGATAAAGTATTCTAAACCACATGAAGGCAAGGCAATCTTGACAAGTTTTGGATCATTTCTCAATTCGAAAGGAATATAATTAATGGAATACTTGCTGGACTGAATGGCAGTCATGTAAACATCTCTTTGTAAGGCAAGATGAAGTGGTGCATACTTGATTAAATCTCCACTCTTTCTAATGGCAGTCATGAGAATTTCCTTATCATTCAATAATTCAACTGGAAGATATTCGTAGACGTTTGGTTCCTTTTCAATAATTCTCATAACAAATTCTCTATCTCTTTGGAGTTCAGCACTGGCATATCTGAATGCTGTATAATAATTCTCCACAGCTGTTGTGACAATATATCGATCATTGGTGAATTTGGAACCAGCAAAGAGAAGTGCACCTCCACTGCATCTCACAGCTTCCAATACAATTTCATAATCTTCTCTCAATTCAAGAGCAGCAAATGCAAGAGCATCACCATTTTCTTGAACTGCAATTTTGACAATTTCTCTGTCAGCTTTGAGTTCTTCACTGGCATATTCTAAACATCTTCCATCAAGATATACTGCAAACTTTACAAAATCTCTATTAGAAAGAAATTCTGGATCAACAATGGCATCAATAGATCTTTCCTTGACAGCTGTCATTACAACTTGAAGATTGCTTGCAAATTCCTTGCAGGCATGTTCAAAAACGTAACTGCTGTCTCTAACACAAATCTTGACAAGCTCTGCATCTGAAAGATGAGTTTCATCATCAATATATCTCAAAATAGATCCATCCATTTTCAATGCCTTCTTAACAATTTCTCTATCAGATTGCAACTCTGATGGGAAGTAACGAATGTAACTGCACTTTAAGGCATTCATGTAAATCTCAGCGTCATTCTTGAAATGTTCACACTCCTGTAAGACACTTCCATTGTTCTTGATGAGTCTCTTGATGAAATCTCTGTCACTCAATAATTCCTCTGAGAGAATCTTTGGTTCAACGGCAATTCCATGATCGAGTAATTTGGTCATGAATTCTCTGTCTTCTCCTAATTTTGTATCAATATCGTTGAATCCATACTGATTGGTAAGGAGTGAGAGTAGAGCAATTTCTCTATCTCCCTTAAACTTTGGCAAATCTTCAATGTTTCCACCATTAAATTGACAAACTGTTTTGGCAAATTCTCTGTCGCTTCTGAGTCTTTCAGAAGCAAATTTGAGAGAATTATAATTGCCCTTACCTGACCAGAGAACAATCTTTTCATCATCTTTTTGTTGCTTGGTAACATATTCAAGAACTCTTCCATCATTTTCCAATGCAACCATTACAAGAGAAATGTCTTTTTTCAATTCATCACTGGCATGAGCAAATGCTCTACCATCCATTCTAATTGCAGTTGAGACAATTTCTCTATCATTCTTGAGTTCTTTAGAGGTATACTCCAAAGCATCTCCTGATTTCATTACTGCTCTCAACACGACCCCTCTGTCATTCTTGAGGTCACTCGAAGCATACTCCAATGCTGAGCCATTTTCAGAGACTGCCATCAGGACAATTTCCTTATCGTTTTTGAGCTCAGCAGAGGCAAATTCAAGTTCTCTACCGTTATTCTTGACCAATTCCATAACAATCTCTCTGTCATTCTTCATTTCATCATTCAAATATTCCAGGATAGAGCCCCATCTTGAGAAGCTAGATTTGAGTTTGATTATTTGCAAACATAAATCTCTATCATTCTTGATATTATCTGAAACATATTGTAAAGCATTAGTGTTCGAAGAGAGGGCAAGCTTTACAATTTCAAAATCATCTTTCAATTCATCAGAAGCATAAGCAAGAGCTGAACCATCTTGTCTGACAGCTTGTTTGACAATCTCTCTGTCAGATTTAACTTCTTCTGGGGCAAATTCCAAAGCAGAACCACGAACCTTGATAGCAGCCTTAACAATTTCAATATTTTCTTTGATTTCATCAGAGGCATACTCTAAAACTGAGCCATTCTTTCTGAGTGCCTTCTTGACAATTTCAATATTATTCTTGATATCATCTGAGAGATAGCTGAGAGCTCTTGGATCTTCTTCGAGGGCAATTAATGCAATTTCCTCATCATTCTTCAAATTATCTGAAGCATATTCAACAATACGACCATTCTTTCTAACAGCCATTTTGACAATTTCTCTATCATCTTTCAAGGAATCATCAACGTATTCCAATACATCTGCATTAATCTTGATAGCTTGTTTCACAAACTCTCTATCTTGTTTCAATTCATCAGAAACATATCCACATGCTCTGGCATTACTAGAAATGGCAGCAAGGGCAATTTCCTGATCAGATTTAAACTCATCCACAACATATTCCATCACATATCCATCTGATTTGACAGCTTTCAACACCAAATCTCTATCACTTTGCAATTCTTCTGGTATTTCCCTTAAATCACTTCCATTTACCAGTAAAACAGCTTCAACCACTTCACGATCCTGTTTCAATTCATCAGATAAATCGCTCACTAATGAACCGAAAAAGAATGAACATCCTTCTTCCTTTACACCTTTCAAAACCTTCAAACAAAGATCCTTTTCAGTTCTGAACTTTGGATGAGCATGTGAAAAAACAGTTCCATTATATGACTTGGCAATTGCACTAATCACAATATCAATGTCAGCTTTCAATTCTTCTGGACAAAATTCAAGTGCAGAGCCACTCTTATCCAAAGCTATGAGTGCCAATTCTTTATCTTCTCTCAATTCTTCTGATGCAAATTGGAAAGCATCTCCATCATTCTGAACTGCAATTTTCACAATTTCATAATCAGCTTTCAATTCATCAGATAAATATTCCAAATTAGAACCAGCATCTTCAAGAACAATTAGTGCAATTTCTCTGTCGTTTTTCAATTCGTCTGATGCATATTTGATGGATGATTTATCTTCTTTAATGGCCAATAGAACTAATTCTTTATCATTTCGTAAAGAATCGGATGCATTTTCTAATAAATTGCCTCGTTTAGGGAGAGCTTTCAAAAACACTAGTTTACAATCATTGTCTGGGAATGGATTTTCTGTTAAAAAATCGTCAACGGCAAAGTAATCATCATCAATTCGTCCAAAAGCTTCGAATAATTGTTCCAAATGTTCGAAAGCTTGTTTCTGACGATTAACAACTTGATTACGTAAATAGATTCGATGATTTAACAGAATGGAATATGCAGAATTATTGTTGCCATCACATGAATGATCATAGCTTGATCCTCCATTAGCGTTCAATGTGACAATTCTAGCATCTTCAAAGTTTGACATTTTTTATGTGTTTGAATTTTGACGTTTTCCTTTATCACATTTAAAGCAACCAAGAATAGATTTGGTTTGATGTTAAAAAACTTTGAGTCGACGTTCACTGACTTGGTTCATTATTGTCGCCCTTACAAGTTATGAAAAGTTCGCAAATTGATTGCAAGTTGAACGAATAAGATCTAATAATGTTAAAAAGTCACAGTTTTTTACAACAATGTTCAGCTTTTGGTAACCAAAAAACTAAAAACATTTACCGACAATGGGGCTCGAACCCACGACCCCAGGATTAGAAGTCCTGTGCTCTATCCAACTGAGCTATGACGGCATCACATAGAAATGGGTCAAAGGATTAAATTCTTACTATTCACCTCAGACCACAAAGTAGGTATACCGTAGGTACCCACACTTTAATATTCTTTGAAATTTTATGGTGCATATTTATCTTGAAACATTGAAACAGAGCTATCATTGCAATTTGATTCCAGAAATGTTTAAGGTGTTACTCATGATAATGTGCTTAAATTTTGGTACGATTGTAGCCCCTTACAATAAATCTTCTATTTTTAAAGGTCATGACATAAGGGTGAACTTTGCGCCATAAAACAAGATAAAACACGCCAAGATCTTGCTGAGACAAAATTTCAACAACAAAAAAACAAATTAATTGATAATAATCATAATTATAATAATAATAATTAGAAAATGATTAATAATAACACTGCCAACACTAATGCTTCCGAACCAATTGGAATTAAATTAAATTATATAATGAAGAAGCATGATGATGATCAAATTATTGAACAAAGTTTGCCTTCCTTCTCTCCATTGGAAAATCTTCAAGATTTGAAAGATTATATTGAAAAGCAATTTAATTCAAATTTGATGAATGATGAAGAACCAAAATCCGTCAAGATTGTTAAAGTTAAGGATTTCAAGGCAAAATCTGGTAAAAAGTTTAGAGCCCTTCATACTGATGAAGATTGGACCAATTCTATTAATTCCATTCTTCAACATCGTCTTGATTCCTCTACCACAACTTCTGTTGAACCATTCATTGTTGATTTCAAGATTAGAATGAAAAAATCCAAGAAGGATAAAGTTTCTAATGATAAGAGTGAAAGAAAAGCTGAAAGAGAGCTCAAGAAACAAGAACGTCAAGAAAAACGTCGTTTCCAAAATGAAGAATCTCAAAAGATTCATGCTGATGATGTAATTCTTGTAGATGAAAGTACTGGAATTGCATCCAAGATGAATCCAGAAATTAGTAGAATTATCATTGATGGTAATAATCTCTTCTTCCAAACCAGTACTTTGAGAGGTTTAATTCTAAAGAGTAAGAAGAAACACCAAGTTGAAGAATTACTAGTTCATATGGCTAAAAAGTATTCTCAATTCTCTGAAACAACTTTCAATCAAAAATTGAATTTAATGCATGTTGTTTTCGATGCTTCAAGCAATCAAGTTAATGGTACTTCCAATGATGGAACATTTGTTGTTTCATCTGCCAAGAAGGAAGGTTTCACCATTGCTGATGATATGCTTGTTGAATTAGCAAATAGACAAAATATTGCTGGCACTTTGGATTCTTGTCTATTTGTTACATCTGATAGAGGATTGAGAGAACGTTTGAAGTCCATTGGAGCTAAATGTATCAAGTCTGGAAGATGGATGGCATTTGCTCATGCTCATCTTTGTCCAAATGCATCCACTACTTCAATTGATGACTGGACTGCTCAATTATTGAGTGAAGTTACTAATGAAAGTAACTAAATTGAGATTTTAATATTAAGATGGCACAAAGATTATCCTTAATATTCATTAATTAATAAATATTGTATTGATTACAACCCTCTAAATTGTTATCAAAAGAATCCTTTCATGGCAGTAAAAGCAACAAGAGTTTCTGTTCAAATCCTAGAATTAACAGGAAGGGTGAAGGTAAACTGACAAAACTGTTCCTTTAACAACCCAACAATTTATTTGTTTTTATCAATCTCCACTGTTGAGTTTACAAACAAAAAACCGTGTCTTTGTTTGGGCACTCTTGTTTTGCAACTCAAGAATTCCCAAGTCTGAGACGAAAAAAAATACCTCCATTCACTCATGACCAAATTGCTTGAATGAAAATATCTACCTGCCTTTCAAAGAAAGGCAGCTGCAAATCAAATGTTGTTGCTCTGAATTCAACACAGTCGAAAGAGCATGTAAGCCAACAATATCAGAACTATTGTAAAGATATACACCGCCTCATACAACATGTCATCTTGGTTGTATACAACAGACAACGCATACTCCATCCCTTTTCTTTTTACAACCAATCTTCCTCGAATGGTAAAGAACATTCCTGATCAACATTCCTCTTCTTGATTTTAACTCCATGATTAGAAACACTAGTTTTGTTAACATGATCTTCATCAACTAATCATATCCCAGCACATGCCACATGTGAGAGTTATTATAACAACAAGTTAAGTTACAACATCCATATACATGCAACAGATAAATGGCGGAATGTCCAAAAATGGATAAAAAAGAAGGTTTCTCTCTAAAGGCAAACACAAAAAAGCTAAAGACATGCTGATGGATTGAAATGTTTTGGGAGGACGCAACGTTTTCACACAATAATAGTAGTAGTACTCTGTGGTGATGAGGTGATTATCACAATAATAAGGAGGTGGACAGATGCGTTCCACTAGTATTTTCACAACACAAAAAAACACAAACAACAACAATGCAAACAGTACAACCAACAACAATCACCAATATTTCAGAACGTGAAGACATGATGGTGGATGCATACATATCACAACACCATAACACACATCTGCCACTTGCCAATACAAATTATTCACAAACTAGAATAATTGTTAACATGAATATTCATCCAATATCCATGCATGCATTCGATTCAACAACATGTCCAGACCCTTTCAAAGATACTCTTGAATACTATTGCAAAATTGGAATCTTCATCAATAACTTGCCACAATTTCACAATGAGCAAACATTCTTTGTTTTCTACATTCAAAACAAGCAAACCCTCGAATACAAGGAATGGATAAGATTTGAAGGAGCTGATGGTAATTATAAGGATATTTGCTTTGGATCACTCTTCTTGAATTATATGGAAGCTATGAATTTACTCAATTCTACATGTAGAATGGTAATGATACATGGATCACATCAGAGATCACGTGAACAGGCAGTAGAATTGCGCACTACACTTGCTTATAAGGGTTAATGACATGCTGTTATTGAAAATAATAATTAGTAATGATATTGATCAAGCCTCAATATTGAGTTTTAGAAAGCTAATGAGAAATGATCTCATAGTTCCAATTTTTGCAGAGTTTTAAATTAAAAATAATAAAAATATATTTAAATAAAATAATAATAATATAATAATTAAATTAATAGCAATAAGTGGCTCGGATAATTTTTTTAAAGTATTTGTTTGTTATTTTCATCATGATGAAATGTTTCCCGCCATCTTCCTTAAAAAAATGAAATGATTCGGAAGCCTTGAACTTCTTAATACTCTAACTCAAAAATTGCAAGACTTTTTCGAGAGATCAACGTTGATTCACCATCAAGCTATTTGTAATCTGAACTGTAGTAGGAGGAGAATGGAACAATGATGAACAAGAAAATACAAAAGTGGAAAGTAAAATTATTTAAAATCAATTGGTGAACCAACACGTTCAACAAAACCAGATGTTGCATCAACACCAAAGGCATCATTCATATAATTAATAATTGAATAATAATATTACAATAATTGAATGGATTCACATGTGAAGAACTGAAAATTGTTGCTATTGTGTACTGGTATTTGGAACATTATTGTCTTGTGTCAGCCATTGTTCTTTAAGGATCTCATCAATCAACAAGTGATCCTGTCCGTTAAAAAATATTTTATTGGAAAGTAGAAAAAAATACGAAACCGTTAAATTAAAACCAAGTGAAACTCGCTTGATCACAATGCCTAGTATTCCCAAGTTGAGTCTTGGTCATCAAAGACAAGCTTCTGTTGACACAACCCATTCTAACAATTCTTCAGACGAAACAACTTCTAATTCTTCTTCAACTCTTAGCAATAATTTTCTGAGTGGAACTATTTCATCCGACAATTTAATTTCACAATTCATTGAACCGTTGAGTAATGCAAGAAAATCTAACGCCAAAATTCATTGGAAGTGTGTCCATGTGATTTCACATCCTGATTTTGAAAGAAAGTAAGTGTGATGATCAAATTTAAAATATTAACTTTAACAAGTGCTTTAGATGATGATTCCTCCTATCATACTACCTTACAGCTTATTCCATTCAGCAGTATGGATGTTGCCACACAAAAATCTAGATTTGCCATTATTCACTCCAGTAAGAAGGGTGTTTCAGTGTTGGAATTAATTAATGAACTTACTCAATCAACAGATAATAAGATTGGAAATCAATGGATTGTAAAGTATCACACAAAATTAGAGTCCAATGGTTTCGGATCAAGTGCAGTATTAACAAAACAAACTACAGAAAAGAAGGAAAAGATTGTTTTCTTTGGTGGTTACTTCCATGAAAATCAAGAGAGTAATGACAAGTCTTCCTTGTTCCAATCTCAACAAAGATACTCTCTTGAATCCATTAGTCACAATAGAACCCTAACCAGTAGAATGAAAAAGCTATTCAAATCCTCGAAAGGAGATGTATCTGCTTGTCCTCACCCATCTAACATGTTTTTCAAATACAGATTTGATAAGTATGAGTTTGGTTTTTCGAAATCTGGGGAAGAAAATTCAGGATCTGAAAAAACACTATCCAGAAAGCCATCATTCATGACTGGTACAACCAATTACTGGCCTGCAACTCATGCTAACCACAAAATTTTGAGTGTTGGAAAAGAAATTTATGTATTTGGAGGACATTACATGAAGTGGAATGAACTTACTGAAGATAATCAAAACGATGCAGAGAAGAGGACATCTTTTGTCTATATTTTCGATACAAAGAGAAAGAAGTTTGAACAGCCAAAGTTAGTAAGCTTTACACTTCCAAAACCTCAATCATCAGTTAGTACTACTGTCAGCACTGATTCACTTGATAGTGCTTCAACACCAACAGCAGAAACACATAAGGATATTCAACTTCCAATTGAAAATGAAGTTGATTCAAAGCAAAAGGAAAGAAGAAATTTCTTACTTGATAGTATTAAATCTTTCAGTAGAGAAAGAAAGAACTCATTCCATGATGGAGATAAAATGATGACAGACCTTCGTGATATTGCTCCAATGAATAGATTTGGTCACAATGTTGTAAATGTAAACGGTGTAGCATATATTTATGGTGGTAAATTAAGAAAGCAATACAATAGTGGTAATCCAGACCAAGTCAATCCTCATTCAGATGATTCTGTTTACAGCTTTAATTTCAGAACTGGTCAATTCTCTAGGTTAAGAATTAAAAGCCATGACAAGCCACATCCTAGAATGTTCCATGCCATGGTTGAAATTCCAGAAAACAATTGTTTCCTTATGATGGGTGGTCAAAATGTAACAGAGCAAGTTCTTGAAGATGAAACACTAAGTATGATGATGGAAGAAGTTAAAATGAAAAAGGGGACTGAAACAGAGGCAACAAACTTCTTGGATGATTGTTATGTTTTCGATATTCTGAGATCAGAATGGTCAAAAGTCAAACAAAGTGGTCACTTGCCACTCAATGCATCAAACTTTGGATTTGAACATGAAGCAACTAGAGTACCTGTTGCCCTAGCTAGAACTAAGGAAGGAGATTTCTTGTGTGTTGTAAAGAATGGTCTTGGATCATTGGAAGTCTATTTAGGACAATCTAATTTTTAAATTAAATTTTATTTACATTAAATCCTTAAGAAATGATTAATTTGGATCAGAGTTCTATTTAAAGAATTGATTAATTAATCAGTGGAATAGATGGTAGTGAGGCAAACATTTTATTGGATAGGCTTCCTCTCAAGCTTATTTTACATTAAATTGGATTGTTTCAATAATTCTTCTCTGCTGTTACTGGAAGTGGAATATTCTTCAAACTCTTGTGTATAGAAAAATCTAGAGAAAGTATCTGATAGATTGATTAATATTTGATCTGTAAGGGATTTGATATTATCAACAACCATATCAGATAAATTTGCAGGAAGGGAGTTCTTTTTTGTTTTGGAAACTGATTGCTTCTCGTCTACTAATTCGAGATTATTTGCATTTTTCAACTTTGCCACCATTGAGGCAAAAGATTTTCTGCAATCAGATGGAATATTCACTTCCCTAATAGAACCAGATTTCACATAATCATCATAAATATTGTTAATAAACTCTATTATTTCTGCCAGTCCCTTTTCGATAATATTGGAGTTTTTGGTTAAATGTAAATAGAGTTGAAGATTTTCAAGTGAAAACTCTTTTCTGCAGAAACTATCAAATATCTTTAGGAATATTGGATTTTCTAGGTATTGATTGATTTCTACCTTCTCTTGTTCATTCTTTTCACCATTCCACACTTTCATTCTTTGGGCTAACAATACAAGAAGGGAATAACCTCCATACACTAGCATGTATGTAACAATATGTAATACCTCGAAAATGATTGAAACCGAGTCATAGGTCACTACAGTTCTTACTATAGCCAATGGTGCTAATTTTGTTTCGGTATAACCTGTTAGTAACAGCCTATAGTTAAGACTAGCCATTCCCAAAGCTTGTACAATGACAAGGAAAATAAATGAAATAACAAACAAAATCATTTCAGCTCTGAAGAACAGTGGAGAATCAGCCTCTACAAACCAAGAAAAGAGGAAATTGAAAACCTTACCCAAAATATTTTGAGCTTTCATCTTTTGAGATTCTTTAGATCTGTTGGTTGTTTCATTCTTGTTCAAATTTCTCTGATACCATGTCATTATCAAATCTACTGAAAATATACAACAAACAGCAAAACCAATAAATAGAATTGCAACAGTATAAGAAATGGAAACTATTTGGGTGTATTCAGGGCCAGTAATCACGTTTGTTCTAACTAAAATAACCCACAAAGTCCAATATGCTAAATTGATAAATGCAAAAGTAATCAACATAATGCTGTAGAATTTTGCAGATATCAGATGCTTGATAAAGTGAAGAAATCTACTTGCAGTCACCTTATCGTTCATTAAGGATAATTCATTATAGAAATATTTTAAAAATTCAAATCTCATAACCTGATACAAGTATGTCATGATTGCACACAGGGTTATGGTGTTTACAATAATTGTAATAATATTTGCCAATATAGAGGAAGCTAGATAACTATTGGCATCGTTTGATTGGGTAGAGGAAATCAAAACACTTCGTTGAACAATGAGTAGAAGAGAGCTTTGGGTAATCAAAGCTGCCATTCCCAAGAAAGGGGTTGTGAATCTGCTCTTTACAGGTTGTTTGTTAGCATTCAAAGCTAATCCTATCAAGACTGCAACAGCACAAATCAAGTAAACTGAACCTAGGGCAATCTGAGTACCATGAACACCAATAAATTGATCGACATATGGTTCAAATGTAATACCCACAGGAACTTGCTCTATAAAAGCAGAAAATAAAGTGGTATGAGTACAAGAGCAAACAATTTCACCAGTTGCCGAGTTTAAGGATTTCAAAGTGCAACCGTCAGTATCCCATTTGGACATGGTTTCATTCCAATATTTACAAATGATTCTACTATTATTGCTAGAGCTAATGGGGGTGTTTGAATTGAATGAAATTGAAAAAGGTTTCACAAGGCTCTTCAAATTCATGCTGTTGCCGTTCCTATGCATTGTGAAATCCTTAGCATTGGCAGCGAAGGTGGCATTAGTCTCTGGATACACTATTCCATTAAAGGATACTACAGATAAACCAACTTCAGTGGAGAAGGAGGAGTATTGTGCAAGAATGGAATCAGCTTCAAATAAAATTGAGTCAAACCGATTTGTTACCGTTGAAGTTGAAGCACTGTCTTTCGAAAAACTTGAGTATGTAATATTAATATTGGCTGAAGTTATAATTGTTGAAGGCAAGAGTGTATCACTTGAAGTAAGGAGGGTTGGTATTGAGGAAATTACTAAAAGTGAAGACAATTTGGTCGCTAAACGACTATCCAATCCCTTTTGAACTAAATTGGATGATGTTGAAAGAATCGTTTTCGTATCTTCATCTGAGATCTTGGAAGACACAAATCCCTGTTGGCTCTTTTGAGTTTTGTAAGAATTTACAGAATTTCCAAGGTAAGAATCCAGGTTTTGTATAATTAAATTGGACACAGAGGTAGTGAGATTTTTTTCAGACATAGAATACAGTGATCCAAGTCCAACTGTTGGATTTTCCGCTGAAATAGTGAAATTCTGCATAGCCATTAACAGTAATTGGTCATATTCATCCGATGATCCAGTGAATGATGAGTCATATGGAACCACTTTAGCAATTCTTGAATCGGTCTTCATTAGAGACATTGCCTCACTTGGGGTGCTGTAGAATCTAAGCATTGTCACAACTGATTGAACTAAAACTGACTGTACATTAGATAAGTTATCCTTTGCAAAGACCACCAAGTCTGTTGGCTTGTTTTGTTCCATATTTTTTGTGAAAGGCAAATAAGTCAGTAATTGTTGGCCCATAGGTACAAATTCAGTTAATCGTAGAGTCTGGTTGTTGTAAACAATACCTATTGCAAAAGAAAGCGGGGATTGATCTGCAGAGAAAATTTTCCAGTCGCTTTCGTTTTCCTGAATACTAAACAAGGTATACAGACCAACTCCTCTGTTAGGAGATATATTTAGATTTGAATTTGATGACTTTCTAATTATTGAGCTGGCTACAGGAATGGTGTGATTAATCACCATAGTGTTTTGGATAGCACCAGTAATTGTAAAGGAAAGGGTAGCAAAATTAGTAGAACCTTCAAGTTTTACCAATCCTTTGACATTAACAAAGGGGTTGAGACTAATACTGGTGAAATTAGAGTTTTTGTTTGCTGTTCCTCTTGTAGTAATTTGATCAGAGCTTGAATATATTCTTTCCTCATACACAAGCTTCCATGAAATAGAGATGATAGTTGAACAGCTATTACATTCGTTTTGGTTAATTAATGCCAAAAATCTTTTTGTGTCAATGTTGAATCCTGTCAGGACACTGTCAATCATTTGATTTTGTGATAGGGATATAGCTTTGATTATATCAGTAACATTGGAGGTGCTATCAAAACTTGAATTATTTGCATAAGTTGAATTGAATGTGCTATTATCTACCCCAATTGGTGGTATTACAGTAACTGTAAAATTAACAGAATTAGAGGTTCTAATTATTGCTCCTTCTTGTATATGATTCACCCTAACAGTTACAATGAAGGTTCCAAGGCTTGAAGCATTAAATAACAATGAACTGAAATTATTATCAATTGGCATTGCACATTTTTCGCAATTCCATATAAAATTAATCCCATTAGTAATAGTTTCTGAAACATTAATCTGTAGAACTTGAGATTTTCCTATCTCAACATCATAATTTGAATTAATTGCATTGATAAGAAAAGATGAATTGAATTGGCATTGATTTCCCACGAATCCTACTCTACAACTGCATGTATCAGTTTTTGCGCAGTTGCCTCTTCCACTGCAAACAGATGAGTCGTTTGATAATTTTCCATAACAATAACTTATCAGACATTGTGGATCTGAGCTATTTGTATCACAATTCATTAAATTGAGTCTTCCTATCTGTAGGGTATTCGTATCTGTGAAATAGAGAGTTCCGTTTGAATGGACATATAATCCAACAGGTTTGCTAACAGAGATTCCATATTTAGATTCTGCCAATATCGTTCTTATTGTATTCTTCTCTATATTAAATACTTTGATTTTTCCTGAATCAGTATCAGCAATATATAGCATTTTACCATCTGGACTCAAAGCTATCCCTTGAGGATTATTCAAGTTGTGACTAAGAGGATCCAAAGCATCATTTTCAGAAGTGAAAGGGTTTTCTCCTGACCCCACAACAGTTTCCAATAATTTGCTAGAAACGTTATATCTCTTGATCAAGTTTGTTTCACTATCACAAATGTAGAGGATATCACTTGAAGACATTGCCAGAGAAGTTGGTTTTTGTAGGCCTCCTTGTTGTATCCCTAAATCAATCTCAATCTCATTTACAAATCCATCCGTGCCAACTCTAAATATCTTGTCATTGCTGGTAACATAAAGAATTGAGGAATAGAGAGCCAATCCCTTTGGTTCAATAAGATTAATATGCGCCTTATCATAAGGTGGCGCATATTCAGCCGACCTGTTTCCACTTCCAACATAGTTTTGCAATATCCCTGATGATAGTACTAGTTTTTTGATGAAATCATTATTAGTGTCAGTAAATAGTACAGTATCCGAATCCATAAAAACAACAGAAGATGGTGAATTTAGAGGAGAAGTAGGACCAAAAGCAGAACCACCAAGGTCAATAGTAGCATTACCTGAATAACCTGCTCCAGCCAAAACATATGCTGGTGCACCATTATCTGAGAAAAACAACAATCTATGACTTCCACTATCAACAACAATAATTGTGTTAGCATCCTTAACTAAAACCGAAGTTGGAGACTTTAAAAGTGAAGTATCCACTGGAAACAAATCCGCCGATGTTACAACAGTAGTATCAATAATTGTTGTATTGACATCGATAAGTTCTGGAGGAAGAGGAATTGGTGTTGGTGAGGGTCCAGGAGCCGGCGCAAAATCAGCAACGATAACTGATGTCAGAACAAGCACAAGAACCAAAAGAAATAGAGGTGTGTATCTTGACATGCTTTTTTTTCTAATATGATTGTTGACACGATTAATTGACCTGCCGAAATCACATGAGTTCTGCAGTGCAGAAATTTTTAGTTACTTGGCGAATTTGCTTTACCTTCCAAACTAAATATGATTGTAATCATATCTTTTTACGTAACATCCTGTCCGTTGTATTTAATTTTTTGATGAACCACCTTAAACCTCACAGTGATCAGACGTTTTAATTTCCGAAAATAAATTCATGATGAAAAATAAGGTACGATGCTTGTTATTAATGTTTTTGCATTTTTTTTAAGGTTTCCAGAAAATCTTTTACAATAAAATACAAAACTCTCTGAGATCTCCTTAACAATGAGTTTGAGATTCAACAAAAACCCCATTCCTTTTCAGATTCAAATTGACAATTATCCTCGATCTACAGTTTACAGTAAATCGTATAAAAGGAGTTGAACATTTGAGATTGAATCACACCCTTGATCTATATGACTTTAATGAATAAAATAAAGTTTAGTACTTGTTACAAATAACATTCCAAGGCAAAGAGAAGGAAACCGTACTGGAGTCCATGTATTATATACTATCTATGTCTCAATTTGTGACTAATCTCCATGGGTTATAAAATGGTATTGTTTAGTATATGGACTATACAATCAAGTTCATTAGATAAGCGACCTCACCCCAAGTACATATTTGTATAAGATGAATTGTATAAAAAAAGCTAATTGAGACAAATGATACAAGGATCCTTACCACACATCTCTATTAATTGAAATAGATAGAAGGAAGCCATTCTTGGAGTTTATTAAATATGAAAGAGGATTCTCCCATACTATACTACTGTATGATTTGAAAGAATCCTCTAAAACAATAATAAGGCACTTTTATGTACACAAAATGCATTTTCCACATTTTTAGTTTATTTATTTTAATTACATTGACGAGATTTAATGAATACAGATCAACAGGATTTACTTCATCACTTAAGATACAATTATTACACCTCATTCATTCTTAATATAATTGTTCACCACTCATCATTGCAAGTCGACACAAAATCATATCATCCAATTATATTAATTGTAACTAAGATCCACTTACTCTTTCAAACCTTCTCTTCATCACTCACCAATATCCTGCCATCACGGATTTCCATTGTTTTTCGTTTTATTGTCGCTACGTCTCATCATGAACAAAAATGGATTTTTTATGGCAATGCATCTTGTTAAAGTCACTATAAGAAAAGAGCACGGGATTCTCAACAGCTAGAACCTCCGTACTGTTAGTTAAGTCTTATGACAACGTTTTATTATTTGAAAAGGTTTAAAAGGTACAAAATGCAATGATTCTCAGGACATATCAAAAAAAAACAAATCAATACAATCTGTTTCTCTAATATCTTTAAAAGAATAACAATGAAGCAAATTAACGAACTAGTACAGCTGAGTCATGCCGCTGCTTCTGATTCTCAATCAGAATCAAATTCATCATCATGGATACAACCAGGATTAAAAGGCAATCAACTTTCTATTCCTTCAAGTTTAGTTGCCCCAAAACGTCAAAGACGTTCCACAGACCATTCCAAAGTTATCGTAAAGAATTATAAGAATACTAGTAGTGATAATGGAGCCATTCTTACTCACTTTAAATCACTTGCCTACAAACCACAAAAGCGTTTGAGAAAGAAGAAGAAGGCTGACCCAAAGTTAGTCGACTTTTTATGGCGTCAAATTGATTCTGCTGATATTCATGCTGTTTCTGTCTTTGGTGACTGTCAACAATCAAGTGGTTGGTGTTGTGCAACAAACAAATATCATGCTGGTCATCATCATTTTGCTTGTGTGAATCATAAAACAACCAAAGCAAAGAAAGCACAAGACTATATGAATCCTTCCTCTTCCACAAGTACAAGCAGTGATGAAGACGGTAAAAAGATGCAGAGAACATCCATCTCTATCAGAGAATTGTTACTTTAATGCTTTGAACGATCGAGAATCCTCTCACATTTTTGGCGAATACGATATCCGATACGAGTTGAACGATGAACGAACTGACCACTACTTGAATAACAGCATTGTGCTACTTGAAACAGAGTCTAAAGTTGTTGTAATCAGCATTGCTCTCTAATTGTTGTAATTTTAAAATAAATACAAATTGAAAAACAAATAATACTCAAATAACGTATTTTTCTTTTATTCTCCAATTCAAGGATGATAACACATCATATTGTATTTTCTTTGAAAATCTTGTCTCAACACTAACATTTTCATATAAGGAATGCAAGAAGGTTGATAATAAACTAACTGCTTGCGTAAATATAATTTTCTCAATCTTCCCATTTGGAAGCTCGGGTTCCACGTCTAGCCAGAAAGACCTCACGCATCGGTACGTTGTGCCTTAATTCGCTACAAATTTGGGGATGGGTCAGATTACTTATAAGACTTGAGGAAACACTATAAATTGATGGCACAAATCAATTCATATTTGCACCAATCAAAACAAAAACAAATCTAAAATATCTTCCATTAAAGAAATTGTCCAACCATTCTATACCAAGTGTTTGATTGTTAATGAAGATGGTGTTGAAAAAGTTGCTCCATTGAAGGAGGCCCTTACTTGCTGATTCATTCGAATCTATTAACATTTCTGAAACCAAGCAAAAGGCTAAATTAATTGGACAAGTTCAATTCTTCTGGTAATAAATTCCAAATCTTGCTTGGTCTATCCAGGAAATGTTGCAAGATGGCAATAAGGTTATTGTCAGATCAATTGCCACTGGTAATCCAAAGGGTAATTTTATGGGAATTGAATGTGATGGCCCTAAGGCATTCAAGATTATGACCATTGATATTAACACAGTTGAAAATAATCAAATTGCCAAGGTTCACCATTTGGAGGAATCGATCAAACAATTGCAACAATAAGGACGTGAGCAAATAAAACTCACAATTTAAGATCTTCTTAATGTTACATATCATCGGATTTTCTTAACTCTTTCAGCAACATCTTCTATGAACAATGGTAGGTCCACTCTCTTCATATTCTTCTCTTTTGATACACATGTTATTAAAGTTCGATAAGGATGCAAATATGCAACCTCCCTTCCAAGTAAGATAATTTCTATTTGGTAAATCTTTAACGTGTATCTTCATTGTTGGTGCTAATTCACTCAATTCCTTGTGCATTCTCTCAGCAAATCCCCTAAACATAGTCGTTCCACCAGCCAAGACTATATTAGAAAAGAATTCTCTCCTCATATCCAAGTCAGATTTTCCAATAGAGTTGAAAACTATTTCAGCAACACCTGCTTCCTCCATTCCAAAAATATTTGGACTAAACAATACTTCTGTGCTTTTAAATCGTTCCTTTCCAATATTTATGATGGTCCCATCTGGTAATTCATAATCAATTAAAATGGATTCCTCGCTTAATTTAAGCTCTTCCTCATAATTCAGAGCAACGTAGCCGAACAATTCCTTAATTTCTCTTACAATTCTTTTTTCTGATGTTGTTCTAAACTCATAATTTCTTGACTTGAATAACTCCACCATATTATCCACTATAACATCTCTGGACACAAATTTCAATTCCAAAACTGAATTATGGAGAGCATGACCTTCATAAATAGGAATAGCTCTCGTACAACTCTCTCCACCATCCAGAACTACTCCAGTGGTATTTCCTGATCCGTACAAGGCCAACACACCCTGTAAAGCAACATACATTCCTCCAAAATTGAAATCTTCAAACATTATTTGAGTCATCTTTTCTCGATGACTTTTCGGAACGCCACAATTTTCACTCATTAAAATTAATTCATCTTCTCTCGATCCATTAAATTTATTAAATCCATAATTCCAAATTCTTGTCATATCATCCCAATCAGTGATGATTCCATACTCCATCGGGTATCTTGCCTGAATAATTCCTCCCTTATTGGCTGCATCCTCTCCCACATAATCACCCTTATCACCATATCCTTGCCAATTATAAATTTGTTTAGGTTTTCCTAATAGCGTCGGAAAGTCTAGAGGTAATTCAGAGTTAGAGTAGCCGAGTTTGATCTTGAAGGAACCATTATCAACAATGAGTGTTTGCATTTTTTGATCTTTTAAAATTGTTTGGAAAATTGTAAAGTGTCATCATCAACATCATCTTTCAAACATTATCAAAAAAATTGTCATTGCATTGTATTAGATGATGAGAAGTTCCCTTGCCAAGTGTTCAAATAGGCTCCATAATGCCTTGAAAAAACAATCCGTTCCAATGAATTTTCTTCTTTCCGATAAAACAATATTGCCAAATGTCATTACTCAACAATTGACAAGAGAATACAATTCAAGATCAAATATTTTGATGAATGAAAGTGCACTTCCAAAGGTTGAGAAACCATTGGCTGAAATACCATTGGAAGGAAAAACTGATTTGGAAATTAAAGATCCATCATTGATCTTTGCTCGTGTGATCAAACATTTGGAAGATAAATTCGGAAGAAAGAGATTATACTTTCCAAAGGAAATTTATTGGCTAGTTGGAGCTCCAGGAGCGTAGGTTTAATTTTAATTCATTGTTGTGACCATTCATTATCTTTAGTGGAAAAGGAACAATGTTAAAATTTATTAATTCACAACGTGGTTTGACATCCAAGCCAATTACTGTTAGTGATTTGTTGAATAGTGAGGAAATGAAAAAGATTAAAGATTCTGGAAGATTGATTAGTGATGCTCAAGTGATTGAAGCTGTTTTTACCAAATTGTTGGATCCAGAATATGAGAATGGTGTGATTGTGGATGGCTTTCCTCGTACTCCTGTTCAAGCTCAATGTATTGCCTTACTTTATGATTTAATGTTGCAATTTAGACATGAATTTCAATCAGACTCGGTTGTATCTCAAAAATTTAGAAGACCTAGCTTTAGACTTTGTGTCTTGTTTGTTGATGAAAAGATTTCAGTTGAAAGACAACTCAGTAGAGGAAGAAAAATTATTGAAATGAATAGAATTGCTACAGAAACTGGATATGGGAATCTTCAAGAAGTTAGAAGCACTGATGTTGATGATGACGCTGCCAAGCTCAGATACAAATACTTTAGAGACACCATTTATGAATCCATCAAGAGCTTGCAAGATAAATTCCCTTACAATTTCATTGATGCTTCAGGATCAGTTGAAGACACTGCTGAAAATATTACCAAGGAATTGGCCTACCAATCCTCATTAGAATTGGGTAAAACTACTTTTGATTTAATTTCATCCATTCCAACAGCTGATGAAATTACCATGCATGCCAGACAATTACTTGTTAGAAGACTTGATGGATACTCCTCTAGAAATGCTGAACTCTTCAAGAAAGTTCTCCAAGTCATCAAATCTGAATTTATACACATTCTCCAAAGACAAGCACTATCTGGAGTTGCAATTATTAGAAGTGAAAATCCTGTTTTCAAGGAAAATCCACTTGCAGTTAATATTTTAATGGACGTACTAACTGAGAGAGGATTCCAAGTCATTCTCGATTATGAAAGAAAATTAGTACCATCAAGAGTTGATCCTTTTGATCACTCAATCATTCACGAACCTGTTCGAATTTTCCACTTTGAAATTCAATTTGAAAAACCAAGAATTAGAGAATAATCTTGTATTTAATATTGTATTATAGGGCTATTTGAATAAACAGATAGGGTCTCCTTTTGCCATTCGTTGACATTAAACGATACTAATCGATTATTTCATCATGATTTTGTACTACTTAGACCCTTTTTGGTTTTTTGTAATTTTGGATGCCAGAAATTTGACGAAGTACAAAAAAATTTGATGGTGCTGGGAAACAACTAAAAATAATTTCCAGCAAAAACAATCGTGAAAAAAAATTGAATTAACATCACACCCTCTTACTCTGCCCAAAAGAAAAACTGGGCATAAATCTAGGCTTGATTGAAACTCTTTCGGAACAAGATCAAACTCTATTGTATTATTATTCACTTTACAACATATCATGAACCCATATAACAATTTTCAAACTTCATATTTTCAGTCGGATTTCCATCCTGACAATTATAATAATAGTGGTGAAAATCCTAAACGGAAACGAGATGAATACGAATCATATAAATTCATTGATGATGAAGAGCAAATATCATCAGATAGTGAAGAAGATGAAGAATTGCAATTAATGCAAGGATATCAACCTGATAGAAAACGAACAAAAAGTTCAACATCAACCATTCCCTCTACCAACCTCCACAATAACCTTTCCCTCCAATCACCACAACAACACTTTTTAAATAATAATAATAACATTCATCACCACAACAATGAGAGTGGATCTATTGTTGAAAACAATCAAGAAGATGTTATTGATGGTGATTGTATGATGGACGATGAAGAAAGTTACCTTCAACAAGAAGAACCAAGCCTTTTTGTTCCACCTAACTTGCAAAATGATCCCTACTCAATCCAACAGTTCGAATACAAGAGAAGACAAGTGTATAATCATTACCGAATAGAGAAAGAACGAAAGATGGAAGAGATAGAATTGAAACAATCTATGAAACAAGGAGAAACAAACTTTAGATTGAATCCAATACTTCGATATTTACACAATGAAAGGAAAAACAGAATAAATAGCCCGTTTGAATAATATAATTTACCCTTTAATTCAAATAGGTAACAAAGTGGGTCCAATTTGATTTTTCCCTTCCGTGAACTAGTTGTACTCCACAAATTAATAACATAATTTGTATTGTAGAAAATTAGGATCAAGTTTATAAAATCGTCTCTTGACTCGTTTATGGTCTTTCCAAAACTTCCATATGATGCTTGGTGGCACTACCCCAAATGAGGAGAGTAGAATAGACGAGGAAAGCTGGACCAGCATCAATCAACAATCTTCTACCTCTGACCCAGAGTCTCTTTGGCATTCCGTCAAAGAAGTGCTTGAAAACGTGTTGGTGGTTTGGTGAAACGTGTCTGTGGACTCTTCCCTTCAACATCTAAACAATCCATAGTAGTAAAATTATTAATATTATTCCGCAATTTGTTGTTGGAAAATTATTGTTGTTGATATTGTTGTTGTTAACAATCAGTTATTATTATTAATAGTAAAATGATGAAGTAAATATATTAATTCATATTGATATCAATTATCCAATAACACAAAGCAGAGAGAGTAAAAATTTGGTCAGATAGCGTCAGATGGGGATGTTGCGAAAAATAAGACGTACCTTTGTTGTTTTATTATTTTTTAAGGATTTTACAATAAATTCTCCAAACAGCAAACAACCAAGCAAATGCCTCTTTTGAAATAAAAATGGTTCGTATGGGAGAAAGAGCATCTCGCTTCACAATTCTTGTGATGTTTTCGAGTATGCTTGTTGCTAATTTATTTGTAATGGGAAAAGCTATTAGTGGAGAACCTATTCGTATGTAGATTTTTATGAAAATAGTAGTTTTAATTATTTTCTAAATCAATTTATTGATGACAATATATTTGTAGGTATCAAAGGCTTTGAAACAAAAGAAGAAGGAAGAAGAACACTTTCCAGATTGTATGAAATTGATAGTTATGATAAATTAAAACAAGAATTTCTTGACTCATTCAAACCATCAACAAAATCGGAAGAGGAAATTCAAAGAGAAATTGAAGTTATCAGTGAAAAGGAATCAGCAACTAAAATTAAAGAGGATGATGAAACATTCTACGTTAAAATTAAGAAATAATTTTATACAAATTGATTGGGCATGAATAACAGTGGAAGACAATTGTTACAAACCTTTATGAAAAGGAACAATTATTTTAATTATTTGTTGATAGGAGTTATTTCATTCACTGACGAAATGTTCTTATGGAAATCATCAAGTTTTTTACTCATTGGAGAAATAAAAGAGAATATTGATAGCAAATTCATTTCCGTGCTACTCTTCAAGTATTGTAAACGATATCTTCAACAATGTGTTATCATTATAATATATTAATTATTATCATCTTCCCACCTATTGATATATTATAAAACTGTGTGAGTTTTAAGATTTCAATGTAAATCCAAAATATTTGTTTTAAGGGCTTCAACACCTATGGTCATCAACTTGTTTTTGAACTTCCATAGTTTCATAGAGTTCTAGTCTATGATTGAAGAATAAGCACTTCTTGCCCACAGTTGAACTACTGGCCGTATTATGCAAACACCGAACGGAAAGGAAATCGAACGCATTAATTAAGCAGCTCAAAAAACATTCAATTTCATGTAATCATCATCCTCGCTACTCGATGCTTTATATCTTTTCACAAACAAAAAAAACATTCAAATTCATAATGACCCATCCAATGAATAATTCTCATGAAGAACATCTCCCTCATGGTGAGGAGAGGGATGAGGATGCAATTTTCACAACATTGGAGTGTGATGAAATTATCACAGCCAACCATAAAGATAAATATCACACCAATAGACTCTGTTGGAATAGAGCAATTAATGCATTTCCGAGAGTTATTACCTACTGTAAAACTGTTGAACATGTTCGTAAGTGCATTGCTTTTGCAAGAGAGCATGCATTACCAATCAGAATTAGGTCTGGGGCTCACAGTTATGAGGGATTTTCAACGGGAGATGAGGTCATGATCATTGATGTGAGTCGTATGAAAAGTATTGAACTCGATATGCAAAAGTTGGAGGCAAGAATTGGTGCAGGTGTTCAAAATATTGAAATATTCACAGCACTCAAAGATAAAGGACTGATTGCTGTTGGTGGGGCATGTCCAACTGTGGGTGTTTGTGGCTTTGTTATGGGTAAGTGTTTATTAGTAGTCACTTGTTTACTAATGTAACATTGTACATGCAATTATCAATCTATTGAAATAATGAAGGTGGTGGTTGGTCCTTCTCTTCAAGATACTTTGGTCTTGGGTGTGACAGTGTTATCGAGTTTGAAATTGTTGACTATGAAGGGAATTTATTAACAGTCAACTCTGAATCCCATCCAGAATTGTTTTGGGCATGTAGGGGAGCAGGTGCTGGAAATTTTGGAATTTGTGTCTCAATGAAACTGAAAGTTTACAATACATTTGATAGAGCAACACTGATTACCTTAAATTATCCAAATTGTTGCGAGAAGAAAATTGTTTCGAAAATTAAGGCATGGCAAAACTTTTTCAAAACTTGTGATTTGAGATTTAATGGGAAAATTAATATTTATAATTGTTCAAAGGATGGAATTGGATTTAACTTTCTGATAGTGTTTTATGGAGGTGCAGATGAGGCCCACTCGTTGCTTCAACCATTACTGAATGATTGCTGTCCAGAGTATGAACCTTCGATAACAGCAGTGAAATATCCAGATTCATCCATTGATTTATCAATGCAAGAGTCATCAGTTTATAATACCTTAAAGACGATATGTGATATTCATCCAGATTATGAGAGTTTTAAATCAACAGGAGGATTTATGAGTAGAGATTTAGAGACAGAAGAAATTCAAAATCTAATTGAGATTGTGAAAAGGAAAGCAACTGGGTGTACATATACAGCATTTTCTATTTATGGTTTGGAAGGAAATATTCGAAAAGTTCCTCATGATTCGACAGCATTCCCATATAGGCAAGCTCAACAAATGATTGGACTCCAAACACAATGGGAGGATGAGCAATATGCAAAGGAGAATAAGGAATGGCTTGTTGATACAATTTTTAAACATATTCTACCAATAACTGATGGATTTTTTACAAACTTTCCCTTAATTGAATTGAAGGATTATAGAAAACAGTATTATGGAAGAGAAGAGTGGAGACAAGAGAAACTCTCAAAAGTTAAATATCAATATGATCCATTAAGAATTTTCTCTCATTCTCAAGGAGTGTAGAACCTATAAAGAGCTAGCCCTTCTTTCACAACTAGAAATATTTGGTTTAATTGCACAACAGACTGACTTATTGAAAATGAATTAAATATAATCTCTTTAATTTTGATTTTGTCTTTTGTTATTCAATTCGAAATTTATTTAAATCTAATAGTTGATGTGAATGATCTCCGTAATATGTTGCTTGTTACAAGACATACATGCAAATGATTGTATAAATACCCAAACTAACAGTACTCAATAATCCCCAAAACCAAACCAATGTTCTCCAAGGTTGTAAATTGAACCAATACATGAAAAAGTAGACCATTCTGGAAAGGGTAAAGCTTGCCATCAGAATATTCCCCACAATGGCATTCCACAAGGAATATTGAGGATCAGTAGTTGAGTTATAGCTCATTGTTGAGACAATAACATATGGAATTGCAATCATGATGAATGGCAAAACATTTTCAATATCATTTCTGTGAATGTTGCCAGCTAATTCAGCACGAGAGGCCCATGAGGAAGGTTTCTGATCTTCGAGAGAGGAATCACTATTGTTAACTCCTTGCTTTTGTTTCTTTTTGGTGGCCATGGTATCAATCATTTTAGAAACACCTGTAATTTGAGCAGCAATGAATACACGAAACATTAGGAGAAAGACGTTATAGACGAATCCTTGAAGGACAGCATTGTAGAGAATGAGTGGTTGCATTTTGTTTGTTCTTTCACACCAGACTGTCTCGTTGAGCTATTTGAACTGTTTTGAATAAGTGTCAGCAAAAACAACATACATCCTCCCGCCCGTAGATCTTTAAATGGAGGCGGGGTCTTTATTGAATTAGTGCGGCCAATAAGAACGTCCACAGTTCTGAGAACTATGCCTATTGGTATTTGTAACAATGTGCATTTCCTTTATGAAGATGATGTTAATTTGTTTGAATGAGCAATCTTTAAAAAACCCACTCCAATTAATAATACAAAGCACTGCTCAAGAGTGTAGCATATCGATATGCTTCACATGGTACTAACAGAATTGATCAAGTTGATATCTGGCATTTTATGATAATAGATGGCTACGGCCATATCACGATGAATGCACCTCATCCCGTCCGATTTGAGAAGTTAAGCATCGTCGAGCCACATCAGTACTGAGGTTGGAGACAACTTGGGAACCTGTGGTGCTGTAGTCTTTTTAATTTCGATTTAATTTATGTGTTGTTATCTTATTGTTTTTACAACTTTAAATATTGAAATGTAGAGATATTGAAAATGGAAATGTACAAATATGTGAAGAAAATTAAATACAAATCATTTGACAATTTAAAGAACTTTATTGAAAAACTTGTAAAATTCAATCTTATCCAAATTGTTTGGGTTGTTGTTTACTATTAGGGAGACTCTTTTAACTGCTGTGGATTCACATTACTGCAAATACTTGGTTACAATCAGGGATTACCTCACTCTACATTAATTATCAACCCTCTCGCCACTCTTTCTAGAACGATTTGATTGGACAAGAGGGCTCAATGAATCTATTAATATACTCGACTGAAGATTCATTGTAGTAGGTTTCTTTTTTTTTAATTGAACAAGAGACAATTTTCACATTCAAGCCAGCTCACTTTCTATTTATATTTTAGGAAATGCCACTTTCAACTTTTGAAGCAAACATTCATGAATGTAATTTTCATTTGATCAACAAGTTCATAGGAAGGATCAATATCAGTTATATCTGTCTTTGTAAAAGAATAAGGAAGTATATTAATTGTACAATGTTCTATTTATTTTTATTTTTATAATGAATGGCTACGGCCATAGCAAGATGAAAGCACATCATCTCAATTAGGAACCTATCTTTTTGCCTTATTGATTTTTCAACCTGGGTAAGTTGGCCTAGTTGTCCACTTCCATTTCACAGATTATTATAGTATTTGTGCAAAGAATGAGGAAATTCTCCACTTTATTAGTTGTTTCTTACAACTTTCAGGAGGAAGTTCTTAAAAATTGTGAGCTGATCTTGAAGCCATGATGGAAATTGCTCTTCCACCTCAATAATTAATCAAGTCAACATTCAATTATTTTCTTGAATCGAAATTTATATTTTTCACACATAAAAGTACCACAATTTTTTAACCTCACTTTTCACACATTCAAAACCAATATCATAAACCTCACAAATCAAACTTGATAAAGCCATTGACTGTACTTCTACAGGATCTTTTCTGTAGGAATACATAAACTCGACTTTTTTGAGTCAATCTGACCTTTGAGGTTAACCAAGATGAAGACTCTGTAGTCACATATCTTGAGCATGATATCGAACTGGAAACATGCTTCGCTGTAGGTTTCCTCGTTCATAGATGATTGCTGCATTCCTTACCAGCCATGGTTTGTGAATGGGGGATTTGTGAACATGCAGATTGGTACCTTAATTTTTTTAATAATTAATAGAAACTTAAACAATTTCAACGTCCTATGGCAGCATTTCAAGTTCTAGGAACCTATGTTTCTTTTGTTGCTTTGCACTTATCAACCAAGATCTATTTGGAACTTTCTTTGCATTAATAGGTACAAAGTGAAAGTCGCCTTAAAAAACTGACTAATAACATCATAAAATTAGATTTAGAACAGACAATTACTGAAATTGTAAAACATTGAAAGTTTAATGATTGTTTGTAGGGTTGTATGCAACATTTCTTCTCCAGTATGAACGTTTCCTCTCAACCAAATATTTGGAGAATGAAACACAATGACCTTGTTTTACATGATGTTCAAAATCATTGTCACTAATTACTTCATAAACATTTTCTTTACAAACAGCACAAAACGAAACTCCGTACGAAACCTCAATAAATTGTCTAAGGGAAATGAAAGAGTTCTTCACTATCTTGGCCAACAGATTGAAAAAACTCCCAAACTTTAATTGAAACTTCCATTTCAGAGTTGGCTCTATTTTTAAAGAAAGAATTATACCATAATGAAATGAATGTTTTCAACAATCTGAAGCTAAGAGAGATTGCAAACCAATACTGATTTTGAGGCATGTGTAATTCTAACATCACTATCAGCTCGTATTCTACCACTAAACCATCGACGCTTCTTATTAGTCTATCAAATATTATAATAATAGATAGTGTGATTTAATAAACTGTCATCAATGAAGTGTTGGTGGCGAAACTCCACCCATGCCTTTTTTACCTCCTGTTAAAATTACATTAAGAATTTGAATGGAACATCATAAGTTTTATCTGGTTCAAAACCATCAATTTTCGAATGGTGTTTTAGTACTCACTCACAAATTAAACTATAACAAATTAAGAGATAGCTCATTATCTTAATTTTGATATTAACAATGGCTACGGCCATATCACGATGAATGCACCTCATCCCGTCCGATTTGAGAAGGTAAGCATCGTCGAGCCACATCAGTACTGAGGTTGGAGACAACTTGGGAACCTGTGGTGCTGTAGTCTTTTTAATTCAAAATATCAAAGTAAAATGAAATTTTTTATTTTAAATATAAATTGGATGTATTAAATAAACATTTACAATTTAATTCTAATTTATCAAATTTATATTGTTCAAGTACAGTGGTATCAAATTGTAATTCTTGTAAAATCAAACATTCAACAGTTAATTCATTTAAATTTAAAGGAATATTTAATTTTTTTAAATCATATTCAATAATTGTTAATTTTTTTAAATTACATAAATTATTTAAATTAACTATTGTAGTTCCTAATTCTTCTAAATGTAATATTTCTAAATTAATCATATTATTTATAATATTAATTTCAGTTAAATAACATCCAGTTAAAGATAATTCAGTTAAATTTAATTTTGAAATTGCATTTAAAAAATTAAAATAATTTAATTGTTCTAATTCTGATTTAAATATTAAACTTTTTAAATTATTTAAATGAATAATACCTTCACCATTTAATTCTGTATCTGTAAATGATAATTTTGTTAATTTGGTTAAATATTTTAAATTAATTTCATTTTCAATTTCATTACAATATAATTCTTTTAAATTATTTAATTTAGATAATAGAATAATATCCAATTCATTTAAATTAATTGATAAATGTAAAATTGATAAATTATTTAAATTATTTAAATATGGTAATACTAAAATGTTTAAATAATAGAAGAAACCCTTAACATACCTTTTATATCACCTTTTAATTCATATATAGAATTAATGTAATTATTATTTTCACAAAATTTAATAAAACTATTAATGTATTTAAATCTGCTATTATATTTGATATTAATAATTGATTTGTAATTTAATTTATTACAAATAATAACATTCCATTCTTTTGATATTATTCTTAAATATTTACAACAATATTCAAAGGTAAAATATTTAAATAAATGTTCTATCAATATTTCCGATGGAATGTTCGGTGAGGAGGAATAATTAATCATATGAACTGAGGATGACATTTTTTTTAATAATGAAAAACAATTGATTGGAAATTCACATCAATTCCAGAATTACAGAAAAACCAGAAACATTTCGAACAAAAACCGAACACATGATGATTGTGGAATTACTTTATATGATTTCCCTCCCTTCTTCCTGTTAGATTGTTTAATTGTGTAGTGGATAATCCAAAAAGTATCCAATGTGAAACAACACTATTCAGAATAGTTTTGATCAAAATTAATGTTTTATTTTAATTAAATTGGAATAGATTGGATATTGGTAACTCTTCTCTGACCATTGATTCCAACAAGATACAACATTCCATTCACACTTGCATAAATTTCAACTGAAGTTCCACTTTCTCTTGGAACTTGCTTTACAACTTGACCATTTTCAACATTTACAATTTGAATTCCGTCTTTCAATCCAATTGCAATTAAAGTTCTCTTATCATTGAGTGCTGCAAGGTTGGTTTGGAAGTTTGGGCTAGCAAGTTGCATGGCTTTGGTGATGGAAGGAAACTTTTGGGTTGCATTCAACTTGTAAATGGAAAGTGGACTATTTTCTGCTTGTTCATAACAGTATGATAGGAAGGTGAGTTGAATTTCTGATGTAGAATATCCTAAACCATGACAACTTTCGAATTCTCCAGCCAACCTACTTGGTTGAACAATGTAGTTGTTTTTAATCGAGTAGAAGGACAACAAATTGTTATTGTAAATGATTGAAAACCATCCATTTCCTGCATAGGCCATTTTGCCATACTCAACTGAATCATTTGACCAATCATAGTAATTGAATATTTTGCCACTACTAACATCGAGTTCCATAAATGTATTTCTAGCCAAGAAGTAAACCACACCATTGTCTTGTCTAAATACCAAATTACTAGAAATTGTAATTGGAGTTTTCCATACAATGTTCAAAGAATTGGTATCAATTGAATAAATGAATTGCTTATCTACTGAAACAAGCAATCGATTAAATTGAGGAGTAAGAATGAGTGAATCGAATTTTGATAAAGGTGGAAGTGCAATTTCTTGTTGTTGTAAGGTAAAGCTTTTGAAGTTAAACTTGTTGATAGAAATAGTTCTGGACTTGGACAAAAAGTAAACATTTCCCAAAGAATCAACTACTTTGGAACTGACTAATAGACCAATTCCTGGTCCTGTCATTTGAAATTTTGCATAATTTCCAGAATTCATGTTCAATACCAATAGTTCATCAACTGCACGAGGTGAATCATAATAATGACCAATCATGAATCCGTTAAAAGAATCAATAACGACATCTTCTAAAATATGTGAAAAGTTGCCAGTAAGCCATGGATTGTGCTTTGTAGAATAGGCTGCCAAATTGGAGTGAAATTCGTCCAAACCCTTTTGAGTCCAAGCATTGGAGACAACACATTGGACGCAGGATGCAACCATCAAGCAACACAATAGCAATGCAATGTTGCGCATATTTTTTTTGTTTCCTCTCGTTCCAGTTATCATCTTCGCTGAGATAAAAGAAACTCCGACAGATGTAGAAGCATGAACTGCAAAGATCAGCCGGGGTTACTAACTCCTTTGAGGGGGAACATTTCTCTTTGTACGTCTCTACATGTTCGTATGTACAATTATTACTGGAAGATTAAATGAAATTCGGATGTATTGTTGCTATAAAGAAGTTGTTTTCATTATGAACAACATCCCGTGTAGTCCAATGGCTAGGATACCTGGCTTTCACCCAGGAGGTCCGGGTTCAATTCCCGGCATGGGAGGATAATTTTAACCTGTCTTGATAAATTCTACAGTCTTTTGCTTGTGGTTCCGAATATTTTTTCTATGTGGCTTAATTTAAAATTAATATTTAAAAAAAATGATCACACAACCAAAACATTCCATCACTTCATTTTCGAAAATACAAGAAAATAGTCCATTCTCTGACGATTCACTCTTTGAAATTTTATCTTTTCACGATGATTTTAAATTTATTGTACAGAGTTGTGCATTGGTTTCCAAACAGTGGTTTCATGTCATTAAAAATTCATGTAAACACCTCTCGATAACACGTAATAGTGATTGGGAAATGGTTGGTCAATTGCCGTTTTTGGAAAATATTGCAAATCTAAGAGTGATAAATAATGAAGTTGGATTTAATTGTGAGATATTGGATTCGATGAAAGAATTGAAAAAACTCAATTTAGAAAATAATTCTAATATTCATCCAAGTGGATTCAAGTATATATGTTCATTGGAACAATTGACTGATCTTTATATGACTTTCTGTTATTTTAGATTGCCTATTGCTAAACATTTACCATCGTTGAAATCACTAACTTATCTTCTTATTACGGGTAATTATATTGGTGTAGAAGGAGCCAAGTATATTGGTGAAATGAAGCAATTGAAACAACTTCATATTGCTAATAATAATATTGGCCCGGAAGGAGCCAAGCATATTAGTGGCCTTGAACAATTGACTATTCTTAATATCCGTGCCAATGAAATTACTGTGGATGGAGCAAAATTTATTAGTGAAATGAAACAGTTGACTGTCCTTAACATTATTGGCAACGATATTTGTGACGAAGGAGCTAAATTTATTAGTGGAATGAAACAATTAACTAATCTTGATATTTCTGTTAATAATATAGGCGAGAACGGTGCCAAGTATGTTAGTGAAATGTTGAATATAACCAAACTCAATATTGGTTTTAATTCTATTAATGATTGTGTTGAGTGTTTTGGCAAAATGAAACAATTAACAGATCTTAATGTGAACAGTAGCTGTATTGGATTGTGTGGAATAGTTTTCATTTCGTCATTTAATCAATTAACTCATCTTTCTATAGCTAGTAATAGTATTTCAAATTACGAGGCAAGTCACATTAGCCAAATGAAAAATGTAATTAAGCTTGACATTTCTGATAATCGTATTGGGGATAACGGAGTCCAATCTATAAGTGAAATGAACCAATTAACTGAACTTAATGTTTCTAGTATTGATATTACACCAATAGGTATACAATATATCTGTAAAATGGATAATTTAACGTATCTAATAATTGCTCATAATAACATTGGAGTGAAAGGTGCAAACCAAATCAGTGAAATGAAGCACCTAGCACAGCTTTCTATCTATAACAACGCTGTTGGAGATGAGGGAGCCAAATTTATAAGTGAAATGGAACAATTAACTTTTCTAAATATAGGTTCCAATGAAATTGGTGACGAAGGCGTTAAAGCCCTAAGTGGAATGAAGCAATTAACAGAACTTAACACAGTTGATAACAATATAAGTGAAGAGGGTGAAAATTACATTCGAGAAATGAATTTGACAGATCATACAGGTATTTATGATGTTTAAGGGAAATGAACTTGATCAAGATTAAAATTCTATGAGTCCCTCATCAAGGAAGGATTTCAATTTGGCAATTTGCTCCTGTTGTTCTGATGATAATTCAGTTTCAGTAGTGGTACTTGATGGAGAAGATTGACTTGATGATGAAGTGCCAATAATTTAGATTGTTTCATTTCGAATTGTTCTTGTGAAATGATTCCATTCTCCAAAAGTTTCTTGGCATTTGAGGTGTTTCTTGGAGAGGTTTCAACCTTTTTTGGTTGTCTCATTTTGAGGTTTTCCATAGAGTTTGTCAAAATTACACACCTTGATTTTTGACCCACCATTGTACCTTGTTATTTATTGCTGGATTAGCTCAAAGTTACAATTTGCATCATAAACTCCAAATGCAGGAAACAATTCAGGTTGGTTTGGAATATTTGAAAAGGCAACTCCATAATTAACACCATTGATTGTATAGGATATTTTACCATCTTTAAATTCACATTCAACAATTGATCCATCTTGAATTTGACTGGAATTATTAGAATAACTTTTGTTTGATTCTCCATTCTGAGAATAAATGGTTCCACTAGCAGCATACAAATAATATCCACATTTAGAAAAATTATTTGTTTCGTTTACATTAATACTTTTAGGTGCAAATCCAATTAATAGTTTAGAACAATTAGATATGAGTTTAACTTTGAAATGATTTGATTTTGTTCCTAAAACACTTGAACTCCAATCAGAAGTGTTTTTTCTCTTTAGTATAGTTGGTGTTTCCAAGACAAGATTTGCAGAACAATACTGTGGATCAAATACTACTGTTTTTGAGTTTCCTTAATTTGAGCTACTTGTATCATTCTCTAAAATAATTCCATACTTGGATTTGAGTAAACTTCTTCCTTTAGGTGGAAGAATTTCATAAATTGGTGTAATTTGATAATAGACAACTTCTTCCAAAAAACCCAGAAGGTCATTCCCATTCAAATTTTCAACTTGGTCCTTGATGTCAATTCCTCAAATAATTTAAAATCAGTTGAAACTGCTCAAAAGGTCTATCAACAAAATAGGCATTGTCATCTTCCTCAACAGTTGGACTAAAATGATCATTGAAATATCCAGTAAAGAATGTATCCTTCACACTCTTCAATGTTTGTAAGCTAGTGGAGAATATCTTCCCACCGACGTTTAATTTTACCACTTGATTCTTTCCCAATTTACTTACCACAGAGGCAGTGAATTATTTCGATTTTGTTACAAGGAATCTTATCCAAATCCAAATACAAAACAAATTATTTTCACAAGACACTTCCAACCCTCAAACTTTATGAATTGATTATCAATAATATTGCTTTCCTCTTTGAGAAAATGGAGTTTGTCATATTTTGGAAATTGAGATGCAATATCTGTATCTCCACTGCGGAAATCCTGAAATTAATGAACTTGTAATTTCGAATAAATTCTGCCCAACGTTCTTCACATTCTTCTTTCAAAAAAACAAACAACCCAAGAAATGAAAGCTATCATTCTCTCCATTGTCCTCCTTGCTTTCCTTGCCATCACATCAGTCAATGGTCAATTTCTCAGATCTTCCGTTTACACTGACTCCAAATGTTCAAGCACTCTCCCAATGTTGGATCTCTACATTCCAAGTACTAACTGTACTTCCAACCCAAACTGTACTGGCAATAACATCAACACACTCTTTACCACTAGTCAATGTACTTCAACTGTTCCTTCCATTGGTTCCAAGAATACTTTACAATTATCCATTTATTCCGACACTACTTGTGCTAGTGGCAACTTGGTTGTCTCACAAATCTTCCCATTGGATACTTGTGTCGTTGTTCCAAGTGTTGGTTCTTATAAGAGTACTGCCTGTAGATATTTGACTGTTTATTCTGATAGTGTCTGTACTAATGTTAAACAAACTGTCGATTTTTCTGCATATAATGGAGTTTGTCTTTCTGGAACTAAATATGTTTGTTCTGGAGCTGAAAAGATGATTGGATCAAGCATTTTGATGGCATTGATGATGATTTTTTCATTCTTTACTTTTTAAAATAAATAGTATTTTCAATAACATAAAATATTAGTTGTTATTACTTGGGAAATGTTGCATTCATCGTGATATGGCAGTAGCCGTCACTTATTGAAAATTTGAAATTTTAAAATCAAATTCAAACCATCATCTTCAAAGAAGCTGACTTGCTTGATGGTGACATATTTGGAGTTGAAGTCAACCCAATCCAGTTGAGTTTTCAAAACTCATTGAAATTGCCTATTTATTTTTACAGAGCTCTTCACTTTTGGATAACAATACCAGTATCCTCATATTCTTCTTTCAGTTATCCACATCTGCCAACAAGTTGTAATTTTAAGACCAATATGTGATTATTGTCGGATGGTTGGATGGCAATTCATATGACTTTTCAACTGAGGATGATCTAGCAGCAACCTTCATTTCAGCTTCAAAATCCAAAACAAAATAACAGAGCTTTTCCTTGATATCTCTGATAATTTCTCTTTCAGCAGTTGAATAAGTAACCTCTTTCCATCAAAATTTTCATCAAGTAATCAGTCAAGTCACAACCAGCCAAATCCAATCTCAAAATGGCGTATGGCAAGGTATAACAGTGTGTGAAACACCGTCACCAGAGTCCAAAACAATACCAGCACTCTTATTGTTTTGTTTCATGTGGTTTCAACCTTTCTATAAATGTTGAAGAGTTACTACTACTGTTATTAGTTAAATAGAGCCATTCTTTAGCCCTTGTAATTGCAACATAGAATATTCTATCCTCTTCTCCTTCATGGACAATTTGTTGCTTTTTCAGTTGTATTGGATCTGATTTCTTGATAAGTGGCATGACACCATCTTGCACTTCTGGTACAAAAACATGTTTCCATTCTCTCCCTTTTGCTCTGTGGACAGTGCATATGTGAATTCCCTTTCCATCTGATGAGTTATTATATGTTTCATCATTAAATGAAATAAGAGAATCAATCAGATCAGAAGTAACTAATTCATCATTTAAGCCCAATCCATCAATTATTAGAGGATCGTCCCAATTGAATTTCTTTTGAATTGTTTCAGCAAGTTTTAAAAAAGTTGTGTTTGCTAAACCTGCTGCCAATTCGTTAATGACTGTAAAGAAACGGATGAATTTCTCTAATTTGTCTTTCTTAGGTGCTTTTCCTTTTGTAGGTACTTTCGTACTAGGAGTTTCCTGATCCTTTAAATATTGTAAATATTTTTCAAATGATTTCTCTCCAATCCCTTTAAAATAGATGAAATGCTTAATAATCCATTTCATTGATTTTGTAAATTTTTCATCCTTGATTTCCACACCATCACATATCAACTTCATCAGATTCAACATTACTCGGGTATCATCCTTGGCATTCTTTGAGATTGGAATCTTTTTGTTCTTGAGTATACTTTCCAATTCGCTGGTATTAGTACTTCTTCTCATTAGTATGGCAATATCATTATAAGATACTCCCTTATTATTCAATATTTGAATTTGATTTGCAATATATTGAAATTCTCCATCACGAGTACTAAAATTGTTTAAAGTGATAGCATCTTGGGAATCGGTTTCTATTGAATTTTCTGTTGATGTTTTCATAAATCGATTAGATGCTAACACAATTGACTTCATGCTTCTATAGTTTCTTCTGAGCTTTAATATTGTTGCAGATGGGAAATCTTCCATAATTTTGTCAAATATCTTTTCTTGAGCGCCTAAGAATGAATAGATTGCTTGATGTGGATCTCCAAATACTGAAAATCTCGTTTTCTCTCCAATAATCATTTTCATAAATTTATACTGAACTGTGGATGTATCTTGAAACTCATCAATTAAAACATCTGAGTAATGTTGTTGATAAAAATCTCTTGAACCTTGATGATTACTCGTTAATATATAGCAAGCTTCTCTCATAAGTGAAGATAAAGTAAGCATGCTCTTGGCTATTTCTTCATATATAGTCAAGGCAGCTTTGTAATCTGAAGTTGCAAACTCATTAGCAGAGACTTCTCTTGCGTATTCATCTTGTGCCCAATCAACATATTTCTCAACAGTCTCTGTAAGTGTAACATTTTTCTTTTCTAATTGCTCTTTCATCTCCTTAATAATCGATTCTTTTGTTGAAATATATGTTTTTCCTTTAGCTCCGTATTTTCTGCAAATTGACAAGGCAAACGCATGGATAGTTTTTACATCATATCTCTTTTCCACTCCATATTTTTGTAATCTTTCTTGAATTTCCCTAGTTGCATCTCTAGAAAATGTTACAAGCAAAAGACAAGCATTAGGATTAGTTTCAATAATCTTCTTGGCCCTAAATGTCAACACAAGTGTTTTACCACCACCTGGTGGTGCCTGTACAACAAGATATTTGGCAGAATCATTTTCAATAACACCAAGTTGATCGGCATCGAACTTTGGCACCTCTACAACAGGTACAATTGCGTTACAGTCAATTGTTGCCTTCTTTTTCTTCTTTTGAAAAAATGGATGCAAAGGAAGGGATGAAGTAGGTGTTTCTATTATTGATGAAGGTGACACTTCTATTTGGCTCTGAGTATCATCGGGATTCTGTTCTTGCTCCTGGCTCGGAGAGGATGAAGTGGAATTTTCTTTACTTTTAAGTGGTTTGAAAAATTCAACCACGGTTTTTTGTTTTTTACTATCTGGAATTGTACTATTGGAAAGTGATTTGGATTTTCTCTTTAGAGAATTATTTCCTGATGATTTTGATGAAGAAGGCAAGCTTTTTCTTCCCGAAGTCATCACGAATTTTTTTTGATTTATTTTTAATTACCTTAAACGTGATGATTGACCATATGCAAAGGTTATTGAAATCAAGTTAATTGGATAAGCACATATTGCTCATATTAAAAGTAAATGATCATTATTTTGTAAACACCAAAAGTTGTAAAGTCAAATAGAACCCTTTTAGATCATGATGAACATTCTATCATTGATGTGGGTTGATTAGATCACCCGATGACAACTTTTTAAATAATCAAAAAAAAATGATGAACACAACTGGACCTCCCTCACTCAATCTTACCATTCACTCTGGATATTCCTTACCAAAGGCTGATTTACTTTCTTCAATTGATGCCTATTGTGTTGTATATGTTCCATTGTTGGGTGGAAAGTTGGATATTATTAAAACCAAGGTTATTGATGATAATGCCAATCCTACATGGAATGCTGCCTTGTTTCGTACAGATGTTGATGCCAGTCGTGATATGTTGATTGAAGTTTGGGATAAAGATGCTCTCAAAGATGAAATTGTATGTCGTGTTAATGTACCTTTGCCAAGATTGTGGAATGAAAGATATTGGAATAATCAAAAATTTGTTTTAGAATGTTTGGGAAAGCACAAACCATACAAGGGAGCATCAGAGTGTGGTCTAGTAATTTCTGCCTTCTCTCAGATTTCTTTTGCTGATCTGGTTCAAAGAGTGAATGCTCCAAATAAGTTTGTTGATCCAGTTAAGAAGATATTGGTCTATCCAATCATTGGAGTTTTGGAAGATAAGCTTTATTTGAAGGTTTCTATCACTAAACGATTCAAAGTTTCCATTCTCGATACATCCTTGAGCAGAAATTTGGCCCTATTCGAAATTGTTGGAAGAGATGTTGGCACCAAAATCATTACAGCCAAGAGTCCAAAGACCAAGTTTGGAATTACCTACAGAAGAAAACTCAAATTGAAAAAGTGTGATCCACATGCTCTTGCCAATCTCAAACTCCTTGTTGCTGGATTAACTAAAGTTGAATCAAAGGGTGTTGATGTAATTGTTGGAGAGCATGGATGGGCTGGATCAATGTCCTACGATCAAGCTAAAAAGACTCTACGTAATATTACAGTGGATGAACAGAAAAAGAGAATTTTCATGAATGAAGCCAACTATGCTTACATGGTTGACTATGATAGCTCAAATTTTGATCAAAAGATTTGGTTAAAGGAAGAAGCATCTGCCAAAGGTTATCATGCTGAATTCATTTACCATAAGGGAAAGAGTTGTGTTGTCACTTCACATCAAGAACCACAGTTACAACAACATACTGGAGCTCTCTATAGATTTAGCTCACAGGTAAAGGACTCTGAATATGGAACACCATTCAAAGAATTCTCAGTTGATTTGTACCAAAGAATCAATCCTATGCAAGTAATGCTCAGTGGAACTTATCTACCATTATTGTAATTTATTAAATTTTGTAATGGTTCGTAATAGATTCTACCAAGAGTCAAGTTGGATTCTAATTATAATGAGATTTTCGAATTTCCCAAAAGTTGTGGGAGCGTTGAAATGGTATCCATAGTTTTTTTGAATACCATACGGCGTTAAGATCTAAAAAAAAATGAACAAGAAGTTATTTGGCTTGATAATAGTGGCCGCTTTGACACTATTCCTACTCACCACCTTTGCAGTATGGATGGGTTTGTTGCTAGGTGAGAAATTATATGAACCTATAGAAACCAGCTATACAGAATATCTTAATACCACATGTTTGGTAAATCAGATGAATTTGACCTCCACTAGTTGCTGCTCCAAATCATGTTCGCAATGTAGAGAATGTGATCGGTCTTTGTATCCATCATGCTATAATACCACCTTTTTGGATGTTGTATTTCTTAATCAGTCATCTTCTCCTTGTTGTGATTCTTCTAAATGTTGTAAGAATTGTTGTGAAACATGTAAGAACTGTTGGTGGACAGGAAAATATCAACAATGTTCTAGTTATGAATGCAATTGTAGATGTTGTTCATCTGTCAGCTCTAACTTATGTACCTATGAATGTAATCCATGCTGGAAAATTCACATAACATTCAGCTATTCAACAACTCAAAATGAAACTTTCTCACAGTACGAATATTTTACATGCTCTTCACAAACTTGTGTTGATGAAAAAACAAGCAATTATGCTGTGAATAACACGGTGGTATGCTACTACAGTCCAATTAATCAATATCCATCACTATACAGGTCCTACAGTGAGACCACAACCACCAAGGATACTTACAAGTTTGGAATTATGTATACCTTTGTAGCCTTATTTATTATTTCTTTAGTTGGTTTGATAATCACTATAATTGTGTTGCTTGTTAATTGTTTGAGAAATGTGAGATATTCCAATCCAGTATTTAATGCTGGTCAAAATGAACTACGTTCGAATGAATCTACCCAGTAAACTTATTTAATATCGTCGATTGCTTAAACGAGTTTCATATATAGACACTAAGGACATTAATGAGCAGCCCCGCTAGCTCAGTCGGTAGAGCGTTGGACTTTAAATCCAACGGTCGTGGGTTCGAGCCCCACGTGGGGCGGTTGTTATTTTTTTCATGAAGTTATCAAGGAATGCCGTTAAAAACACAACTTCCATATTTTATATTTTTTCTTTTGCTTCAATTAAGTAAATCTTAAAGAACCCATTTTGATAATTTCATAGCAAGATTATCTCCTTCCAGCACTCAACCCCAATACATAACACAACACGTTAATATCAGCTTCCTTTACAATACAAGTTCTCTCTTCAGTCAAGTAGAGTGTCTCCTCCACTGGAAAGTCTTTTTTAAACTTGTCAAATTATTGTCATCACTCATCAGGTTGTTCCCTTCCACAAGTAAAAAAACATAAAAAATATTTAAAAATGACCACAGGTAGGTTCGTTGCGAAATCTCAACATTCCGCTTACAAGAAATTTAATCAATATCACCTTTGATCATACTATACAATGAATCATGATTATTAATCTAATACTAATAATAACAATATTGTTGATATTTACGTTCTCTTTGGAACTTTACTACTATTGTATTGAATTTTCACCACCCTGTGTTTTACTGTGATGATATGAACAATAATAATAACAATAACAGGAAACGAAAGTATTGATCAAATCCTCAACAAGGATACTGAAGATGAATCTCTCAGAAAATACAAGGAACAATTGTTGGGAGCTGCTGCTAAAGGAATTCCAAAGACTGATGATCCTCGTCGTGTTGTTGTTGAAACTTTTGGATTGAGATTCCCTGATGGTGAACACCCAGACATTATTAGAGAAGTTGACACCAAGGAAAAGGTTGCTACTTTGGAAAACGAACCTATCAATATCAAGGAAGGTGTCAAGTATTTATTCATTGTTACTTATAGAGTACAACACGACATTGTCCCTGCTTTGCACTTTGTTAACACAATCAAGAAGACTATGGTCACTGTCGATCAACAAGTAAGTAATTCAAATTTTGAAACAAATTAGAAATTGAATTAATAATTATATAGAATACTATGATGGGAAGTTATGGTCCTCGTGCTGAACCATACACCTACAAGTCACAACCACAATATGCTCCAAGTGGTATGTTGGCTCGTGGTTCTTTCAAGGCCAACACCAAGTTTGTTGATGATGATGGAAAATGTCACTTGGAAATGAACTACAGTTTGGTCATTAAGAAGGACTGGACTGATTAAACTGTAATAAAATGTAGAGATAGATGTATAGTAACAAATGATTTATTCTATTGCTGCTACTTTTTGGAGGTTGGTTGGATTTTGTTTTTCAATTCTCTAATATTATTCAATAATTTCTCTTGCTCCTTCAGTAAGGCATTGAAATCCTTCACATCTTTCTGAGATCTGTATGAGGAATCACTTAGGAAGCTATTCTGCTTACTAAAGGTATCTTTTGGAACTATTCTGGAGGAAGATTTCATTGTTTGGCTAGTGGAGGAAATGGTTTTTTGTTGAGGTTTAACAGTTTCGATTGATATGGAGCTTTTTGGCCTTTCGGCAAAACTTGAACTAGGTCTCTTACTTGAGTTTGTTGGGGTGGTTGATCTTCTTGTCAATGATGGCGTGGAAGGTCTTTTAATTTCTGGAATTGGTCGAGAGAGGATACTATCTTCTTTAAGGAAAGTTTCTCTCCTCTGTTTCTCATCTCTTATTGCTTTTGCTCTCATGTTCTTGCTCTCTTGAAGCTCCCTTCGCTTATCCTCAATCCTCTTCTTTCGTTTTTCTACTTCCAGTGAGTTTTGCAATTGTGTTAATGTTAAAATCGGATTACTCTCGTAGAGAGGTTTCGTCACAACTCTTTCTGAACTAGTATACACTCTAGGTTTAGGGGGAACAATCCTTTTTGGAGGTGTCGATTCCCTTTTCACTCTATCTTCCAAATAACGTTGTCTCACTTTGAGTCTTTCCACTGTCTTTTCAATTTCCTTCTTGTCTTTAAGAGTAATTGAAGAAAGATCAGAAGGAGGAGTATAAATTGCTTCCTCTGAAATTGTCTTTGAAATTGGAGAAGCTGACCTCACTGACTTTGAGTTTGTAGGAGTGGTTGGCCTATTATGTTGTCCCAATAATTCATTTTCCAATTCCAAATCACGTTTAAACGATGGAGAAGATTTTGCTTTTGATTTGGAAGAACTCGAGGTATGATCTAATGAAAATCTACTAGCTGATGATCCAAATCCAAAACTACCATTCAATGATGACGATGTAGAATTTCTTACCAGAGTTGTGGTTGTATTTCCTTTAAGAAGGTTTGATCGTGAAGAAGAAAAGGAGCTTCGGAATGACGAATTTTCCTTAGGCTGGTGTTGAACAGTCGTACTTGTTCTAAATTCTGCGTTGGTTTTTAAAGGCTTTGATTTTGGTGGTGATAATTTTGTCAATTCATGTTGTTGATTAAAATTGAGTTCTTCATTCTCATCTTTTGATTCCTCATCATTATAAGAATGTTCTATTAAAACAAGTTGATTAAATTCATCATCTGATTCTTCTTCTTGATCAGAATCTTGATGATTTTGAAAATGGAAAGAAGTGTTGGTTTGTATTCTTGAATTTTGATACTCGGAATTTTCCTCAATTTCAATTAAGGAACTACTAATGGTACTTCTTGGACTGCTATCACCAAGTGAGAGTACCTCTGCATTATTTAATGATAATTGTTCTTCTCGTATGCTCGGAGTTGATTGATTTTCCAAAACATTCATCAATACTGATGAAGCTGACAACATTTTCAATTAAATTCTCTGATTCCAACTCTGTTTTCTATTATTTTGTACAAGTTTATTATCTTTTAATCAATATAAAAACCTGCTTTATCTTTAAATTATTACTCGAACTACAATTTTTTGTATTTTTTTATTAAGGAAGTTTCTTTGAATGGATTGAGTCATCAGATGGGTGGGGTTGTGGAGTTTAGTTTGCGACAACATTGCAGAATTGTTGGTGGTTGAATTATTGGATGATTGCTGTTTTAACGGATTTCAAGTGACTTATTGGAGAGGGTTATTTACAAGAGGAGGGTAATCATGAGCTATCAGAATTTACCATAATCCAAAGCTAAAGACGTCTCGGTTGAGTATAGATGATGAGGTGTTTTGATTTGAATCCTCTGGGGTGGGCGTGTCTTCATCTACTTTGTGGATTCCAGAGAGAAAATCTTTTACACTATGAAGTGAGAGTGTTCTCCTGTTATTGTTTGATTTTTCTGATTCACTTGAGGAAGTGCTGCTATCTTGTTGATGTTGTGAACGGTGGTCATCTTTGGAATCTTTGGTTCCAAGAAATATTCCTTTCACTGATTTACCAACACTCAGTAATTGTCTATGTATCTCAATAACTGGATGGATTTTTACACTCCTCTGTTGGCCAAATATATCTTTTTTGAGGTTTAGTAGAGTTCTCACAAGTTTTTCAGAGTCAGGTCTATCTTTAGGTTCTAGAGAGAGCATTGATATGATGAGATTGGCAAATCCTTCATGATATTTGCTACACCGTTTTCTGATCAGCCCGTGGAATTGTTGTTGATCTTTCATGGCCATAATGTATGGTGAAAAATTGAGGATTTCACATCCAACAAGCTCTAGAAAAACTATTCCCATTGACCATATATCAGAGGAGTAAATATAATTCATGAATAAAGATGTAGGGGCTATTGGTTCCTTAGAATCCAACTCTGTTATATCTTTAACACCAATATGACACTCTGGTGATTGATATTTGATAGTACCTGCACTTGAGATTGTATCATTCAAATTTTTAGAGGTTAATGATCTCAAATTATAAATTAAACCAAAATCTCCAATTTTACATTCTTTGAATTTTGAACTGAGTAAAATGTTCTTTGGTTTTATATCTCTGTGAAGAAGCCCATTCAAATGAAGATGATTTAGACCGGCAGACATTTGAATCATCAGAGACAGCAGGTGAGCCTCTTGAATTGTTTGGCCTTGATCTTTGTGTCCATTAATGAATTGTTCTAAATCTCCATCATCCATGTATTCCATTACTAGACAGAGTGTAAATAGTGATGAGAATTCATTGTCTGATTTTGAAAAGTAAATGTCCTGTATAGATATTAATTGAGGATAGCTGATTTTTCTGATTGGCCAAAATTCAACGAGGGCATCATTTGCATTATTGATATCGTCACAATTAATTTTCTTAATACCAACTGTTACTCTATCGGATTTTCTTACAGCTTTGTACACTTTACCAAAAGATCCTCTTCCGACTTCTTCCAGAATTTCATAATGACTCTCTTCATACAGATTTTCACTATTATTTTGTGGTAGATCAAAATTGCTGTCACATATGCTTGTCAGTTTTTCAGATGATGGTTTCTTCTTAAGGCCGGATAATATGAACGAGTCATCAAATGAAATTGTTTCGTAATCATGTAAGCTCTCTAAAGAATTATTTGGTGATATGTGGTGCTTCACACCCTCGAATTTTTGTGGTAATATTAATTTCATTCCTATTGTAACAACTCCTGTTTTATCTTTACCTCGTTTCAGAGATAGTTCAATCATATCCACAGATCTAGATCTAAAATCCATCAATCTGTTAATATCATACACAGCCTCTCCAATAAAGTTAACATGAGGTTTACATTTCATTATATAGTTGTGAAGCATTTCTGAAGTGGCAGAAATGTTATCCAATTGCATAGCAATTTGTGGTAGAATTTTCTTCGACTCCAACGATGAAGAATGTTCAAATACATAATGTGATTCATTACTATTATTACTAGCTGAATTGCAAATGGTCATAACTTGTTGATATTCTGCCTCTGATAATTGGATTGGTAATATAACCTTCTCTCCTTTCCATTTGAATGTAAATCCATCAGAGAGAGGTGATTTTCTAATTCGAGATGAATGGGCTACTACTTGTTTATATTCATCACCTAATAATTCTTCTTGTTCATCACTTCTTTTTACACTAAATGTTAAACAAGTATCAAATATCGAAGCACTAAAGTATTGAGTAAAACTCAAATCACTTGCAAGTGTTACAGTTCCAATACTAAATTCAATTCCAATATGATTCGGAGGTAAAATTAATGGTTGTTTGTTATTTTCCTCGATATCTTCTTCATCAGAATGATTATATTTATCACTAATTAAATTATCATTTTCCGTAATTAAATTATGTAACATTTCACTAAATGATTTCCTTCTCGGATGTTCTTGTTGCTGTACTTTGAGAGTATTGTTATTATTATTCTGTACATTTGATTTTTCCTTGTTTCGATCATTACTATTATTATTATTACTATCGGAAGATGATTGTGGTGGTGTAGTCGTTGGTGTTGGTGAGGAGGTTGATGAACTCTTGTCCAATCCCATAAACGACCTGAATCCACCAAAGAACATTTTTTATTCTTAAAATTAGCTGAGAAATGAACTTGTAGGTTTATCAGAAATGAATTGGATGATCTTGTTTAAATTGGATATATTTCTCTATGCAGTTGATCGAAATGTTCAGGCAACGTTTTCAATTCAATATTGAAAATGAATTACAAAATTCTTTATTATTTATTGATAATTTATTGAGCCGAAAGTTAATGGTTTCGACTGCCTTAGTAGAAGAGTTTATTTGCAACAACATATTGTTCAGTGCTATTTGGTGCATATCCTAGATTACCTCCTTCGAATAAAATTTGGAAAGCAGCAATAGTTGCATCAAAATCAGAATTCAATTCTGAAACAACTTCATGAAATGAAATGCCTGGTTTCTTAGCAACAAGTTCATAGATAGACACTTCCAGAGTTTTTTGTTGTTGAACTTTTGGCACTTTCTTCCCTACAAGTGAACCATATTGAGAATGCAGAGATGCAACAATTACGTCCAATAAGTGAGTGGTAAATTCATTGATATCCATAATTAGTGATAAACCTGTACCAACAATATATCTTGTTCCAGTTCTATTATCAATATTCAAAATACCATAAATTCTCAAAAAGAGTCCATTTTCAATAACACCACCACAAGCTTCAAACTTTTTCTCAGTATCAATTGCGTACAAAATTACGCTCATCCTTCCTGTACCATCATCAAGGAATAAATTTAATTTTCGTTTCTCGGGTTCATTAGTAAATTTTACAATTTGTGCAACAAGAGTAACTTGTTCAATTCTTTTCTTCTTTGTCTTGCAGTCAATGACGAAATGATTGGTTTCTGGCATTTCGGCATGGATTAATTGTCTAATATTTACAGGTGTAATACCTCCTTTCTCGGAAGCACTTTCACTACTATTTACATGTGATGTGTTATGTACCATGGATTGATCTACATCTTCACCACCATGCACATCACTTCCTCTAAAATCATGATCATCCATCTTGATTGCTGGGTATTTTTTTAAATATTTGATGTTCTAAATTTAATGTTTTTCTATTCTTCTAAAAAATAGAAACAAAATTTCTAGTTTTATCTGGAAGACAAAAAACTATTGATTCATTACAGAAAATATGTCAAGTTAAATTAATAGTAATTACAATTAGTTTAATTCTTCTTATGATGAGAATCCTTTTCATATTCAAATTCAACCAATTCATTAGCACTGCAGTACATTTGAATAAAGTTCATCAATTGTTTACCAGCCCATGTTGGAACAAGAAGAGCCAAAGCAATAATCAACCAGAGTTGACTCAATTGATAGAAATGAATGGCATATAAAAAGACATAGAACAATTCATTACCAACACACAAAATAGCCATGAATGTCTTGTTAGTATAATATAAAGCCAATAAGTAACTTCTGTCCCAATCAACATCCTTGTGACTAGCAGTACCAATAACCAAACTGACATACATACGGAACCAATGTGAAACAAAGTCCAAAATATTCAACAAGACAAAATATGGAGTATAATTTGGATAAAAGTTAGAAAGAATGGTAACAAGAGCAGCAGTACTGAAACGATCAGTGACCATATCTAAAACAGCTCCGAATCTAGAACATTGATTATAATGACGAGCAGCAATACCATCCAAACCATCCAAAACAAAACTTGTTGTATAGATAACAATCACAGTTCCTGGATATGATTCATAAATAAAGAAAGATAAAAGTGAAAGGAAAACACGAAGATAACCAATCAAATTTGGAATATAAAAATAAATTTTGTAGGCCTCTGGGTTTCTTGGAGTAACTTTAGTAGCTGCCATCTCTTTCCGAATCAACAAATAAATAATAATAATACTAGAAAAATCCGTTGTTGGATGATGAAAATATTTTTTCTTGTTGAAATTTTAAAAAATTCAAATCCAAATTTTTAAAAACAACGGAAAGTGAATCAAATTAGGCGAACAAAGCGGCACCGTTTTTTAACCCTAATATGTTGAACCAGCATTTAGATTAGGTTCAGTGTTCGTTTCGAATAGATTGGCTCAATTTCCAAGTTTACAATTTTACGGTATTGCTCTATCTCTTACCAAAAGGTTTTATTTATGAAATTAATGTCTATTTTACAGACATAAGAATATTATTTGTCTTTTATTGATTCGTTTTTCTAATAGAGGTTTCCACATTATTCGAAATGATTCACATTTAGAAGCACTGTCACTTGTCAACAATCCAAAAAAAATGAGTTCAAAGGAAATGAAGATTGTCGTCGTTGGTGACGGTGCTGTTGGTAGGTGTTATTTTTACCTAGAATTGGATTTGATAATTATTTCAATATATAGGCAAGACATGTTTACTATGGGTTTATGCTAATAACTCATTCCCAGAGACTTATGTTCCAACTGGTAAGTCTTTCTTATATGATGATAAGATTCGAATAGAAGAATGATTAGTATTTGACAATTATAAAACAACAGTTTCGCTGGATGGTAGAACTGTAAAATTGGAATTATGGGATACTGGTATGTACACAAAGTTTTTTTGATCATTTTACGACGATGTAAATTATAGCTGGTCAGGAAGAGTAAGTTTTCGAATAGTGATGATGACGAGGAATATATATTTTTATTGTATTATTATTATAATGATCGGGTGATGAAACTCTCTTTTTGGAATCAAATATTTGATCAACATGTTGATATGGTGATGAAACATTCATGATGATGGATTCTATTGTTATTATTGTTCTTATTATTATTATATTGGAAAAATAACTAAAGATATGACCGTTTGCGTCCACTCTCATATCCTGGTACACAAGTTTTCTTGATTTGCTTTTCAACAGTTGATGAAACTAGTTATGCTAACATTAGGTAGGTTTTTTATAATGACAAGATGATGACAATAATCTTCTACTACTACTAAACTTTTATTATGATTCACATCAATAATAATAACATTTAAACAACAATTATTAACACAATACTTTAATATAATGATACAAAAACAATTAGAACTAAATGGTATCCAGAAGTTAATCATCACTCTGATGGTGTTCCAATTGTTCTTGTTGGTACAAAAGTTGATTTACGTGAGATGGGTGACAAATCACAAGGAGGTGACAATATTTCACCACAATTGGGTGAAAAACTAAAGGCAGAAATTAAAGCTATCAAATATGTTGAATGTTCTGCCAAGACACAACAAGGTGTTAAAATGGTCTTTGATGAAGCCATTAGAGCTGTTCTTTTCCCAAGAAGTGGATCTGGAAAGAAATCAGGATGTGAATTATTGTAAATTAATTTGCCTTTTTGTAGATAATTGCTATTGTAAAGCAATAATGAATTTTATATATTATATTTAGTATTTGTTTCAATAGGATTGTAATTTTTGATAACCATTTCAGAGAATATGTCTATTTCATCCCAATTTGAGTTTTCGACATTTTCTTCCTCTTGCAGTATCTTTGAAAGATTACTTTTGGAGGTTCTTCTTCTTCTTCTTGTGGTTCTGTATTCACTTGACTCTGTGAAGAAATCTTCTTCGTCATCGTGTTAATCTTCCATACTATCAAATCCAAGACTCTTCTTCTTTGGAGATGGCTGAGGTTGTTTTGAACAATTAAGTATGGATTTATTAGTTGAACCACCAACCAAAACAACATCATCAATTTGTACACTGCATCTGTACCTGTACCTTATCTAAATATTCCCTACTTGAGGATCGTAAACACTTTTTTAGTATTCCAAAAGTTCAAGAAATGCTCAGAATTCTTTAATGGAAGGAATTGTGTAAATCAATCCAGATGAAGCAGTTGTTAATGGTGCTGCAGTTCAAGGTGTGTTTTAATTGGTAAATTCTCTTATCGATGTTACTCATTATGATTAGATGCACCATCTAGAAGAGATTCATTAATACGATTGTTTTGAGATTCCACATTTCTCTTATTGGAAGAATCACTCAATTTTCCACATCTGAAACAAGATTGATAACAAATTTTCAATTCATCCAAACTAAATTCCATATATAACAAGCCACTGACCACAATAAATAAAATAAAATTCAGAATGGCACCAATAATTGGTTCAGTAAATTCAGCTCCAGTGTTCTGAGATTCTTGAACCAGATAAATTATTACCATTAATATAAAACATGGAAATACAATGGAAACAAATATCAAAAAGTTGGCATACTAAAATTGTTAATTATTTCCATATATATATTTAACTCACCCCAGTGTTCCAAATATTAATATCTGATACTTTTTTCATAGCTCTAGCGATAATTAATCCAACAATTAAAAATACTTTTTCATTATTGTTATGATTTACTTTCTAAAAAAGTATTACTTACTAAATATAGATAATAACAACCAAAGTGCAATAAATATTTTGACATATTGAAAAGCAAATGACTGAATAATAGCTATTGATACAATCCCTAATACTGAGAATATAATTGGTATAGCATAAATCAATATACTATAAATGGTTTTTCTCTTATTGACAACGCCAAAACTATTCGTGACCAATTTCCTAACCAGGAGAATAAAGCCAAAAATAAGAAAATATGAAAATAATCTGACACTATTACCACAATGGTTCTCTGGTAATTCTCAAATCTAAGGATGTATCTATACAAATAAGTTCCAAATTCACTACAAATCCTAAAAGTAATATATAAAATAGTAATAATTGGATATAAGGATCTTAATTTGACACACTGAATGAGTTTAGGAATGAAAACTAAGAAGAATGCAATAATTAATTGACCAAATGTCAATATTATTGAAATGATACCAACTGCAAAAGTGAGATATTGCTTATTTGGAGAATAAAAACATTTTTCAAAGAATGCACTGTCATTAATAGAGCAAGCACAAAAGTATGAAAATGGATATCTCAAAATTCCATTCACATTTGATTGATTAAATAAAAAAGGAAATCCAAAAATACTGTCTCCACAATAAAGCAATCTTGTTGGAAAATAATTAATCATCTCATGTAACATAACCAAATTAGGATTACATTCTTCTCGTTTCACCATTTTCCTATAAATTAAACTGTTATTTCCACAATATTGACATGCATTAATCCATTCCTCTGCTGAACTATCCAATCTTCTCATCATATCAAGAGTAGCAGCATTTGCATTACACAACACTTCAAAGCAAGTTTGATTTAAAGTTTTTTCTAATTTTCCAATTTTTTCACAAATATTAATTCTCGGAGATTGATAAATTAATTTGGTTGATTCGGAATCAATGGTTGGTCCTTTGGTTATTACTAGAGAGACATTGCTGGTGTATGAAACATCGAGACAATTGAAATTATTTGGAAGAAACTGATCTAAATCATATTTCGGAAAGAGAAACATTCGCCAAACGTTTTCAATTGTGCAGTTGGAGAAGAATACTTTCTCTGAACCATGGACTGTCAGATGGCAGGAAATGAGAAGGAATGCCGAGAGGATAAAGAGATACCTTGTTGACATTTTTTTACTTTGAGCTTTTCAAACTCCGAACTAATTTGAATTAGTTAGAAAAGAGATGGAAGATAAATAGATTCATATTATTTCTTATTCTTAAATTCGGAAAGAATATGACAAAATATCCTCAGCAGCTTGAGGTCTTTAATTTTTGATATCCATTTCAGAGAACATGTCTATTTCATCCCAATTTGAGTTTTCGACATTTTCTTCCTCTTGCAGTATCTTTGAAAGATTACTTTCTTTTGGAGGTTCTTCTTCTTGTGGTGCAGTTGGCAGAGTTGGTTCTGGTTTCACTTGACTCTGTGTAATCTTTGATTTTGGAGGTTTTCTTTTACCACCTCTTGATGATGGGCTAGCTGTTGTTTTTGTTGTTCCAGCAGTTGGTTTTGGTGAAGTTTGGACAGTTTTAGGTGTGCTTTCTTGTTCCTTTGAGAAATCTTTGAAGAAATCTTCTTCCTCATCGTGTGGTGTGTATGAATCATCTTCCATACTATCAAATCCAAGACCCTTCTTCTTCTTTTGGGAGGAGCTGGCTGAACTTGGAGATGGTTGAGGGTTGTTTTGCACAATTGTTGTTTCTTGTGGAATAGCTTTAACTGTTTCAACAACTTGAACAGACTTTTCTTCATCATCTGACCAATTCTTCCATTCCTCGTCTTCGCTGTGGGCTGGACTAGAATGGGATTGAGTCTGTTGAGCTACAGCTTCAATAGACTTGTTGGATGCTGTTTTGATTAATTGTAGTCTTGATTGTTGTTGAGATTCTACTTGAGCTTCAGGTGTCTTCTCTTGTGGTTGAGGATTGAATTCTTTCTTGACAACTGCTGGGGAAGACGGTGGAGTATTTTCAGTAGAACGTCCACCTTCATCTATTGAAGATTTTGATTGTTGATCACTTTCAGAGAATTGGATTACATGTTTTGGAGATTGACCAGAGAAGATTTCAACTCGAACAAGTTCTTTTTGAGATTGTGGAGGGAAGAATGGTGTAACATTTGTAATACCATCATTTGCTGAGGTAATCATTCCTAAATTACATCGGGAAAGATCAGATTCTGACAAGTACTCTAATGCAACTTTCATTACTTGGGTAGCTTTTGATCTGACTTGTTCCTTTTCATGGAGAGTTAATGGAAGTACAGGTTTCATTACATAGGTCATGAGTTCTCTTGGATCAAATCTCGACATGTGAATTAAAATTACATTCAAAGCGTGTACTTTGAGTTCTGAAATATCCTTATCAAACAAGTTAGAGTGTAAAGCTGTTAAAATTATTCCCTTATTGGCTCCAGGTAAATTCCATAATTCCAAAAGGCATAAAAGAGCATGAGATCTCAAAGCAATAACACTTTCAATGGCTTTTTCCTTATCAACTTCTTGGCCAATTCTAGGGAATGAGTTTTGTACAGCATAATGATGAAGGGAAGGAAGGAATTGATTATTAATAATTTCTATTCCAGTGGTGGATTGAGTAGATTGATCAAGTTTGGAAAGGTACTTGGAGAAGGCTACACAGGCATTCATAGTGAACATGACAAGTTCATTACTAGAGTCTTTGATGGCCTTCATTATTTCTGGAATAACTTCTGAAATGGCTACACTAGGAGGAATTTGATTTTGATAATATTCCAAGGTTTGAAGTATCCTAATTCTTAAACTATAATTCTTACTAATATAACATTTACGAATAAAAGTAAGAATGTGCTCATCGTAATCCTTGCCAGATAAGATACCATCAATTCCTCTCTTGGATGACTCTTTAGCTGAGAACAAGTGAGCCAAAAAGGTACCTGAGGCAGGCTCTGTAACGAACGGAAGAGTTGTCATTCTTGGCAAAATTCTCTTTTTAAAAAGTGAAAGAGACAATTTGTTAACTTGGCTCTTGAGTTCCTTAAAGAAAGATTCCTTTTCAGATGCCTTTTTCAATCTCATATCATCAAAGAATAGCATAATGCTACAGAGTGGATCTTGTTCAAAAAGTTTCAGTTTTAAAAAGCTGGCAAAGGTAGCTCTTGATTGAGGTTCACTTTCAAGTGCCTTTGACATCCAAAATTTGATGGCTGGTAATTTCAAAAAAGATTGATAGTTAACTTCGTTAGGAACGTTATTCTTCTTGCAGCTTTCTTCAATTTCTGCGAATATCTTGGATACTAATTTTTCAAAAGCATATACATCTCTACATGTACTTGTATATTTTTGGAATTTCTTCATTCCTTCTTCTGGAGTAATAGTTTCAGAGTATCTAATTTCCTTAGTATTTTCGTAAAAATCCTTATCAATATTACTAAATTCCATAGCAAATTGGAAATCACCAAGCATCCACCTCATTTGTTTATCTTTTGTCACATAAACAGAATCCAAATGAACATTATTAAATGTAATTTGGCATTGATCGTTCAAAAAATTGAGAGCACTCTGAAAAAGATGTGAGATGACTATTCAAACTAAAATACTCACAGATATTTGAAGTAATCCCAACAAAATTTCCGACATTTCCAATGATGGCAAAACAGATCTGAGGGGTACAACAGGCTCTGTAGCTATATAAAAGTGTGAATTATTCAACTCAATGTCATCAACATATTTCAAAATTGATGGATGTCTAAGAGTTTTTAAAAACTTCATTCCTCTTCTAGCACACTCAATAATTGTTTTTGCAGGTTCCTCATCCAATGGTGAAATTTTAGTTTTTGGCTTTTCCGCAGTTTGATTATCATTTTCATTCTTTTGTTGTCTCAAAATCTTTGGTAAATCTTTAGCTTGTTTATCCGTTAATTCAAATTCAAAAACAGAAACATTTCTATTATCACTTTGAACATTCTTCTGAAAAACACCATCATATAATTTCCAAAATTTAAATCTCTTATCCGTATCAACCAATGGAACTGGTTGGAGGGATGAAAACTTTTGTGAGACGTTAGAATTTCCCATCTTGTTGATTGTGATGATGAAAAAAGCCTTCGGAAAAGTAAGCTTTCACCTTGTTGGTGTTTTATTTTTTTAAATAATAATAAAATTAATCGTTGTTACAGTATGATGTAATATTGCTTCTAATTAGAAGGTTACAGTTATTAGAAATGTTGTTGTTTGATTGTAAAATAATAATCAAAATACTATAGTAATTTTAATTAAATATATTAAATTATTAAAAAATTTGTCGCAATATTAAATTGGATCCATGAACAAGCCTTCCTTGTTGCAAATTTTGTTCAAACGTCATTCGGTGGGAACTCTCAAACCAACCCGTTCGTTGTTGGATCAGTGGATTGGAAAATTCTCTGAAAAGATTCATGATAAAGTTTGGAATCAATGGTTTACAGTTTCATCAATTTACAAGACACAATTAATGTTCGGAAATGTTGAATCTCTTGAGGATGGAAAATATGAGAAGCAAGTTATGAAGGAAAGATTATTATTCTATCAAAAACAAAAACGATTATTATTAAAGAAGGCTAAGGAAAGATATCAGGAACAACTTTTGATGGATGAGCTAGCTGTTCTCAATGCAGATATATTTGATGAAATTGATAGAAAATATAGAAAGAAAACTCTTGGTGATAGAGTTGAATTTTGGAAGTTGTTTTTCAAGTACTTGTTCACAAAGAAGGAGAAACCATTATTATTGCTTTCCGATGTCAAGGATTATGATAAATATGCAGAGGAATTCAAGATTAAATCATCATAACAATTTAATTTGTGTTTTGGAATGAAAAGAATAATTCAGATTGAGTGTAATAACTAAAGGAGAAAGAGAAGAACATGTTTTATGAAGCAGTTTCTATGGTCAAATCAATAAAAAAGGAAGATCTATCATTGAGCAAGTTCTTAAAGTTATCATTGAGTTTTTTCTTTTTAGACGAGTTCTTTTTTGCCATACTAACCAATGAAAAGCCATGTCCATATTTCACATCTATAAAGTTGAATCTTTCCAACAGTTCACTCAAATATTCATGTACTGTTGAGCTATTGTATTTTGGCTCTTTTAGACCTAACTGATTATTTTGGTTAGCTCCACAACAATAAATCTTATTATTCTGTTTATCAATCTCAAAATATGATAAATAGGAAGGTAGAATCTCAAAGGTAGATTCTTTAAATTGACTTAAATCAGTTGAATAACCATGACTATAATAAGATTTTGCGGTTCCATCCTTCAAGTTCTTGATTTTAAAGCAACTGGCTGAAATTAGATCATAAAATACATAATTTGGAGAATTCAATGTTTCTATCCAAGCAGAACCAGAATAAATAAATATTCTTCCATTTTTAGTGGTAAAGGCAAATGAATCCATTGATCCAAGCGCAATTTCTGAAATTTCAGAATATCCAAATCGTTGTAAAACATCAAATTCCTGTATTCTACCCTCGCAATTCAAAACAATAAACCTCTTATCAATTACAGTCAATATAGTATTTTCAAAAGTCTCTAAATGTGTGAATTTTTCTTGACCAGGTTTTAAACTCAGTTCCTTGAATGGAATAAACCATGATGATTTAATGGTTTTCCCTTTTCCACAATCATATTCTCCAGATATCATAATTTTTTTCCAATCATTGCAAATAAGTACTGAATGATTTCTTCCACAAGCAAACTCATTCACACAAAACGTTTTCACAACTACTTGTTCACACTTTTCCTTTTTTTTCTTTCTATTCTTATCTGGATTCAATCTTTCCTCCTTTCTTTTATCTTTCCTCCTCTCCTTCTTATTCTTAATTTCATATGAAACATTACTTTTCGAAACTCTTGTATTCAAATTATCCTCCATAATCTCACCAATATCAAATAGACATGGATTCCATGCCGAGACGTTTTTAGCCTTTGAAGAACATGCACATTGTCCCTTGGAATTTCCTCCGAATGAAAATAATTCACCAAATTTTGCTAATTTAATAATCATCATTCATCATTTAATTGTATACTAACATTTCATCATTATGTGATTAACTCCACATTTGACATCAAAAATAATTATATCCGATGGTAGACTTGGTAATTTACAAAAACTTGTAGAATGCCATACTTGACTATTGTGACCACTTATCTTTTGATGATTTAGTATAAATTAAATTGTTGTTGTGGTATATATTTCTACCTACATAGAAAGCAAGCTCTTCCCCTTCATTACTTGTTGACATTTTTTTCAGTTCCAAAATTGAATTTTTATTATTATCTTGTTGTAAAGTTAAGAATACAAATAATGAAGGATGCATTGACTATGGTAATGTAAAAGTATCATCCAAAATGCTAATGAAACATAAAAAAGGAGGAACTCCATATGAATAGAATGTATTGTTGCTATAAAGAAGTTATTTTCATCATGAATAACATCCCGTGTAGTCCAATGGCTAGGATACCTGGCTTTCACCCAGGAGGTCCGGGTTCAATTACCGGCATGGGAGGATAATTTTAAACTTTTGGAAATCAATCCTCAAGGAATCCGCTTGTTGATGACTTTATTAAGGGTGATGATTCATCAAAGCAGAATCTTATAAACTAAGAATTTACTCCATTAATGTTTAAATATTGGATTCAAATACTCGTCTCTTCTCTAGTTTTGCCTTTCCGAATTCAATCACATATCCCACAGATTTAATCTGATTCAACAACAACAAGACAAACGACATTGAATTCAAAATAAGATGGGAGGTGCCAGCAAAAGGACCAAGATAAAAACAAGAATGCACAAAAGCAACAAAATTAACAAGGCTGTACATAAACATTCCAAGTGGATCTCTGGTTGCCATCGAATAAAAACCACATGCAACTCCAGCCATAGATAACAAGAGGATCCATACCGGTTGGGAGGTGTTAAACAAAAACAATACTGACAATACAAAAATTAAGAACAGTTGGAATGAAAACATATTTGCCAAGTTTGCCAAATTAGCTGGTCTGTTGTATTGCTTTTTCTGTACCACTTCAATAAATTGTTCAATGTACTTTGCGAACATATCATAGAGTGGAGTTTCGCTGTGGTTAGTGGTATTGTTATTCATTTCTCCAATAGGTGCTGAAGGTGATGCTTCCAATGTTTGATGAGCTTCGGAATTGTTCATTTGTTTTTTAATAGAGATGTGTTCTTTACTGCAACGTGTTTTTTATGTGACATAATTATATCTTCCTTTTCAAAAGTCTCCGCTTCACTAAATTACAGTTGCTTTTCAAGCTTATTCGTCATGTCAACTATTTTCTTAAGCTTAACATTCTCTGGTTGTGTTATATTATTGTAACGTGGTAATGAAAGCTAGTCTATTGCTCATTCATATCCTGTGTTTAGCTGTTTATTAGAGAGTCAACCAATTCCTTAATAGCTTCAATGCTACCAAGTTATCGTTGATGATATATTAGAACACGATTAGTTTTTGAACAAAACACGTGTTTCTGAAATTGGAACAAAACGTGTTATTGGGTTCTTTAAAGTTCAACAGCAGCAATTTTGATTTCAACAACAATAAAAAATGTCACAAGAACTTGTAGCCTTGGAAGCAGCCTATCAATACATCTATTTATTCGGAGGAGGTATTTTAGCCTTCATTGTATTGAGAATTATATTGAATTGTATAATAACAGTCTCAACGAATGAAGTTGTTCTAGTTGAATATTTGGGAAAGTATTCGAGAACATTAACGAGTGGTTTTCATATTCTTCTTCCGTTTGTAGAATCAGTGAAGGAAGTAACTTGGATAAGAACCATTGAAGATACTCTAACAAGAAGAACTAAATTGAGTACAGTTAGAACAGGTAGAATTTCAACATCAGAAGTAATGTTTGATTTTCCTGCATTGGATGTCAGTACAAAGGATAGAATTATTGCCAAAGTCAATGGTATTATGTTTTTCAAAATTGTTAATCCATATAAGGCAGTTTATGAAATTTCTGATTTGTATCAATCGATGGAACAATTAGTTTATACTTCAATGAGAGATGCCATTTCAAAGATTACACTCGATGAAGCTATTGAAGGTAAATCTACAATCAAAGCTTCTATTCATGAAGATTTTAAAGGATTGGAAAATTCTTGGGGAGTTAAATTGACCAAATTTGATATTCAATCAATTGAAGCTCCAGAATCTATTCAAAAGAGTATTGAGAAATTAGTTTCAGCCCAAAGAGAAGCCCAAGCCGAATTGGAAAAAACACGTGCCTTACAAGAAGCTAAAAAGCTCAAAATTCAAACAGAACAAGAAATTCAATTACTGGAATGTGACGCCAAGAATAAGCGAAACATTATGGAAGCCAACACTGAAGCACAAGTTTTGAAAGCAAAGGCAGAATCAGAAGCTATGAATATTGAAAAGATGGCAAAAGCTGAAGCTATCTATTTGGAAAAAATTCTTTCAGTTAAAGGTATTTCACAAGAATATTTACTTCAAAAGGAATACACCAAGTCAATTGAGCATTTAGCAAAGTCAGGAAATAGAACATTTATAATTCCATTCGAAAGTGCAAAATATTTTGGCATGAACAATGTTTCCTCTCTTCAAGAAGTTCAACAATAACTTTCATATTCTCTTTAATAATACTATTGGACTGCGTTTGTTTCTCAAGAGGTTATTTCTATCTTTGAATATTTAATTGTTGGTATAAACTAAATATTGTAGTTGTTTTGTAACATTAAATACAATTGTGGCCCAAAGTACCATGTATTGGTGAACTTGGTTGAAATTATAGAAAAGCATCTTGTTTAGAAATATTCGAAATTAACCTAAAACCATACATCCTTACTCAAAAGGAGAGACATTGAAAAATAAACAAGGGGTTTGGTTACTTGTTAAAAACATGGTTCGATATAGTTGACCACCACAACATGGCACATAATTTCGAAAGAACAGAAGAAACCATCTCTTTAAAAAACAAACAAGATGCCAGAAGTAATTACCAGCAGCACTGTTGGTAGAACAGCTTTCGGTCCCAACCTTTCCTTGTTGAAGGTAAGTTATTACTCATTTACATCTCGCAGTAATTTTTTTTTGACTTTCTAATAACAAACAAACTAAGAACTTCAAAATGAACATGTTGAAAATAATATATAGGGTGGTACAATCTCTCAAACAATTGTTGGTTTAATAGTTTCTGCTTCTGTTGTTGCCTCTCTCGTTGTTACCATTGTAATGATTAGTGTTGGTGCAGGTGTTCAAAATCCAACATTGAAACCAGACTATTATGAACTTTACAAAAAGACACCATCAAAACTCTATCCTCTTCTCAATGATATTGATCCAAGAGGTGGTAATTTGACAATTTTAAATGTTACTCAACCATTACATGGTAAAGCTGTGTTATCTTCTGCTGGCATGGTTATTTATACAAGTATTGGTTCTTATGCTGGTAATGATACTTTCGAATATTCGGTTACTAATGGATGGACAACTGCGACTGAACATGTTTATCTTAGTATTTTGAATCGTGCTCCAGAAGTAGTTGACATGACATATACTGTTAATAAGAATTCAAAGAAAAATTCATTTGATTTATTTGGATATGAAAGTGAAATGGGTGCTAAAATTAAGGATATTGACGGTGATGATTTATCTATTACTGACATTATTCTAGTTTCTCCTAATGTTGGTAGTTTAATCTCATTCGATCAAAATTACTTGTACTATACTCCTGCTTATGGTTTTAATAATATTGAATTACTTAACTATACAATCTCAGATGGTTATGCCAATGTTTCAGGTGTCATTACTATTAATGTTGCCAATGATAAACCAACAGCTGAACCTGACACTTATACCATTACAAAGAATGCTTTGGGTACTTTTAATATTCTAGATAATGATTTTGATATTAATGGTGATAACATTTCAATTACCACTGCTGGTTTAGGTTCATCTGGTGTTGTTTTAATTTCCTCTGATAATTCAAATATCGAATATATTCCAAAGCCATTTGTAGCTCCATATACTGATGCTTTTGAATATGAAATCACTGATGGAGCTTTGACAAGTTCTAGTTATGTTTTTGTAAAGATTGTCAATTCTCCTCCAACTGTTTCTGATAAGGTTTTCAATGTTGCAAAGAATTCAAAGAATAATCTTTTAGATTTGACATTCTCTGATCCAGATGTACTTGATACTGTTACCTTGACAGCTGTTAGTAAGCTTGCTCGTGGTAATTCCTCATTGTCTGTTACTAGCTCAATGGCATCTGTTTATTATCCAACAGGTGACTTTTTACAAGTTAAGAAGAATTTGTACTCTCTTGTTTATACACCAGATCAAGGTGTTATTTATACTGATTCCTTTAAGGTCAAAGTTAGTGATGGTGTGGATGTTGCTTATGCCACCATTACTATTAATGTAGTTCCTTCTCCTCCTGTTCCTGTTAATGATACTGTCACTTGTCAAAAGAATGGACAAGTCTCTCTTGATGTTATCAGTAATGATTATAGTGCTTCTGGTGATGTTTTGAAATTGAATTTTGCATCATCTACTTCCAATTTTGGTGGTAAACTTGTTAAGATTGATGATAATAATGTAAAATATGAGCCAGCTAAAGGATTCCTTGGTCAAGATGAAGCTCAATACATTGTTATTAACACTAACACTGATGGATCTAGTGAAGGTACTTTCAATAGAGAGGGATATGTTCTTGTTAATGTTGTGAACTCACCTCCAGTTGCTGTTCCATTAACTTTGACAGTTTCAAAGGGTTTGACAAGTGCTCTTAATTTATTAAGAGATAGTTATGATCCAAATGGTGATTCTATTAATTATAATAGTATTGCTAAGAGTACTTATGGAGTTTCATTGTCCTTCACTTCTGGTAATGCAAATGTTAATTATGCTGCCTTGTCATCTGTCTACGTTGATTATGTTGACTTTACTGTTGTTGATATTGATGGAGCTATTTCACAAGTTGCTACAGCTACCATTAACGTTGTTAATGATGCTCCTGTTCCAGTTGATGATACTGCTGCTGTTTCTTGGAATAGAAGTATTGTCATTGATGTTTTGGCAAATGACAAGGATGTTAATGGTGATTCTCTAAGTGTTAAGAGTGTTAGTTATACTTCTAATAATGGTGCAACTGTTACTGTTCATCAAGGTGGTAAAACTGTTCTCTACACTCCAAAGGATGGATTTGTAGGAAATGATACCTTCTCCTATGTTTGTTTTGATGGAATTGATTCATCTGTCACTTCTGGATTGGTGACAGTTGTTGTTAGTAATACTGCTCCATCTACTTCTCCAGTTACTGTTAGTGTTCATTGGAGAGATTCTTCAGTTATTATTCCAGTATTGACCTATGCCAGTGATATTGATGGTGATTCTCTTCATGTTGAATCTTTCACACAAGGATCAAAGGGATCTGTTTCACGTGTTACACTTACTGATGGTACAGATGGTTTGCAATTTACTACTTCTGGGTCAAATAACTATGTTGGAAGTGATTCTTTTACTTTTGTTGTTAGTGATTATGGTAAATCAAGTGTTGGAAGTGTCAACATTCAAATTACTGACACTGCTCCTGTTGCCAATGCTGATTCATTCTCAATGCATTGGAGATCAACTGATAATGTTTTATCTGTTCTTGCTAATGATGTCGATGCTAATATTGATCCAATTACTGTCAAATCATTTACTAAACCACAAGGTTTTACTGGAACACTTGTCAATGTTAATTCTCATTTGACATTTACACCAAGTGCTTCAAGTGTTGGTACTCAAACATTTACTTACACTGCTACTGATGGTCCATCAACAAGTAATGATGCTACTGTCACATTAACTGTTACCAATAAGGATATTCCACAAGATAAGACAATTTCCAAGACTGTTCACTGGTCAACTCAATCAACTGGTACTACTATTACCATTTTCTCAAGTGCCAATCCAGTTGATACTGATGGTGATTCATTGAGTATTTCTTCTACTCTTGTTTCTCCTTCAAGTGGTTCAATTACAATTTCCAATTCTGATATTCCAAGTGTTGTTTACAAACAAAATACTGGATTCCTTGGAACTGATACTTTCAAGATTCAAATCTCTGATGGTGCTGCTACTGCTATTGTTACCATTTCTGTTACTGTTTATGATAATGCTCCATTGTCTAATGATATTTCTGAAAATAGACATTTTACTGAAGTTAGTAATGGATATACTAAGAATGCAATTTCATTCTTCAATGTTACTGATATCGATTCTCAAGATAGTGTCACTGTTAAGGATGCTACTGTTGGATCTTGTGGTTCTGTCTCAAAGACTTCTTCAACTGTCACATTCACAAGTAATAAGGGAAGTGTTGGTGTTTGTACTGTAACTATCACATTTACTGATGGTCTATTGAATTCTGTATCCAAGTGGAATGTCAATGTTCAAAATCAAGATCCTTCTGCCGCACCAATTAGCACTACCGTTCACTGGAGTAAGAGTCAAGCTATTATTGACATTATGTCAACTTTGTCTGATGCTGATAATGATGCCTTGTCTTATTCAGTTTCATCTTATGATTCCACATTCGGTAGCCCATCTATCAATTCTGATAAGGCTCTCGTATGGACTCTTCCACAAACACCAAAATTAGGAACAACTCAAATTGTAATTTCATTCACAGATGGATGGGTCAGTAAGACTGCTTCTTATCCATTGATTGTTCAAAACGTTGCACCAACTGCAGTTGCAAAGACAATTTCATCAAAGTGGTCTGCATGTCTTTCTGGTATTACTATTGATATTTTGAGTGAATGCTCAGATAATGACGGAGATAGTTTGTCATTTGACAGTACTACGCCAATTGTTACTGCTCCAGCTCAAGGAAGTGCTTCAATTGTTTCTTCAAAGGTTTATTACAAACAATCAACTGCTTCTGTTGGTTCTTATTCCATTACTTACAAGATTACTGATGGTATTCAAACTTCATCAAACTCTATTACTGTCAATTGTGAAGATAATGCTCCTGTTGCTAATGCTGATTCAATTACTGTTAATTGGAATACCTCTGATGTCGATATTACTATTTTGTCTAACGATATTGATTCAGATAATGATATTCTTTCTGTCACTAATCTTTCAGCTGTCAGTGAAGGTTCTTTAACTAATTTAGGTACTTTTGTTAAATATACTTTGAAGAAACCACCAACCCTTTCTGACAAGACATTCACCTATAAGGCATTCGACGGAGCTCTCTATTCCTCTGCTGCAACTGTCACTGTCAAAGTTGTCAATGCCAACAAGCCACAAATTAGTGATCAAAGTACAACTGCTCACTGGAGAACTGTCAAGGATGGTGTTTCATACACTGTCTATGATACTCTTACCGATGCTGATGGTGATTATTATTCACTTTCATTTGGTAGTGGTTCAAGTGCTTATTGTTCACTTATTGACCTTTCGAATGGTATTAAGGGTGTTAAATATACTAGAAATGCATTCGATTCCACTGATTCTTGTAAAGTAGTTCTCTCTGATGGATTCAGTACAAGTGCTGCCACATTAACAACCAACTCTTACAATAATGTTCCAGTTGCTGCCAACTTTACTTTAGATTATTCTGGTGGTAATATTCAATATGGTATTTCAATTGATGTTTTGTCATCTGCTACAGATGCTGATATTCAAGATGTTCCATTCCTTTCCATTTTAAGTGTTGGAAATTCCAAATTATATGGTAGTGAAGCTGCAAATATTGTAAATGGACAAGTTTTCTATTTCCCAGATCAATCATTAGTTAAAGCATTGGGTACTGATACTGTTGCTTATACTATTAGTGATGGTTTATCAACATCTATTGGTTATCTCACTATTAACATCAAGTCAACTTCTCCATCCAGTACTGAACAATATTACAATGTTCATTTTAGATATTCAAGTGTTGGTTATGTTTTCACACCATTGACAAAGATTGCAGATGCCACTAAACTTGATACTACTGTTGTTCAAGGAAGTGAACCAAATCAAGGTGGTTCAGTTGTTGTTTCTAGTGTTGATGAAAAGACAGTTACTTACAAACCATCTGGTTCCTATTTAGGTAATGAAATTTTCAAGTTAAAGTATTATACTGCTAGTGGTAGTAGTGATATTACTTTTACAATGAATATTTATGATACTGCTCCAATTGCTCAATCACTTTCTGGTTCAGTTCATTTTGGTAAATCAACAACATTCAATTTAACTGCTTCAACTTCAGATGCTGATCCATTGGATGTCAATAATTTGTCATTCTCAATTACTGGTCAACCATCTCAAGGATCTTTGAGTGTTTCATCAAATATTGCCACTTATACTGCATCATCAACTGTTGGAACCTATTCTGGTATTTACAGAGTTTCAGATTCTATGAAATCTTCTACTGGTTCTATTACTTTGACTGTAACTAATACTGTTCCTACTTCACAAACTAAAACCATTTCAGTTCCTTGGAGAACTTTCAAGGCAGGTTTTAATATTGATGTCTTGAATTTAGCACCAGCTGATTTTGATAATGATGGAGATGAGTTGAGTTTGGTTTCAATTGCTCTTCAACCATCAGTTGGTTCAGTAACTAAATTGGATAGTAAGAGAGTTAGTATTGTTGGTTCAGGAAACTTTGTTGGTTCACTTACATTCAAATACATTGTTAGTGATGGTGCCTCAAATGGTCAAGTCACAACCACAGTTAACTTGAATGTTTACAACACTGCTCCAGTTGGTATTCCAGATAAGCTCTCTACCCACTGGAATGTTGCCTCAAAGACATTGAATGTTATTGCCAATGACACTGATGCTGAATCAGATCCTTTAACTGTCACATCCGTTTATGGATCTTTAGCTTCAACTGCTCCAACTTTCACTTCTGATAGTATTGTCTATTATCCAAAGAATGCTCCATCAACAGATACAGTTTATTATACAGTTTCTGATAATGTTGCTACATCTATTTCATATGTCACTGTTACTGTAACTAACACTGCTCCAACTACAACTTCTCAATCATTTGTTGGTTCTTGGTCTTCAGCTAAGAATGGTTTAACATTTGACGTTGTTTCTACTTCTTCTGATGCTAATGGAGATTCATTGTCATTGCAATCATGCTCTTCATCAGTTACTTCCTCTCAAGGTAATGTCACTTGTTCTGGAAATGTCAAATTCACTCCAGCCAGTGGTTTCGTTGGTAGTATCAACCCAATCAGTTATATTATCACTGATGGTAGAGACACTGTCACTGGTACTGTTTCCATTACAATTTTGAATAATGCTCCTACTGCTAATACTACAAATACTTTCAGATATCATTGGAGAAGTGTTTTGAGTAATACTGTTATTGATCTTTCTTCATATCTCAAAGATGCTGATGGTGATGCTGTTACTTTGACAGCTGTCACAAAGACACTTGTTGGTGTTGCTTCTCTTGGATCAGGAAATACCATTAACTATAAGGTTAATAGTGCTTACACTGGTACTGATTCAGTCACTGTCTCATTCACTGATGGATGGTCAACTTCAAGTGCCACTTTCAATATTGTAATTTACAATAACGCTCCTGTTGCTCAAAATATCATTACTTCAACTCACTTGGCAACTTTGAACATTCCTGTGATTGGATCTGGTTCAAATCAACCAACAGATGCTGATGGAAGTGTTGATCTTAATAATTTAGTCATTTCTTCATTCTCAAATCCATCAGTTGGAAGTGTTTCTTTGAGTGGTGATAAGAAATCATTCACATTCACTAACGTTGCTGGAAATGTTGCCACTCAAACATTTACCTATGTCGTTTCAGATGGAAAGGATACTTCTGCATCAAAGACTGTTACAATTTCCATTACAAACAATGCACCATCTGCAACTCCAATTACCATTTCTAAACATTGGGCTACAGTACAAGGTGGATTAGATATTAATTTATTGTCTGTTGTAACTGATTCTGATGGTGATTCTCTTTCAATTACTTCATTCACTCAAACAAATAATGGAGCTGTTTCTTCAATCAATTCAACATCTGTCAAGTATATTCCAACACCATTGACTGCTGGTTTCACAACTTCATTCACCTATTCAGTTTATGATGGTTATACTACAATTTCAAATACTGTTACAATTTCAATTACCAATACACCACCTGTTGCAGTTGATGATACCATCACTGTTCACTGGACCAATAATACATTGTATTTGAAACCAGTTGTGAATGATTATGATTTGGATAATGATTACATTTATATTAACAAATTGTATCCATCTCAATTTATGAATGCCTATGCATCAATGGGTAATTATATCATCATTTCAAAGGGAACAACTATTGTTAATAACTTTGCAAGTGTTGTCGTTCCTGGAAGCGTTGCAACTGCTGGATTTGTTAATCAAGTTCTTCAACCAACTGGCTCACTAAATGTTAATAATGCTGCTCAACTTGCCATTGTTAATGCTGCTACTAATTTGTATCAATCATTGAGTTTATATACTTGTACTGCTTCATTAGATCAATCATTCCCATCTTCAAATGTTTTGAGTTTCTCACCTGGTGTCTATTGTTTCCCACAAGGTTTATCTGGTTCTGGTACCATCTTGTTGAGTGGTTCAGGTCTTTACATTTTCAGTATTTCCACTAATTTGAATGCTAACTTCCAATGGTCATTCACAAATGGAGCTAGTGCTTCAAATGTTTATTGGTTGGTTGGTGCTGCTGGTATTTCAGGAACTTTCTATGGTCATGTTTTGAGTAATGGTCAACTCAATTTCAATAATGTTGTTCAAAATGGTGTTATTATGAGTTTAGGATCAAATTCAATGAGTTTGAATAGTGTTACTTTTGGTTCCGTTGTTATTCCAACTGGACAAACTGCCTTGGAATTACAATCTGACAAGTTGACTGTCTATTATAAGAATACTTTCATTAATGGACCAGCAACTGACTCATTCCAATACACAATTACTGATCAAATTGCCACTTCTAATGTTGCTATTGTCAAATTGGTCTTTACCAATACTGCTCCAGTTGCCACTTCATTCTCAGCTGGTAAAGTTACATGGAAAAATACCTTAACAACTGCAAGTGTTGTTTCCAAGTATTGTTCTGATGCTGATAAGGATTCATTGAGTTTATTCGGAGTTACTCAAGGTAAATACGGAACTACTACAGTTACCGATTCTACAAGTGGTACCATTGTTTATACACCAAGTAGTTCAATTTCCTATACCTCTGTTGATTCCAATGGAGCTAGTTATGTAACTGATCAAATTACTTTTGGATGTTATGATGGAGCTCAAGTTACATATAACACATTCTCTGTTGTCGTTTACAATACAGCTCCAAAGAGTGCTTCTAAATCACTTAGTGTTCAAAGAGATACTTCAAATCCAACTGTTACATTGAATGATTTGTTGGTTGGTGCTACAGATGCTGAGGGTGATTCAATTTCTGTATCAAGTGTTTCAATGATTTCACAAAATACTGGTGCTTCTGTCTTGTTATCATCCAATACTGCTAAACTCACTTACATAACTTCATATTTAGGTTCAATTGTCTTTTCATTCACTTTAACTGATGGTCAATTGAGTTCAACTTATAATTATAATGTCACTATTACTGGTGCTCCATTCTATTGTGTTGATTATACCATTAGTACTACCAAAGATTCCTCTGCTGTCACTTTCGAAACTGATTTAAAGTCTAAATTGTCAAGCTATTGTGTTAATGATGTTTGTACTTTGGCTCTTGCTTCAACTGCATCACTCAATGGAGTTGGTTCAATTGCTGCCAATGGTAATAACTTGTTGACATATACTCAAAATTCCAAGTCATCATCAAATGGAGAATCCTATTCCACTTACTCATATTCTAATAGGGCAGGTCAAAGCGCAATTTGTAAGATTATCATTAATCAACCAAATAATGCACCAACTGTCTATGATTATACTTATAGTTACTCAATTAGTAGAGCTTCTAATGATTATGTTACATTTGATTATGTTAGTTTATCATCCTCTGATGATCCAGATGCTTCTGACTCAATTGTATTGAGTAGTATTTCAAGTGTTGGTACATGTACAACTAGTTCTATCAGTAGTTTGTCAATTACTAGTGATAACCAAATCAAATTCTTGAGAAATCCATCATTCATTGGAAGTTGTTCATTCTCTTTGGTTGTTTCTGATAGTGATTTGAGAAATCCAATCTCTAAAACTGCAAAAATTACAATCAATGCCATTTCTTCTCCACCAGTTGCTGTCAATGATGCTGTTTCTACAACCTATAACACATATATTGATATTCCAGTTTCCACATTACTTGGAAACGATTATGATTCACTTGGTGGTACATTCTCATTCACTGGTATTAATTGCCCAACAGGTGATTCAACTTATTGTACAGCAGGCACTCCAACTATTCTCAATCCATCTGATCCTGCAAATACAAGAATCATCAGAGTTCAACCAATTAAGGGATCTTGTAATTCTCAAAAATTCGTTTATGGTATCAAATCTGATTCTGATTCAACAACTGCCACAGCTATTGTTACAGTTTCTTATACCAAATGTACATGTTCTTTGAATATGGATATTGTATTTGTTTTGGATGGTAGTTCATCTATTGATGCAGGAAATTGGATTAACATGCAAAACTTTGCATCCAATTTAACTGTTGGATTTGGTTCAAACATTTCACCAACTGCCACCAAGATTGGTATCATTCAATTCTCTACAACAACTGTAACTCACTTGGATTTGAAAGATGGTACTTCCAAGACAGCTGTTCTTAATGCCATTTCATCAGCTGGTCAACTCAAATCCAGTACCAACTCAATTTTAGGTATTAACAATGCTGTTTCAATGGTTTTAAGTCAAGGTAGAAAGGATATCACTAGAAAACTCTTAATTCACATTACAGATGGTATGTCCAATTTACCTTGTGGTATGGGAGCTTGTCGTGCCATGTATGGTAGTGATAAGTCATTATATGGATCTGTTCCTAATTATTGTAAGTCACCTCGTTTCCCAGGTACTGATGCAACAATATGCTCATGGAATGAACCACTCAGTAGATGTAATCCTTGTTCTGATGCTACTCTTAGATCAACTGATTTGAATTCTTGGACAGTTGGAGGTGCTTCAAATCCAGAAAAATCAACTTATGGATCTATTTGGAATTGGAGACAATTAGTTGTAGGTATTGGTGATGGTTTGAGTTCTGGGTATGGACAACTTCAAATTCAAAAGATGAATTACGATCCAAACAATTTAATTGTTGTCGATTGGTCTGATTTGAGCTCTGTTTATCAAACTGTTATTGATAATAGTTGTAATCTTGTCGATTCCACTCAAACCAACGTTCTTGTTCCACTTTCAAGTTCTGGATATTCTATTCAATATCTTGGAAAGACATTGTCCAAATCAAGTTACCTTAATTATGAAGCAACCATTTCAACATTCACTTATCGTGTTAGTGTCTCTTCATCAGCACCTGCTTTACAAAGATTTACCTTAGGATTACAACCTGGTTACAATCAAGATAACTTTGTAAATTATGATCCATACTTCCCAGTTTTCATTGGTCAAGACACTACCACTAATTTGAATGGTTTCACTTTCTTATCACTTCCAAATTCATATACAATTGCAGCTGGTTCATCAGATACCTATACATTGAGTATTGCTGGTGATATTCCTGAAGGTGTTATTACTTATGGTATGTCGGGTGGTTCACAATACACACAAGGAACTGTTAAGGGACCAAGTGGAGTGATCAACTCAACCACAGTTGCTCTTCCACCAAATATTAATTACGGTGATGATTCAAGTTATAGAACTACCTATTGTTCCTCAACCAAATGTTATTTCTTTACCAAGATGAATTATGCCTATCGTATTGAAGCAATGAGTAAGATTTGTAAATATTGGTCTGCCAATGCAACACTAGTTCAAATTCAATCATCCACTGAAAAGACCACACTCATCAATAATGTTTTACCTTACGATGAGAGTGCTACCTTCTTCTTAGGTACTAAGGATTCCGATATTGCAGTTGGATCAACAACTACATGGCAAGATGGTACATCCATGTCCTCCTATACAAATTATCAAAGCAAACAACCTGGTTCCTACACTATTATTTATGCTTCATATAATGCTAATTCTCCAACTGGTACTTGGTGGAAGGGAGGTAGTTATGATACCAACACTCAATATTTACTTTGTCAATTTAAGAAATAAGTCTATTGAGAGGCCAAATGTTAATTAAATAAACCCAATCTTTATAAAATACCATTCGGAGTATATTCCACTCCTCGCAACTACGGTTCAGCTCCTACTAAATGAAATAGAGCGCACTGGTTCTTTTGCAATAATTTGAAACAAACAAAAAAACAAACAACCAAATGATTAAGCTTGCCATTGCTCTCATTCTCCTTGTTGGATGGATCACCTTGTTGGTCCAATCGAAGGATGTTAAATTTTGCATGCCTCCTATTGCTTCCTTCACACAAACCACGAAACATGTTTCATATTATGGAACGGCCAGAAATTCCTCCTACAAGCTCAAAATTCAATACGATAGTAATTTGAATAAGCAACGCACAGATACTTATGAACAAGATGGCACCTTGATCTCATCTGTAATTTCCTTACTAGATGCCTCTAATAATACCATTCTCTATTCCATAAAGAATAATGAATGTTCCTGTATTAATGAAGGTCAGACCGATGGAGCTATTTGGGCTCAATGTATAACTCAACCAGTTTTAGCTAAGGAAACTATTGCTGAACAACCAGCTCTCAAAGTTGGATACAACACTACAAATTCTCAATGGACTAATGATGAATATTATTGGATTGTTCCAGCTAGAGAACCAGGTTATTGGTGGTTCCTTTCACAAATTGAATATGTTATTGATAGGAATAATGTTGAATTGGGAAGTAGTACTTTTTCTGATCATACTCCTAATGTGAATTATCTTTCACTTGTTGTTCCAACTAATTGTCCTTCAATGGGTGATTGTCCATCTCCAAGAAGATGAGATATCAAAATAAAAATCAGTCCAATAACGAAGTTCAATTGTTTCCAACCTCTATCAGAAAATATTACAATTAAGATTTTGATGATTTTGAACTTATATCATTATTTATCAACTCTAAACTTGAAAATTTCTTTACCATTCTCATCCATTGCAGTGACGAAAATGAAATCCTTTTGAACTTCAACACTGAAAAATCCAGGTGCAGTATAAACATTCAAAGATAATGGATTGTAAACATCTGGAATGATGTTTGAACTACCAGCACCTGAAATAATGTAATTTGTCTTGTGTTCTGGTTCTTTAAGCCAATTGAGAAGATGTACGTGACCACAAGTGTACAATGGCACTTGATACTTTTCCATGTATGGCAAGAAGGTATTCATCATATCCTTACTATTTCCACCAATACCTCCAGAATAAACTATTTAAATTAATAAGAAATGTGAAATTTCAAAACCTACTGTGATGATGACCAAATACTAAAGTCCAAGAATTATTCTTTCCTTGATTTGTAGATAAAACCCCATCTAACATGTCCAATTGTTCTTGCTTTCTTTTATATTGAGATTCTAAATTAGAACTCTTCATTAATGGATCAGTCCAGAATGAAACAAATGGACTTGTATCTAACATGACCATTGAAACATCAAATCCACTCAATGTAGAATTCTTAACTAGTGTGTAAAAATGTGAAGGAAGAACCCAACGATTACTAATCTTGGTATAATCAATTTGAGCTTGAACATTTCCTCTGTAATCTATTTCGAATAATAACAATAAATATAAATCTCAACCAAAATATACTTACCATGATTTCCTAAAAGCATATGCCATTTCAAATCCTCAATTCCATCGACATTATAAATATCTTCAAACTTGCTCTTGAATTGTTCATCATTAACATTTTCAACACCATAATTATAAATATTATCACCAATACCAATTACAAAATGACATTTTTGTGTTTTACAGAACTTTCCCATACTGGCAGCAACAGCCTTTTGACCATCATCTGCACGTCCCATATCTCCAACAACAAGAAAACGTAAAAAATCATCTGATGCTGTATATTCAGGAGTAGGATAAATATTTACATTCTTTCTTCCTAAATAAATTGCAATAGCAATAGCAATTACAATACATGTAATTAAACAACACAATCCACAGCCTAGCAAACTACCCACACAAATCTTTTTATTCCGAGACCATTTTGTTTTTTTAGGAAGTACATATTTACTATCATCTGCCAACTCGATATCCCTCAAATTGCTATCCGAGCCATTAGAGAGTGCATCATCATAGTGGAATGATCGAGACATTTTTTTATGAGGCTGAAATTGAATTTTTGAAGAGCGCACTTTCTAAAAACTTAGCGCGCAGTTTTTTTTCCAATTAGAAGTAAAAAAGATAACAATAATTGGCTCTTAATGTTTCAATTGGTTGAGAGGAAGGTATCTAATTGAAATTGGAATCAAACGAGAAGGGTGATACAGTATTAAGGTATGAATAACATGTTTAAGATTCATCATCCTATTAATTCCTCTTTACTATTCGAAACTTGGAGATTGATATTATTATTCATGAAAATCTTTCAAAGTGTTACATGGGTATTTGGCTGAGTCTTATTATGTACAATAGGAGAAATGCGGGTCACCCACACTGTTTGAGAATGTTACACATGAAAAAGCATCTATCTGTTGTGTAAATAAATATTTGGACAACTCTGAAAGTTATTGAAAAAAAAAGAATGAAATTCACTCCTACATTGTTAGTTTTGAGTTGCATGTTGTGCATGGTCATGTGCATGGCCATGAGTAGTCATGTTGTTGTATTAGCATCAACTCCAGAGCAAGCAGATGATACCTATTATTCCGCTCAACAAGTTGAACATGTTTTGAATGGAAAGAAACAACATTTGAAACAAGTCCAAATTTCCCTATTGGAAACTAACATGGGTTTGGAAGCAAGTGATTTGTTTGGAAAATCATCTCCATTGCATGATGTCTATGTTTCTAAAAAGCAAACAAGAAAGACTGAATTATTAGAATTAAAGAGTGAATTAGAATATGAAATTGATAATTTCCAAAAATTGCTTGCTAAGAAACTTGCCATTAATGAAATGGGAGAATCCACCATCTTGACAACAGCTCATGCTATCAGATTCTATCAAGAAATTATCAATGAAGTAAAGATGAAACCATTGAAATTACTTTATAAGGCATCAAGAGATGGTTTCCAATCAAAGCAATTCCACACCAAATGTGATAATCAAGGAGCAACTGTTACAATTATTAAGGCTGATACAGGTGCTATTTTCGGTGGATATACATCTGCTGCTTGGAATACTACTGTCATGAGTCAATTTGCCTATTCTGAACGTGCCTTTTTGTTTAGTTTAGTTTCTAATAGTGGTGAAGAAAGATTTAAAAAGTTGAATCAACTTGCTCCACCTAATTCACCAAGTCAAGGAAGATCAATTTATTCCCATTCTCGTTTTGGTCCTACTTTCGGTGGAGGTCATGATTTATATATTTGTTCTAATGCCCACGAAAATACTGGAAGTTATTGTCATCCAAATACTTATGCTGATTTCGGAAAAGAGTATTTAGCAGGTTCTTATAAGGAATGGCTTGTAAAGGATATTGAAGTTTATTCACTTTAAATATCCCATCTTCCATATTATTATTAATAGGAGGAATTCAAGTAAAGATTTATTAATTCCTCTAAATAATGAATAATTTGTTTTACAGTTTCATTTGCATAATGTTTCTGGATTCTATAAGTCAATTATGGAGTTATTGTAATCAAAGATCTCAAAGAATGATGAAATAGTAGATGTTGTTTGTCAACTGATGAACAACTTTAAAATGGCTCATTTGTATCTCTTGAAAAAACTAATTGTTTCAAAAGCAGTGCAAATTGTTAAAGGAGTAAATGTAAAGTATGAAATGCAGCCACAGCAATACATTACTAAACTGATACTTAAAGCTAAAATGTGAAATTCCATAAAAACTAACTCGTTTCTCCCTCATGGTTTAATTATGATCAATAAACAATTTCAAATTATTAAATATTAATAATTTGAATTTTGAACAAAAAATGAGTGAACAACAACAAGAAACTACCACCATTCCTACAACCACTAGTACAACTGATGGTACTACTGTAGGATCTACAACAACTACCATTTCATCATCGGAGTTGGTAAATGAACAAAATGACAAGAAGAGAAAGAATAAATTTAATAATAATAATAATAACAATAAGAAAAATAAGAAGCAAAATAACAAACAACAAAATAGTAACAAGGAAAGAGATGATGAAGATGCAGATTTTGATGTGAGTGGAGAAGATTTAATGATTGAAGATGAATCTACATTGGTTCATTCATCATTTCCATTTGTTATTTCCTTCTCTTATAATGGAATTCCTTTCAATGGATTACAAATTCAAAATGGAGAAAATTTAGTTAAACATCCACATTTATTAACTATTGAAGCAGTTTTATTGGATATTCTTTATGGTTCTAATGGTGAATCAGATTTTGAACAAGATGAAACAATTATTAGATATACTAAATCTAAAAATTGTAAAGATATTAGATTACAAAGAGCTTGTAGAACTGATAGAGGAGTTTCTGCTGTTAGAAATGCATTTGCATGTGTAATGACATTACCAAATACTCAAAATCATAAGGATACATTTAAATTTAATAACGAAGAACTTTGTAAAACATTGAATGATAGAATTAATAATCATGTTAGAATTAAGAATCTCAATTTGATGGATCAAATCAAAATTTTCAATATTCAAAGAGTTCCATCAAGATTTGTATTACACCATTGGTGTCAATTTAGAAGATATCTCTATGTTTTACCATTATCTGCTTTGGATTTATCATCAAGAAATATTATTACAAAATGTAACAATATTTTCAATTTAGAAACAAATGAACAAAAATGTCAAAAATTGAATGAACTACTTGGACATTTTGAAGGAATTCACTTATTCCACAATTTTACAGTAGATGCTAAACCAGGTTCAGACAGTTCTAGAAGACATGTTAAAACTTTGAAAATTATTGAACAAAACTTAGAAGGAGACTTGCCTCATGTTGTTATTGAAATTAGTGGAAGAAGTTTCATGTTACATCAAATTAGAATGATGATTGGTACTGTTATTGCTCTCATGCGTGGTATGGCACCAAATATGAATACTACAGTACAAGATAATACTATTGTCAATGATTTTTTCGAAAATTTATTCAAAGCACAAACAGAAGTGTTATTACCAATGGCTCCAAGTGAAGGATTATTCTTGGACAATTTGGATTTCCCAAATTTCAATGCCAATATTGTTAAACCACCTTTTGAACCAATTAAATGGACTGGAACAGCAGATGAACATGCAGAAATCTTTAAAAAGGATGTAATTTTACCAAACATTCTCAAAGTTTTGAAAGAAAAGAATGTTGTCAGTAATTGGCTCATTGATATTCATTGTAATAAGGCAAAATACTTTGCCAAGCTCGCTAATAAAAAGAAAAGGTAAAACATTCAGTCAAAAAATTCCCGCCAATTTCGGATACAACAAACTACAACAACAAGAAAAAAATACCTCAACACACAGCCTGCAATCTATAGTATCATCAAAAAATGAGGAAAAAAACACAACAAAATCAATCATTTCAAGTAGTCTATGAAAATGTTACAGAATTTGAAAAAGCCTTACTCACAAATCAAAATACACCTAACCATGTACTAGTTCTTGATGTACACGCAACATGGTGCGGCAAGTGTAATTCAGTATTGTCTACCTTTGAAAAAATTAATATGGATTATGGAGATGACCATCAAATCATTTTTGGTGTGTTGGACTCACAAAAATTGGTGACTGAGTTGAATGAAATTATGAAACCTGCTGTTCGTCTAGGAGTGACCATCATGAGTGCAAGAGGTTCATCTAAAAATCTATTAACGCTAGGAGAAGATGAAGTTCTCAATGATGAAGTTAAAGCAAAGAAATTGTATAAAGAGGATGTAAAAAGAAAAAATTATAAGGCTCTTTTGGAAACATTTGTAGGATTATCGGAACCACATTTCCTAATTTTTAAGGAAGGAGAATTAATAAGAAAAATTAGAGGTGTAAATACACCAATGATCCATAAACTGATCGTCCAATTGCTTACTAATGAACCAGCAGAACATCCTGAGGAACCAAAGGTTGACAAAAATGCTGAGGTACAACTCGTAGTTGAACCAGAGAAGGAAGAAGTTAAACCAGTCGAGGAAGAAAAAAAGGAGGAAGTCATTGTAGAACAATCTGCAGAGGAACAAAAAACAGAAACAATAGCAACTGAGGAGACAGTAGTCGAGGAAGAAAAGAAAGAGGAAACAGTTGAGGAACAAAAGGCTGAAAGCTCAGTTGAAACTAAAACTGAAACAACTGTAGATGCTACTACTGTAACTGAAACTAAATCTGAAACCACCACTGAGACAACAGAAACAGAAGAAAAAACAGAAGTTAAAGAAACGACAGAAATCCATGAAGAGGAAGCCAAGACTGCAACAGAATCTGTGTCTTTGGAAACTGTTGAACATTCAACTGATAATCATGAAATAACTACCGAGAAAACTTCTGAAGTGGAAGCACCTCCAAGACCAGTTGAGGATGTTGTTTTTGAGGAAAAACCTGTTGAAACAGTGGCTGTATCAGAAGAAGTGGAATCACATGGAGATATTTCTAATGAAGAGCAAGTTGAAACAAAAACTGAAGTCAAAACTGAACAAGTCGAAACAAAAACTGAAACCAAGGTAGAAACTAAAACTGAAACAACTGTAGATACTACCACAGCAACAAATACAGAAACCACTACCACCACTACAACTACAACTGAGGAAGTTAAACCTGAAGTGACTGGAAAGTACAAGGAAAAGTCTGGAAAGATTTGGGCTGTCACAACCTCCACCGCTTCAACATTTGAGTTATTAAATGAACAGGATGGAAGAAAGGCCACTGGTAAATATACTAAGGATTCCTCAGGAAATTATTCCATCACAATAACTTTCCATGATCCTAGTGGAGATGTTGATTTGAACTCTGTAACACCAAACCTTAACACTATTCCACTCAGTAATGAAGATGCCTTCACAAAGGTAGAATAAAGAAATGACGCTACAGTGACAACTGACACTAAAACTACAGAAATTAAATAAATAATTGTAAATATTTATCCAGATTTGAATAATAAAATTGCTAATCCATTCAGTGTAAAATAAATAAAACATTTAGCTTCGTAAGTTACCTTTAATTTTTAAATGTCACAAATTCACTCCAACTCAACTTACCATAGATCCGAAACTTTTTCCTACTATACAATGCCTTTTTCATATTTTAAATCCAAATGCTATTACTACTAATAAAACTTACCAGTATTTGCCTTTAAATAATTTTAATAACTTTCATGTATGAACAACACATTAAAACCTACCATAAACTTCATCAAATTGTTTTTTAATAAATGTAGCAATATCCCTTTCCACAGAATATTTATCCATAGCTTGTTTGGTTACCGTTATTACTAGATCCTTCATTTCATCAGTCATATCTATATTCTTTATATTCAGATTATCATCGGAAGTTGATTTGACAGCACCACTGCTACTAGCAATCGAAGACATTTTTTTCACAATAATTGAAAGTTTATTATTATTGGTCTGACGAGGAAGCAACATTTGAAGAAACAAAAATAATCTTTTCGATTGTGGTAAAGAGTTCAACCAATTCTTTTTCTTTGGAGAGTGACATTCCACTTTCTTCATCATTCTTCTTCTTTTTAGCAACTAAACATTCAACAACTAATTGTTGACATTTTGTTAAAGTTGGAATAATCAAATCTTGATAAGCTGATCCTAATTGACCTTTCGAATATTCTTCCATAATAGAAGGTTCTTCAAGATAGGATAAAACAGGTGAAACTAACTTTCCAGGAATGAATAAAAGAATTGGCTTATCTCCCATCATTAATAAATATTGACAAATTGAAATCAATCTTGTACCATAAATAATAGCTCCAGAAGATAAACTATCATCACTCAATTTAGCCAAATGTTCAACATGATTAATCTTCAATTCTTGTTTTCTTTCTTTCAAATAAGTTTTTTCTCTCTTTTTATCTAAAATCTTAATAAAAACGCTAAATTGTTTTGCAGTAAATTCAAATTGACTAATAAATGATTGCAATGTAGTATTATTAGCATTCAAACTTTCAACAAGAGTATTTAATTCCTTAACTTCCTCCTCTCTTGTCTTATCAAGTTCAACCTTCTGATTAAGTTGTTTCATTAATAATTTAATTTCTCTATTTAATTCAACAAATTGAGTTTGTTGTTCTTCACTTGCCATTGATAATAAAGTATTATATTCTCTAATGAAATGTAAATTCTTTTCATTAATGTTAATACTTGTAGTATCAACAGGTTTCTTACTACTTGATTGTTTACCAGATTGTTGTGTTGGAGTTGATCTTAATAAATTTTTACAAGTATCATAAACCATTAAATAAACAATCATTGTACATTTAGTTTTGATAATATGTTTTTCAACTGGAACAATAAATTCCTTTTCAATACTTTCTTTACGTTGTCTATGTAAAATTTCAATAGATTTGTTATGTATAACAATTTGTGTATATAATTCATTGAGTTTTTCTTCAACATTAAGTTCACTGCTCAATTTTTGTTCCAATTTCATAGTTTGTTGATTAACTATTTGTTCCTTGGTTTCTAAATATAATTTTTCAAGTTTAGGAATGAAATAATTTACAATAGATTCAATAATAGAATCATCTGATCCACCAAACTTGTTAATCATATTTTCATTTTCTTTATCATTATCTAAATATACAAGTAATTGTTTTTCAATGTGTGAATAAATATCATCCTTCTTTGGTAGTAATTTCTTAATTTGATCATTTTCATTAGAAACTGGTGTTGATGATTTGGTTGATTTACTCTTTTGCTTCTTATTCTTATCATTTGAAGGTTGGGAAGGAGGAGGTGTACTAGTTGTTGATGGATTACTCTTTAAATAAATTTCAATAGCTTGAATAGCAATAGATTTGAATTGATCATTTAAGATTTGATCAATCATTTCAACAGTCATAATATATCTATTATCAAAAACAATAATATCCTTGATATTCTTACTAAGAGTAATATACTTATCAACTAATTGTTTCATTTCACATGAAGTATCAATAAGAACACAATGATCACCACCATTATTTTCAATATGTAATGGAATTGATTTGTGTTTATCATTATTACCATTAATAGTAGTATCGAATATATTTTTAAAAGATTCAATCATTTTCATGTGAATAATAATTTCATCTTCAATATTAATAAGATCATGTTCTTTCATTTCTCCATAACCTGTTAAATAGTTAATAATTTGTTGTGTATTTTTAAATGCTTTATATCCTAACATTGATTCAACTCTTTCAACAGAAACATAACCATTACTATGAATAAATTTACAAACTTGATCAGTTGCCATCTTTTCATAAATATTTGGAACATATAAAGTACTATTAACTTGTAAAGTACCATTAATTTGTTTGTTCTTTATCAAATCTTTAACAATATTTTGATAAAGTTCTAATTCAATTTCAATATCATCAGCATATTCATTACCATTACTTTCATTCATTAAATAAAACTTTTTAGTTACTTTTAATAAATCATTACATTCCATAGATCTACTAGTAATACTATTACAAATACCAATTGTAATAGATTTTAAATTATTAATATATTTCTCTGTATATAAAGAGTTATTACTAAATATTGTTCCATTTAATAATAAGTGCATATATTTTGTAATGATATGTTCTTTAATAAAATCAGAAGGTAAAAACAATTGTTTTGTTAATGTTCCGATATAAATATAACCTGATAATTTGAGTAATTCATTAATTTCCATAACAACTGATTCAAGATAGGAAGGTGTCAAAATTTCGCATCCATTAATCAAGTCAGGAAGAACAATTTGTTTTTGTATTAAATTATGAATAGGTTGTTCTAAATAGGTAAAATCGACTCGTAATAATTTTGGTAATTCATTCTTATTAATTCTTCCTCCATATTTTTCTAATAGAATTTGTAATTCATATTCAATTTGATCTCTAGTAATATATTCTTTACCATCAGATGTAAAACATAATTGTTCAGCAAAATTAGGATCTTGCTTTTTAATATATTGGATCAATTCAATAATGTTATGTTCATTCAATTTGTAAGATCCACCCGAAAGTGATTCTTGTTGTACTTGTTCAAATTGCTGTTGCAATTGTTCAATAGATAATTCCATTAAATCTATATCAGCCATTTTGTCTATCTATTATATTGTTCGATGAAGATGAAGAGAATTGATGATGATGCAGAACACTCAAGGCTTGTTCTTTGATCCTTAAGACAACAATTTGATTTTTTTAAAATGAATAAAAAATGAATTTTTCATTGTCCAACAAGCCTAAAATTTCCATGTCGATTGGTGTCAACAAGGCTTCCAACAACACCTCATCAACAACTGCTACATCATCATCAACAATAGGTAAATCTGGGAATGCCATCAAACAGCAGGGTTCCACAAATACATCATCCACAGTGAGTACTAAATCAACAACTTCCAAATCATCATTGTTTGAAGAGGATGAGGAACAAATTGTCGATACCAAATCTAACAACAATAATCAAAAGAAAGGACAACAACACTCTTCTCATGCCCACTTTTATGCTAAACTTCAACAGGAAAAGAATAATGATAAGAAGCCATCCATGAATATAGATGTGTCAAGTTGGGGAAGGGATGAGGAAGATGAATCGGAACAAACAAACATGATTGAAAGTGGTTTCTCCAACATTAGAAATGTTGTTTCATCACAATCTAATAATTATCCTCTCAACAAGTCAACATCAAATCAGAATGAAGTAACAGTAGAAGGAGAATCTAAAAAACCAGAAGGCTCCAAATATATTGCTCATTTAGTTAAAGTGGCTGAGGATAGAAAGAAGGAAAAGGAATTAGCACAAATGAGAAGAGTACAAAAACAAGCAGAGGCTAACAGTGCCACTACTTCCGAAACTCAAGTATTTGTTACAGAAGAATATAAACAATATTTAAAGGAACAAGAAAGATGGACCGAACAAAAGGAAAAACAATTACAAGATGAAATTAACAATGATGTAACAAAGAAGGGAATGGGAAACTTTTATAAGAATTTATTATCAACACCCAATTCTTCTAATGCAAGTATTAACATGACTCCTGATAGTAATAATCAACAACAACAACAATCAAATGTTATTAATAAGCCTTATGTTTCAAAGGTTGATGAAAAGAAAGCCTTGGAGGAAACAATTAATAGAAATGATGAACAAGAATTATCATCAGAAAAGAAGAGAAAGAGACAAGATGAGGATATTTCAACAACAGCAACAAATAAGGAAGATTTGATCATTGCACCAATTTCAACCAATATCAATAAGGATGAGGCTAAATTGAGTGCTAGAGAAAGATATCTCAGAAGAAAGGCAGAAAAAGAGAAATCAATTGAATAACAAATATTGGAATCCTTGTAAAGATAGAAGATACGTTTCGAATGAAATTTCCTTAATTCAAAGATCAGATTAAGCAACCTTTTTGGTACTATAGCTGTAGGAGGTGTGGATTTACGGATTCCAATGTGAGGTTGGAGAAAATGGTCAAAATATTGGAATTTCCAGGTTCATATTCGAATATGAACGCAATGCAACTTCAAATTGGCATATGAAGCCAATATAAACTCATTCAATTTGAAGTGCAACTCTCAATTTGAAACTATTCATCCCACCCATTGAAACGAAAGAGTGCGCACCAATTCAAACAAAAAAATGTTACCACAACAAGAAAGCCTTCATGAACAAGAAGAGGTTAATTCAAATAGTATTATGGAAGATGCTATTGTTGAAGCCTTTGAGAATGATGATGATTATATAACTGATCCAACAGTTAATATTGATAATTTTGATACATTATCTTTATCATCACTTTCATCATTGGTGATCGGAAGTAATAAATCACATCATGATTCAATGACAGGATCTTCATCTCTATTAGAAGAACATCACGAATTATTACTCAATTCATCTCGTAATATTATTGCTAATTCATTCAATGAACTTCCGAATGAAATACTTGTACACATCTTAATTTACTTGAATGGTGCTCAAATTATTAAATTAGAATGTTTATCAAAGAGATTTTATCAATTAATTCATCATGAAGATGAATCAGAACGTAATTATAATAAAAAGATTAGAAGAGGAAGAATACCTTCAAAGGAAAAGAGAAAACATCAAAGAAGATTGTCAATTAATTTGGCAAATATGATTGCAAGCTCTGGTTTAGATTTGAATTCAATCACTTCTGGTTATGAATTTTGGATGTTTTTAAATGAAGTACACTTTAGAGTATGTATTTACAATATTTCACATTTACAAATACTTTTATACAACTATAATATATTATTCAATATCTTTTACAAATAATACTAATACAAATAATAATATAAATAGGATGAAACTCAAAAACGTAGAAGAGATTATTCTTCAGCAATTCAACCTAGAATTTTCTACATGTATCAATTAAGAGTTCAATGGTTAAATGAAAAGTATAATTTAGAAAAAGCCATCAGATCACTTGAAGATGAAATTACATCTCATTCCTATTTTAATGAGGTTTGCATATTTTCACCACATTTACTCTATCTTCAATATTTATTATTTTTATTAGATAGAGATTATGCTGCTATGGATTTGAGATTTCATGCATTCAATGAATTGAATTTAAATATTGATACTCATGTTAAACCACTTATTAATCATATTTTACATTCAATTTATGATAATAGTGATTCCAAATTATCAATGGTTGCTATTGTCAATTTGGCATCACCTGATATTATTAAGAGACCAATTACTAGCAGTTCAGTACATGGAATTACACAAGAATCTCAAGCTCAACAATTACTTGAAGAAGCTTATGCTCATGATTTTAAAGATAGACAAGATGTTGGTATGATTAAATTCATTCATGAAATGCATTTCAATAATCCAATTACAACCTCAACTTCAATGAGTAATAGAACATTGAGTAAGGTTGATAATGAAAAAGTTCAATCATCACTCAATACAATCTATGCTAAATGGTTTAAGAAATGGGGTGAAATTATCAAAACAAAACCTGAATATTCCTCACTCAATTATTACAATACTAGACAAATTGAAACCATTCAAATCAAGTCAGGATTTACCTATGATAATTTATTGAGATGTGCAAATGGTTGGTTAAAGAGAGAATATGTTTATGCAAGACTTTTAAAGAAGGAATTACAATAATCTTTTTTATATATAAATTTAAATATTATCATATTATATCACATACTATATTTTGTAAATAGATCTTTACTCAGCATCCGGATCAAAATTATTTAACTTTTCTATACTTGTATTCCAATTCCTTATATATTTCCATATATTTATCATCCTTAATATATGTATCCATAAAATCTCTATACATTCTCTTCACATCATAATGAGCAGAAAGATAAAATCCAGAAACGACACCTATCACAAAGTACATGTTTTTTTTAATTTGAGTTTTCCTTACAAGACTGCCAGGAGAATTGTTTTCCTTCACGATGTTCATTAAAGGAACTTTTGATTACATTGGATATATTGGTCTTTATTTTGATTTCTTATCATTATTATTAGTATCTAATTCATCACTAATTGGAATATCACTTCTCCATTTAACAGCAGCTCTTTTATAGAATGGCCAAGGTGGAACAACAAATATCAAGGCTAAAACTATTCCTAACAGGAAAATTCCTAATGTAAATGAAAACCTTTCAAAATAAAATCCAACAATAAATCCTATTATCTATTTAAACGTAATTATTAATATTATTCAATTATTCGTGATGATCAATTTTGGTTCCGATGATGAATAAAATAATGATGATTTATAAATTGATTAATACATCTATAATAATATATATATTGAAACATTACTGATGATGAAATTAATAAATATCTGTACACTGATTCGGCAAGACTTTGTCCTCTAAAATCGATTGAAGTCATTTTTTATTATTTGAATTTTATTATTACTACTTGGTTGACGACGTATTTTGTTTATCATCATACACGTGTTTTTATTTCGAAAATAATGACAATAGGTTTTATTACACTCTTACAACATTGATGATTTATTAGAAAAGCCTAATTG